TACAACCCTCCAATTTCTTATTCGAACAAATAGCAACCACCCGCTTCTTGTCATTGCCGGCATATAAAAAATTAAATCCTACTTCAAGAGCGTACTTGCACAATTTCAAACGGAACTCCTCTGCACCACCGTCAAACTTCTGCCCTACATGATGTATGTATGTCTCCCACTCATTCGACAACAAAGGCTTAGCACTTGCTCTCTTCGACCTGCCCAAAAATTCATTTCTGTCTTCGACAGTACTAGAACACGACGACTCGCCCTTTTCACATGCAATCAACTCCTTATTTACACAAAAATCACCACTATATTCACTGCTTCCGCATAAATCCTTCACTAAAATATCAACACTCTTCTCATTTGATACAAACAAAAATGTCCTCATCATGTCCAAATCGCTATCCGTTTCTAGAAAACAACTCGGATAACTGGGCAGCGAATACCGTAACGTAAAACAACCCAACTGCAAACCCTTAAACCTTAGACACAAAGTCTTCAAAATATCAACCATGGATGACTCTGATGAAACTGAAAACATCATGGTTTCCGACTTATATGTGCACTTGGCAATGACACACACCTCCATTAGCCTTGAAAATGCAAACAAAACAACAAACAAAAACAGAAAACAATTTAAATCAGTAAATAATGTACATGAACAGTTGTAAAATTCCAATAGACTTCCAAATATTAGTCTGAAATCGAATTATGAAACAAGAAACTGCAATGCAGTTTCTACCAAAACTACAATTATGAAACAAGAAACTGCAATGCAGTTTCTACGAAAACTACAACAAACAGATGTAGTTTATGACAGAAAATCAAAACAATTCGAATAGAAACCAAAAGGAAACCACAATAAAAGTACTAAAACTAAATTCCATAAACATACAAGTCGATATAAACGAAAACAGGTTCTAAAGTACTCATACCTCAAAACTTAGGACTGCCAAAAATCTCCACAACCAAACAGCAGCTTAAAATCAAATCTGATCACGAAACGAAGAATATAGGGTTTAGCATTGAACGCCACAAGATCGCGCCGCAAAATCGAGCCACAAAACTGAGCTCGAAATACCCGAACTAAGGAGAACAGAAATCACCCAAAACTGACACTCATTCAGCATGCAAATCGAACGAAAACGTAGCAGAAAAAAGAAGACAGAAAAACGAAGAAAATAAAAGCAAAACCTACCAGAAAATTGAGCTCCAATGGCAGAACCCAGCTCTGAAACGAAGAAGAAAACGAACGAAAACGAACGAAGAAGAAACTCGCGCGTCGTTTAAACGTTCAGAGGCAAAAGCGTCATTTAATTTGTAGGTTTACAGATGGGCCAGGCTTTTTAAGAAAAAAGGGTAGAATTGTCTTTTTATTTGTTATTTTTAAGCTGGCCCAACGAATCTGGGCCAGCCTTTGGCCTAATCTAAAATAGCTATTTTTTTTTAAGTATTAAAACCCAAACTAAAATACCTAATATCTCACTTACTAATTAGTAAACTTAATAATGTCTAATACCTAATTTTCCTAAAAATAAATTAAACTGTTTTTTCTCTCTCTTCTCTCTATTTTCTCGGGTTGGTAAATTTCATTCACCAAAATATTTTTCTCTCTCATCTTTCTCTTCCCCATCATGTTCTCTGCTCACTCTTTCTTAGACCTGGCATTTGTGTCGTTTTTTCAGTGTTCGTGTCATTTTCTTGTCAACCTGCTTTTCTTAAAGGGTTAACACGACACAACAAGAAAACCGGTTGAAAATATCAAACACAAACACGACTTGTTACAATTCATGAATCACACGAGACGACACGATAATCTGTTAAGATTTTTTATATTATTATTTATAAAAAAAACAACACAATCCATAGACAAGCTCGAATGTGAGATTGGAGATGCCCTGTGAGTGGCCCAAAAAGGTTTGGGCAACGGAGATGGTGGGAGTGGAGTAGGAAGAGTCATCGGAGAAGGTGAAGGAATAGGTGAGATCGATCAATGAAGGAGGGAGACAGAAGGGGGTGGTGGCTGCTTAAGACTCTCAAGTTGAAATAAGAAGAAAGCTCAAAGGTTGCTAAGTTTTGAAGAGAGAGAGAGAGAGAGAGAGAGAGAGAGAGAGAGAGAGAGAGAGAGAGAGAGAGAGAGATTGAGTAGTGAGAGAATCGGGGAAATAGAGGAGGAAGAGACAAAAGAAAAGAAAGAGAAGAAGAAAATAATAATAATAAAGAGATAAATTTACAAAAATATCCCTGAGCTTAACGGGTTAACGGGTATTAGCGAATTGGCATGACATGACACGATAGCTTAACGAGCTAACAGGTCAACGCGATATCAACACGACACGATAACTCATACCTGAATATTGAATTTTTCATGCGAATTAGTATTGTGTTAACATGTCGTGTACAATATTGTCACCTCTACTCTTTCTTTTCATACTTAAACAAAAAAAAAAAAAAAAAAAAAAAAAAAAAAAAAAAAAAAAAAAAAAAAACATATGATCTCTCTCTTCTTTCGTTCTTTTTTAACTGTGAAAAGAGGTACCTCTATAGAAATGAAGTTATTCATATCAATGGGTTTCAAATTGTTGTTAATGTTTCTAAATTTTTGGGTTTAGGATTTATGTATTTTGATCTTCGCTTTCAACTTTGAACCAAGCCATTAAAAGCCTTAACACATAATATCGTCTTGGTCTTGTAAAAAGAAACTTGTAAATTGAAGCTATGCGAATCAATTTTACCACCATTTCTCAAGTCTTACATATAGTAGTAGTAAGGAAGTTTGTGCGAATTTAAAATATTATTTGGGTATCATTCTTCTTCACCATGATATCCAAGCTTGTTGAAAGGTAATCCCACTTGGCATTTAAAAAAAGGATGAAAAAATAAAATAAAATTGGTACTTTTCACATAATATGTAGGATTTTCATTAAAACATCAAGACACGAGGGTTTGAGTAGTTGAAGCAAAAAAATTGAAGAGATAAACGAAAGAAATAAACAGCGAAGAGCAAGAAAGATTATTTATTTTTTTATTTTTTGGGATTTGATGAGAGAGAGGTAGTAGAGAACGTGTTGGGAAGATGTCACAACCCGATTCGAAAATGAGGAATATTCCTGAATTATGGTGTAAGTCATACCATAGTCATAACAATAAAATCCTACAACCATGATATGATGAGAAATAGAGCCACAATTAATACAAATTTACTTAACAACACAAAATCAAAGGCGCAGTAGCTCGTAGTTAAATACACACTAAGATCCTTATCAAACGGTTGACGACTTACATATATTAATTACATAAATCAACAACAAAAGCCTTGCAGTTTGGTTGAAATCTGCTCCCTAAAATTTCACCTTGAATCCTGCACAATCTATTAGGGTATGAGCATTTTAATACCCAGTAGAGTACCGTCAAACCCATCAAGGTTAGCTATCACAGTTAATCAAAGTATTATGCATCAAACAACACAAGATATATAAATTATGCAACCATACAAGATAAATAAATTTGCATATGTAGTGATGCCATAAACTCACTCCCTTATAATCTCATTAATTCATACATTAGGGCAACAAACCTGCATGTCTCATACCATGCATTTTGCCACTGTGGCTCCGAATACCCTTAAAATATGAACTAGTGCACATCCGTCCATTAACCCAGTTTTATTTTGTTTACAAATTTCTCAACTTTCACTTTTCATTAGAGGCTTTGCTCCCTTCACCTCAATATATTCAAGCCATGCTCCCGTCACTTGAATGTATTCCGCATTTTCACTCAGATATATCTAAGGTCTTCTCCCACCCCTTAGATATATGTCAAACGATAAACACACCCTTAATAGCACTGTATTTATGATGCATATGTAATGCAGCGCAAACATAATTTATCTTTGCTGAATAATAATACAAATAATAACAATAATATTTCAAGCTTCATCACATGAATAATAATATTCACCCAACATCAAATAAAATTCACGAAGAAACATCAATAATAATATTCACATAACAACAAATAATATTCGTCGAGCAAAGCAACAATAATATTCATATTTATAGTACTATATATAAGCATTGTAGACCGCGGATCCTTCTCGTATAGGTGACTTGGACTTAGGCTGGGCCCTGAGCTCGCATTCGACCCTGTAGCTGGGCGATCTCTGAGAAAGGATATGCACACTTCGAACAGTATCATAACTAGGGTAAACTGGGGTTGATCCCAATTGAGCCCTCTCCAATGGTTAAGTTAGAAATTGATTTAAGCTTAGGGAGAATGGACGTAGGGTTTACACAATGTGGATATTTTTTTAGGTCAAGAACTTATTATCTTTGTCTAGAGATAGGTGATGGGTATTTATAAGGGGAGAATAAGAGACCAAGATATTTATGGAAGAGATAGTTTCCCCTATCCTCATAGCCCGAATCACATTTAATGTTTTGTCCTTGATCATCATATAGATGGACAAGAGTCAAGTGGCGAAGCGACAGGCGATTAAGGATGGAAGGTGTATTAAATGATCCATATCCATCACCAGCCTGTTCACTCAGAGGTCAACGATCAAGGCGACACGTGGTTGGGGATGAGATATGCATTTAATTAACCCTCCTTGCTTGCCATGCTATCTATCTCCAGGGCGAAGTAATGGACTTGACAGGAGCCTGGTTGAGTCTATCGGTTCGTAATACGCCTCTAGTTAGAATGCTCGCCCTAGTGGTTGGGTAATTATTCGATTACCCGAGCATTGGCCCACTCTGTGAGTTCGCTGTATTCCGACTAGGAAGATCGGCGATGACACCTCATGAATCGTATATGACGGGGTCGGTATACCGGTGACCTAGTTTGCTATAGCCACGTGGCAATTCATAATAGGCTCGACTCATAGTGATGGTATGAGCTATCAACAGTAGCCCCCTTAACTCTCAACTCAAATAGTCGATCTTGGGTAGGGAGTTTGTTCAGATTCTGTACTTTGAGTGAGCTGAGCCTATTTTGAATGATATTCAGTGCAGGTCTAGTTGGTTTATGCAGCCCCTAAGTTCCCAGTTGATGAGGTCTTCTTTAAGCCTTTGGCGCCAGATTTTGAAAGGGGTGTACTTGAGTGGGTGTGATGTGGCAATAGGTGGTTGGCTGAGCATGCGGCGCATTGAATGGCAGCTAACGTTGGGGTCTGCGAGAGGTCTCATCAATTCGCATCGCGTTGCTTCGACTGTTGGGGGTTGGCATGTCCCCACGTGTTCGCATCGTAGGTGATGTAGGCGAGGTACGGACAGTGGAGATGGTCGGGTAAGGTGCTTTAAAAGGAGAAGCACCCTAGGTTTGCTCCATTTTCTCGCCATTGTTATAGTGTGAGAGATTTGAGCCATTTCTGCCAAGCAATCTTCTCCGGTGTGCGTCTCTTACTAAGAAAACATATTTTTTTTCCAAACTTTGCATATGTGTTTGACGTATCAAAATTCAATCAAATTCGACGAAACTAATTGTGTTTTGTTCCTTGCCAAGTCTAGTTTAAAATCCAACAAATGGCTTCCTAAAAAACTCAAAGGATTGGGAGAAAAAGATAGCCAAAGTGAGGCATGTGGATTGCAAATTTCAAGAAAATGCAAATTTTCAAATTTTGTTCTAAGTCATTTTCAACCATTCTATCACTTCCAAGTTGTTCCTAAGGCTTCTAAAACTCTTTTAAAGTTCATAGCTATCATTAGAACTCATCAAAACTCAAAATGGAACCAAAATCATAAACATCCACACTTGAAAAATTGCTCTATGCACCCAATCCGAAAATAGAAGTTCAAACTCTTCAAACTCAATTTCTCCATCACTCAAATGACTCAAAAATACTCTTTAAGGGACTAGAAACACACAAACACAAAGTTAAAAATCACAAATTCGAAATTAACTCACCTTAGAGAATTTTTTTCTTCTCTTCCTCCTATTCTCCCTTCTTTTCGTCACCCAAATTTCATTTCTTTCATTGCCAAACTTATCTTAGTTTATGCAATTAATATCCTTAGCCTAAACTAGGTGACTCACCTCCAATAGATGAACAACTCATCTCAAAATCAGATTTTGAAGAGAATGTAAGAGGGAATGGGGAAGAATAAAGGGAAGAACAAAGACTTGCTTACACGTTGCCTCTTTTTTATTTTATTTTATTTATATTATTTTATATAACTCATAATTAAGTTAAATAATATTTTTATTTTTATTTTCCTAGATGTTACAGAAGAGGAAGAGGAAGAGGAAAGAGAGAAAAATAATAATTTATTAAGAGAAATTTATCTTTCCAAGAAAATAGGGAGAAGAGAGAGAAAATTACTTTATTTATTTATTTTTTATATCAAAAAATCATGTCAGGTATAATTTCATCTATTGAAAGTAGAGTAATCTAATGGCCCAAAAATTATATCAAAACTTGTGTCAAAAAGATCCACCCCCTATATCTATATATAGAGAGCAAAATGCAAAGAATTGTGAAACATTCAAAATACCAGAAAATGCCCTGGTTAATTCAAACATTAAGAATTGAAATTATTAATTAAATGAGGATAATATGGTAAATTCATATTTTTCATATTAAAAAAAATTAAAATTAAAAACAAAATCAGATAATATGTCCTACTTTTATGAAACATAACTACCCATATTATCTTTTCTTAATTCTAAATAATAATAATAATAATAATAAAACCAATTGGTACATGCATGAGCATGTGCCAAGAGGCTAGTATACATATAATTAAAAGTGAAAATGCTTTTCCTTTTACCAAAACACTTAAACAGAAAAGTTATTTCAATATAATGTTATTTTTAGTCATTATACACAGCACACAACACTTTCATACAAAAATTTTATCAGACAGTGAGAAACTAATTATTGTACCAACAACACATTTAACAAAATATTTACCAAACGTCAAACACCTCTCACAACAAATATGACAACGATTATTTTCATAGCACAACAATGCTAAATTGGCCCTAAGTGATTTTATGGAGAAACACATGAGAGGTGTTTCTTGCCATAATCAGTTAAAATCACTAAAAGTGATTATAGGGAGAAGCATGTGGGGATATTTATGCCTATAAGTGATTATGACATATCTAGAATCACTTCGAAACAAGTCCATAGTCCTATAAAAGGACAAGTTGAAATTAGAGCAATATAGTTTTATAAGGTAAGGAGTGAAAACAACCGTTCTCAATTAAATCACATAATAAGATTTCATAATGTGTTCTTTATGAACATATATTTGGAGCCAAAACTATGAATTATCATAGATGTATTGGTTTATTTTTGCTTCGTTAGTGTGCTTCTCGTAACTCCTACTATTTTTGTTACAAGCAATTGAGGGAGGGTGGAGGTGGAAGAGTTTAACAAACTGAGTTATACTCCATAAGAGGACAATGTGTCACTTGGGTTTAAATATGAGACCACCAATCAACAAATACTCTTACCACAAAGCTATGAACCAGTTTGCAAAATATTCACTATTTAAACACATAGATCGTGGGAATATATTTTAGTATTAATGATATGCTAATGATTATTATTAAGCTCAATTGTGTTTAATAAATATTTCACCTGCTCATCACTCATGCACAAGCTTCATAGTTGTTGTCACAAGAGAAAATAGTTCTACATAACAAGTTTTAGCATTTCTTTGGAGTTAGGGGGTGGTAGAAAAATGAGTCTAGAATAATGAAAGGTGGTTTCTATTGTAAACTGAAACTTTAAAAATAAAATAAAGAAGGAAAAGTTTGGGGCAAATAAATGTATATGCAAATTCACGCTACATGGGCTAGGTTGATGTTCAACTGGGCTCAGTTTTAGTCAAAGAGGCAAGATCGGTCCATTTGGTTTGAAAGCTACACAAGATCGGTACATGGGCTAGATTGATTCTGATCGTAACACGTAAAGGAAAAATCCCAAGCAGGCCCTAACAAATTCAAAGCTACACAAGACCGTTTTGAGTCTACTCGTTGGTTTGCTTACTCACCAAACCTAGCGACAGCCACATTTTGCTTCTCCTCCTCCTCCTCCTCCTCCTCTCCTCGTCATCCATCTCTCTCTGAAACAGTCTATCGTCCTCAATCAGCGATGCAACACGGAGATTACACCTCCGCTCCATATTACCAATACCCTCCGCATCAAAACCCTAACCCTAACCCTATTCCTAACCCCACCGATCCCCACCAGAACCCCTACGCCTCAGCACCACCTTTTACGACCTCCGATTACTCGCTTTATTCCCAATCTTACCCTCCGTATTCTCTGAATCCCGATCCTGCCCCTCCCACCGCTCCTTCCTATACCCCTCCTCCAATCTCCAACCCTAATTTGCAAACCTTCAATCCCACACCTCAACCACCTTCTTTCCCTCCCTTTGAGACCCATGCGCCCTATCAACCGCCGCCTCAGCAGCCATCGTATCATCCGCCATACGATCAGAATCAATCGGCTCCCAGTTATGCCACTTTGCCACCGACAATTCCCGCAAACCCTAACCATAATTCCAATCCCTCTTCTCCTTATTCGTCCGCTTACTCAGGCCCGTTTTCTCAACCTCCCTCCTCAGTCCCGCCTGTATATGAAAATCCCTACGAAAGTTCTGTGAAATTCGATCAAGGCGGTGTTGGCGGTTCCTATTTAGATGATAGGTACGGAAGCTACAACCGGACCCGATCCGATTTGGGATCGGATCTATATGGGAAGCGGTATGATTTAGGTCGCGATGAAGCGTACGGCGACGGTGTTTATGCTTACCAAGGTGACAAGGTGGAGCCATACGGGGCTCGTGGCACAGCACCCAAGTCTTCAAGCTCGTCTTTATTCGATGACTACGGCAGGTCGATCAGTTTCCCTTCTGGGAAGAACTCATCAGTGAGCTCCGGCAAGATCGTGCGGGCAGTGCCGAAGGCCGATACTCAAGAAGACGCGAAGAGTGGGGTGCTTAAGTTCCGGGTCAAGCTGTTGGCTGAAAGTGGAGGACAGAGCACCATGGATGTTCTTTGTCAGGTATGAACATGGAGGCACTTTGTCCTATTTTAGTGGAAATTTAATTCATGTTTTAGGACAAGCACAACTATTAAATTTTCAAATTTTTATTTATGTTATTTTGTTGATTGGGCTGTTATTCTACCATCTCCACTGTGTTGATTGCCACATTGTTAATTTTCGTTTTGATTGTACATTCCCTATTTCTTTCTTTCTTTCCCATTCTTACCATTTGATTTTGTTCTAATCCTTATCGTCTCCCCATTGTCTCAAAGACCTATTATGTTCTTGACAAGGGGTTGGAGTGGGAAGTTTCGTATTGTTTTCCCATGCTTACGAATTTCAGTAATTAGATCATAGCCTTAGGCGAGAACTGTAATTGGAGCTTCACCACTAGATAGAAATCATGTTTTAGCATAAATGTTACTTTAAAGAAAATGGTAAATAGGGACTATAAATTATTGAATTATTGTGCTATCTCCTGTTATTTGAATTTTACGTTTACAAGTGTTTTAATACACATGAAGATGCATTCTTCTTTTAAATTTTTAATGGTATCTTCTATAACTTGTTTTACTATCTTATAAATGACAGCAGCACTCACTGAGACTTCCTTTTCAGTGGATTTAATTTAATATTTAAAATGCACATTTTAATTTTTTTAGTCTAAGAGCACTTCCACCCATTTGCCATGGCAAAGGGTAAGGCAAGGGCTGTTACTATTCATGTGAATAGTGGCAGCCCTTGCAAAAGGCTTGTGGTGTTTCCACCCATTGGCAACCACTATTCACATGAGATATGAGGAGAGGAATTTGTATAGAGTTTTGGTGTGGGAAGTGAAGAATATGGCTAAGTATTTATTTAAAAAAAATTCTGAAATTTTTAGTATTTTTTTTAAAAAAATTTGTTGCTGATGTCAGCAAACCCAGGCAACAGCCCAGGCTGTTCTTGCCTTTGGGCTGGCCTGGTTTGGTGGGACCCATGTGCTGCCAGGGCTGTAGAAGCCCGCTGGAACTACAAATTGGGGCTTGGGCCCCTTGTTGCCCGGGCAAGGGGCCATTGCTGGAAGCGCTCTAAAAGATGATTCCAGAATTGTTAGTTTAAATTTCTCTAATTTTCCATGTGTTTCTATGTGAACTCTCCTATATTCGATATGCATGTAATGTAAGCATGAAGCTGTTTTTGGCATTCATCTGAATGATTATCTTAGGTTGGTTTGAAGTCTGGATAGTATTTTGGATGTCACCCATTGTTCTTGTTTAGTTCCTTTGTCTTTTTCTTCTTGTTTTTATATAAATTTTGTTGATAGAAAAATTATCTTCCAGATTGGTTTGGATGGTATTCGTATGCTTGATCCTGCTACCAGTCGGACATTGAGAATATATCCCCTCGAGACCGTTACAAGATGTGAAGTAAGTTTGTTCTAGTTTCACTTTGATTCTAGTATGGAACTGTTAGTATTTGGTTTGAGGTCTGAATAATTTGTTTCTTCCCTTCTCATGCAGGTAACTGATTCATCTACATTTGCATTTTGGTCAAAGAGCTCTGTCGATATTGAGCCAAGACGTATTAGATTGCAGTCAAGTAGTTACACCACCAACACCCTTTTGGATACAGTGACTGCTGCGACTGTACAGGTTGGGTTTTTTAGAGTTGTATTTTCCCCTTTTTAAAAGAATAATAGTTCCCTTTCATAACTGACAGCACTGAGCTTAGAAATTAGCTTTAGGTTACCTTTGGATGGGGCCTGTCTTATACACGAGGTTGGTATAATTTGATTGATGATGGTATTGAAGTACATCAAACTGAGTTCTCTGTGCATAAGTGGATGAATATCAAATGCGTTCCTTCAATGCCTAAAGATATTTACTTGAGGTTTTTACTATGTCTTGTACTGGTTGGTTTCTAGCATTCATAATTCGAAAAATGAAATCCTTTTTCTTCTGTTTGTATATGCTGATATTTTTATTGGTGATTTTGTCTTTGTAACTTTATATGCTTTTCTTTTACTGCAGTCCAGAAAGAGGCATAATATAGTCCCCATGTTTTATGTCCTCAAGACTATGGTTATCCTTATCAATGATTTTCGTTGATTATTATTAGTGACGCATTACGCTTATCTCTTGTTATTCAGCTTAAGGAAATGGGTGGAAGAATCAAGCCAACTGAATCTTTAAAGCCAAATGAACAGTCTGCAGAGAGAAAGAAAGGATTAACTGATTGGATGAACATTATAAAACCGGGAAATGAGGAGAAAGATCATTGGGTAATACTAGCTTATCTTCCTGAAAGCTTTTTTGCCATTTTAGAATGACATAAATGTGGTAGTGCTTAATATTACTCCATGGACACCTTTTAATGCGGTGAATGTCTGTTGGAGTTCTTTTAGCAAGTAATAAAGTGATCTTGGAATTTTTGCTCTTGCTTATTTCATTATTGTTTTTTTAGGTCCCTGATGAAGCAGTTACAAAATGTACAGCATGTGGGACAGATTTTGGGGCATTTATCCGTAAGGTATGTCTAATTTTAAGACGGCATCTTCAGAGTTTGTTGTTCATGCTAGCGTCTTATGAACTTATCGGTTTCTCCTCCATTGTAGCATCACTGCCGGAACTGTGGAGATATTTTCTGTGACAAGTGTACCCATGGCAGAATTGCATTAACCGCTGATGAGAATGCTCCGCAGGTTCGAGTTTGTGACCGATGCTTGGTACGTCTCTAAACTTATCACATCATTCCAACTACGTCAGTAGGAAGCCCATAGCGGGTGTGGAGAGGACTTAAGATTCCATTTGTATTTTAATATTTTATATTTCGTTTTGCTTCTCAATATATTTTATATTTTGACATGTTGTTATGGAGTATATCACACAAAATGGTCTGGTTTCCATTTTCTTTTATTGTGTTCCTGTGAAGATTTAGCCTCTTAGGATGTTAGTTTCTGATCAGAATTTTCATTTATTTTCAGGGAACTAGGTCAGTTGTTCAGGTATTTGCTCCACTATGTTTGGATAATTAGATTGACCAAGTAGTTTCCCACCATTTTCATTGTTGTTCCCTGTAGGAAATAACATAACAGCTTGGTTAGTCTCGTAGATCTGTTGAAGTGGAGATTTCGGTTCTTTTTGTATGTGTTTTTTATAGGAAAAAAAAAGTAACGTGAATGAGTTTGCTGTTCTTTGGGAATGCCTTCATTACTGCTCGTATCATTAACTTGGAACAATTTGTTACAGTTTTCCTTTCGACTTTCTATTTGGTCAAACAAAACATAAATGATAAAGAATGTTTAGACAAGCTATAGCGGTCATGTGATTTGGAAGTTTCATAGATTATGTCTTACCTTGTAGTGACTGGTTGGATTCATTGTTATTAGAGTCTTGGTTTGTGTTGGCAAAGGGATCTTGGATGGAAAATTTACAATCGATTCATATTTGGTCCATGGGTTTTATGTCCGAGTTACTTTTCCAAGGTTTAGTTATTTTTAGTAAGTTTGGCTTATGCCAGAACTTCTGCACCATATAATTATCTTGAAATGAAGAGTCCTTACAGTGTCATTATCATTTATAGGCTGAAGTGACTCAGAGGCTGAGTAATGCTAAGGAAGTATCTAGTAAACCTGCAGGATTGCAGAGTCACGAGGATCTTGCCAAGAAGCTTCAGGTGATTTTAGTGTTCTGTGCGTCTTTTTGCTTCTAACAGTCTGCATTTTCTAATTGACAAATTATGTTTGCACTGAATGTAATTTTAATTTATGAATATGTAAGCTGAATATCTAATAAGTCTGGATCAGTACTTGCATTTTTTATATTCTTGTGTGTGCGCTTACACTTCGTTTTTATTTTTTTAAATTTAATTTTCTGTACAGGAGGAGATGGAAAAGAATCGCAAGGAATCCTCAGGTAATTTCTTTGCTTTTGAAGATTGGATGGTGGAAAATATGGCTGTGAAAAAGAAGTTTTTAGTCTCCTTTTAATGTTATTATTTGTGGACCAACGCGCTAAGTGTGCAGTTAAATAAACCAGTGGGGTTTCCTGCAGTTTGTAATATTCAAATAGTCCTTTAGAAGCTAGAAGCATATAGACATTGCTTATTTGCTTGTGATTCGTCAGGTTCAAAGTCTGATGGATCTGGAAGGCGGATGAGAGAGGTTGCCTGTCCTACATGCACGGTCCATTTGCAGGTAATATTTTAGATTTTCAAGGGTGTCTCATGCAAATTATAAGTAATCATATTTTAAAGGTTGAAATATATATTGTTTTTTTGAAGCTCATTTTACATAGAAGTTCAAATGAGTTTGAATTGAAGATTAAATCTCACTCTTTCTTAGCATGTGTAGAGTCTTAGTGTGCACTGTGCATATTCATATTTTTGCATGTAGTTGTTGATTCCATTACTGGAATTGTTGCAGGTTCAAGTTCCCAGCTCAGGTTCGGAGACCATCGAATGTGGGGTTTGCCAGAATCCATTTCTTGTGAGTGCTCATTGATTGAAAACAGATTTTGACGACAGCACTCAATAGTTCCCTTTGAAGATGCTGGTTATTTTATTGGTTTGGGTATGTTTCCTAATAATTTGGAAGAGCTTTTACTGTGTCATTGTCTTTCTGGTTTGTTGTTGACCGGATGGCTGTTGCTTTCTGTCGTTTAGCGTGTATATGAAGTATTTATTTGAGAGCCCCATCAACTGGGTCATGCCTTTATGTAAATTGATGTTTATATAATTACGCCTTTTACGTCAAATACTTGATGTGAAATTGCCCCTTGTGTATATGAAATGGCTCATCAACACTGTTAGTTTCAATTTGTTATTCCATACGTGAGGTTGTATTTTTTGTGAAATTTGGTGGAATATGTTCTTTTGACTTCTTTGCCATATCTTTTCGTCAAGTTTGGTTTGTCCTTGCATTGACGAGAGAATGCTGTTTTTTCCAAATGGTTTACCGTGTTTTGTGCCTAGGGGTAACTTATTTCTTAGAGTCATTCGATTCGGTGTTATTAATAAAGATATATTAAGAAATGGAAAGAAATAAATGTGTTGGATGCCAATTTCATTTCGAAGATGAGGTTGTATGTCATCATCCATTCACTTATTATTTTTTTGGCAATTTATGTGATATGGTTAGGAATTTAGGATCTTTTAATGTGATTATTGACATAAGTAGGGGACCTTTGAATATTTATAGTTTTTATCTGTGCGATCCATTGATTTGGGAATGTACTGGTATCCGGTCAAAAGCCTGCTTTGCCTTTGCATTTTTCCTAGGGTTTTCTGGAAGAGCCTCTTTGGCTTGGCATTGGCATTGATAACAATAATCAGTCCACTGACTGGCGATAACTATACAAATCCACTTTAATCGAGAAGCTCGTGGCCAAATTTGTGGGCCTAATATTGATGGTGGTGATGACGAAGAGGACCTTACAACTTGCACTTCATCAAGTAACGGCTCACTCTCAATTACAACATACAAGTTTCTGTTGCTTTTGGATTTTTTCCGCCATCAACTTCATATTTACATACACCTATCAATCGGGGGAAAAAAAAAAGAAAAAAAAAGAGAGGGATAGGAGTCTGCAGCTAATTAATAGGTAAGACGTGATCAAACTCACAGCTGGTGCGGGCCAAGCCAAGTTGTTATTAATCTATTGCATAATCCTTATTTGATGAGGCAATATCGCTTTCAAATAAAAGTCTGAGCAATCGCATATGTTATAAAATAATATTAGGAGGCTGTAGCCAGAATGATCTAAGATGTTGCTTTGCATGGTGGATGGATTATTATAGTCTGGAATCATTAATTAATAAGAATAACTCTGCTTCTGTCGCGCCAACCGTTGAGGAATTAATCGCTGCAATTAATTTCGAGCGGTATTGTTACCTGGACTAGTCTGTTCTGTGGCCTTCAAAGTAGCCTCCTACTGTAGCAGTACCTTTTACCCTCCCTCCTCCCTCTGGCTACACACACACACACACACTGTTGCTTTTTATCTTTTTCTTCTTTTTTCATTGCTCCGTACCCGTGAAAATTTTTAATAAATTTAGGCTTGATGTCACCACCATCATGATTCATGGCATTGGCAGGTCTAGATTAATAAGATTTTGTTTTGTACTTGATTTGATGAAGAAATGGGTGTGGCGTGTAGGTTTTTCCTTACCCTTCCTTCAATAACAGAAGCCAACACCCAGTTGGCTTGTTTTGTATATAGATATATCATCTGGTAGTTAAACCAAACTGAGTGCGTTTTGTATATAATCCATCTAACAACAAAAGTAACACATACACTCTCCATGCCTTGAGCTCTACTTAATTTCTAATTACTGCCAATCTTCTTAATTACAAGCCAATTTAAAATGATATAAATCATGACTTGGGTTGGGCAGGCAAACATCACAATCTGTGTTTGGTCTGAAAGTTTACCGCTTGATCCAGAAAGTCGACGTTTTTCATTTCATGTGCTAACTAAAAGATAATGTCTCGAGCTTTCATTTCACAAGGAAGCCCCATTTCTTCTAAAGATTATAACAACTGTGGACCAATCATCGCTCCCTCACCTGTAATGCCTAAAAATATATATCTTTGCTTCAAGGGTCAAGTTTCCAGCGTAAGATATAAGGATGCATGAGCAGGAGGCCATGTGGCTGATCATTGAATCATAAATGACAGTTTTCAATTCTTTTAGTTGAGAAATATTGAACATATATATCGCTAGTGGGTTTTTTTTTCCACATTATTGATTGTAAACTTATTAGACCCACCAATGGCTAGTGCAACAGTACGTAGCACGTTATTAATTATGAAGAAAGGAAGGTTTTCTATAATTTTCCCATTTTCCCATAATTTTCATCTATTTGTTCCTTTTGTGTACATGGAGAAAGGAAGGTTTTCTTCGTGCCTAGTACCCACATAAATATATTTTGCATACATACATATATGTATGCAGTTATCCTTTTATTGGGATGTTTGTACGTTATTATTGTGCGAATGCTACTGTAAATGGAAAGACAAGTAAAAAGAAGTACATAATATCCGCACGACAATAATGTCCGAACGTCTGTATAATTATATATTCATTACAAATTTTTATGTTTGTACAATATAGATATATCTTGATCACTGAAATGACTACTTGATACAGTAAAATATACCCAAATTGAAATGGAATGATTGCAGTTGAAAATGTGTCACACCAACTTTTTTTTATTTGAAACAGCTCGGATTTCTTTTTTCTGGTAAGAAGAAAAGCTTGGATTAAGTCTCTTGTGTGTACATTCAATGACTAGAAAAAGGCAAGAGCACAATATTTTCACATCTTGTCTGCTCTATATGTGTATAAAAGCACCTGGAGTGTGTATGTGTGTATGTGTGTGAGTGAGACCAAACAGTTGTCACAACTTCCCTTTGTTTTGTTCTCTTCCTCTGAAAATAATGGGAGTGGGATTCTTCTTTATGGAGTTTTCATCTTCTTCTTCCTCCCAATCTAAGTCCCAGTTGATAGTATATGTTTGTCTTGTAGTTTTTGGTCTTTTCCATTACCCCACAATTACTGTAGAGGCTGCCGTGAAGATACCTCCAGGCCAGACAATTCCAGCGGTCATCGTGTTCGGTGATTCTATAATGGACACGGGCAACAACAACCATCTTAAGTCTCTTATTAAGTGCAATTTCTCTCCTTATGGAAGAGATTTCCAGGGACACAAGCCAACAGGCAGATTTGGCAATGGAAAAGTGCCCTCTGACTTCATAGGTATGTTATATATATATATATATATCTACTAAATCTCGCTCTCCCTCTCTCTCTTCCCGTCAATATATACTCACAGTATATATATATATATATATATATATATATATATGCATGACAAATAATATACATGTAAACTAAAGAATATGAATGAAGAATTTAGCAATTAATTTGTCGTCACAATTATCCAACCAAAATTCCAAGTTTTTTTTTCAGTAGGTATATTTCATTCCATTAGAAAGTGGGAATAATGGGCATATTATGTATGCACTCGTTAAGAAACTTATATGGAAAACCTCCAAATATGAAAGAATACCACACGTGCCGAAGAAGTATAAAACTAGAAATAAATTATATAGCATCAATGAACAAAACATCCTGTAGAAAATCTGGTGAATCAGTAACTCATTCCGCCACTCCATGAGAGTATCGAGCATAGCGAGAGCCGAGCGAGTTCCAACCAAAATTCCAAGTTTTGGCATATATGTGTGTGAATATTCCAAGTTTATATATTCACATGCTGCTCATGTTTGAAACAATCACATGTTTAATAAAGCTAGCTTTTTTCTGAATTCAGTTTGCGGATTTATATATGAAGTTTAATTTTGTTTTAATTCAGAAAGTAGCAATATAATAATTAATTTATTTAGTTGAGATATATTTATATATCTCGTGGTTTCTTCTTTTGTTAAATTACTTGCTTATTAACACTAACACTCGGTTTTTGAATTTTGAAAATTATGAGCAGTGGAAGAACTGGGAATCAAAAGTATTTGCCGGCGTATTTAGATCCTAGTCTACGGCCTGAAGATCTGGCCACGGGAGTCTGCTTTGCTTCAGGTGGCACGGGATACGACCCAATGACACCCGAAATAGTGGTATGTACGATCGCATCTAATAATACAACAACTACAACCCTAATATTAATTAATTTTAATTTATTCTCCAATTAATTATGATGAAATACAGTCAGTTATATCACTCTCGGATCAGTTGTCAATGTTCAAGGAGTATATAGGGAAGCTTAAAGGCATTGTTGGAGAAGAGAGAACCAACTTCATTCTATCCAACGCTCTGTTTCTGGTGGTGGCTGGCAGCGACGACATTGCCAACACCTATTTTACCATTCGCGTAAGAAAAGCCCAGTATGATATTCCTGCTTACACCGACCTTATGGTCGACTCCGCGTCTAGTTTCGTCAAGGTACCTGACATATATATAATGTTGTTTGTTGGATCTAATCTTAATCTAATTAATATTTAGACTTAGGGTTGATAATTATTAACTCAACTGGCAGGAATTGTACGGACTCGGCGCGAGAAGGATTGGTCTGTTCAGTGCACCACCAATAGGATGTGTGCCTTCACAAAGAACATTAGGTGGAGGATTAGCAAGAGACTGCGCCGAAGAATACAATGAAGCAGCAAAGTTATTCAACGCTAAACTTTCCCGGTCTCTCAACTCCTTAAACACAGCCCTCCCAAACAGCAGACTGGTCTACGTGGATGTCTACAATCCACTACTGGAAATCATTCTCAACCCTGCCAAGGATGGTAAGCCTACGATAATTGATCATCAATCAATCAATCTTAATTTTCTCATTTTGGGGTAATTAAGTAATGAATGAATGAATTTCAGGGTTTAAAGTTGCGGAGAAAGGATGCTGTGGAACTGGGGCCATAGAGGTAGCAGTGTTATGCAACAAGTACGATGCCACGTGCGCAAATGCAAGTGATCATGTGTTTTGGGATAGTTACCATCCCACAGAACGGACCTACAGTGTGCTGATTCCCCCACTTCTCCGAAGATATGTAAACGATTTCCTTGTTGGCAACTGAAACTGATTACATTTTCATATGCTCCAATCAGCATATAATAAATAACATATTATGAATCGCTTTGTTTCTCGAAGTCACGTAATAATCTATAAAAATACAGTTATCAAATAATTTACGTTTGAATTAATGCGGAGTCAATGGGTTCTGAAAAATGGTACCACAACCACAACCACAACGTATCAATATCAAAATCCTGCAAAAAAGAGGTTGCAACCAACCACACATTATAATTTTATGCAATTATTATGGTGGGGAGATTTTAACCATAGGGCCAGAGATATGTTGGTTGGGGGTTTAGATAGATGTATTACTACCAAGAATGCGACTTGCAGGACCGACAATCAATTCCTTTTAACGATCAAGACCCGCAAAAAGACAAAACTCCATCCATAATTCTTTTCTTTTGGTCGACCTTGATTTCCATACACTGAATGATTGAATGACACTACTGTGTTGCTATGTATAAATGATTAAAAACAATGGTATGAGGAATTCATATGAATGTTTTCGCACCGGTGCTCACCCTCACTACTTTTGTATCTTTAAAATTATGAAATTTAAGGTGTCACATGGATCAGAACAAATTTGGTTGAATTCAGTTGGGAAGCAAAGGGATGTCGAGCGAACAATAACTGGTTTTATATGTTTATATTCTAGTGGGTGACAGAAGTGAAGTGGCTACGGGTTTCTCGTGGAATATTATTGAGATGAGTTTATTATGATATATGAAATACACTGTTGCAACTTGCATGCATACTTATTATCATGGAATGAAATGAATAATATATATATATATATATATCTTATTCGGATCTGCACATTATTATAGTACGGATGTTACTCAGAAAAGAAGCAAGGAGTAGTACAAAATACATGACGTTTGCACGATAATAATATCGTGATGTTTGCACACAAGAATTTTTGTGTATATATATATATATATATATATATTAATTGTTGAGTGTTTTAAAAAACACATACATGCATGATACATACATATGGTCCCAACTCAACTCCCAATACTAATGCATGATCAACAAGAGCCAAGAGGGGCATAGCTGATTAAGCAGTTGCGCATTCATGCATGATGCATCCAGCAGCACGAAAACCATGCACACGGCAAGCAGGATATGCCTCACTCAGAGGACCATAAATTTATAAGAAAAAAAGAGAGAAAAGAAAGTATTTTTTGATATTTTTATTCTAAACAAAAAATGATTCCAAATAAATTTAAAAACTCCTTATATGGCACAGACTCTTTTTAGCTAATCGACAAAATGTAACGCAGTTAATTCTTACATTAAAGCTGGAGGAATCGAACGGTTGGGTCTTCAACATTAACATTGTTCAATACTGCATGTAGTGCACCAGTGACGGTAATAACCAGAGGTACTCTTGCTGCGGATTCAGCTTCGTATTCAATGGGTGGGCCTTCTGTACTTCTATCGACTGTACGCATCAACAGAAGATTTGCCTCACTCAACTGCTTGCATTTACCCCAAATTTGTCTCTTCCGCTTCACAACTACACACGCACCTTTTAATCCATTCCTCGACTTTAAAGCATCTCCAACAGTACGTAGCGAATAAATTGAAGTTTGTGACTTACCTGACAATTTGAAAAGTATTATTTGCTATTTAAATAGTTTTTACTTTAATAAACTCTTTAATTCAATTATTATTTATGTATTTATTATAGGATAAATTTCACTTTACTATTTGAAAGTTTCTTGAAATTCAAACTTTGATACACTAAGTTTTTTTCCTCTCCTCACACATGAATTTTGATTTTACTACAACTTTCATGCCTCCGTTACTTTGACTGTCAAATTTTATGTTAATCAATGATGTGACATTCATAACTCCACATTTGATCACACATCTTAGGGAAAAATAAATAAATAAATAAGTAAATCTAATTAATATATCTCTCTTTCTTTAACTTTTTTTTTCCTCCCACATCCCATGTCAGACCCCACCCCACCATCTTCTTCCACACGACCAAACCCATATGCACCGTAGCACCTCTATCTTAGTCCCAACCTTACCTCCACCATCATCCACCCAACCCACCCGCAGCAGCTCCCAAGCCCATTGGAAGATTAACTAACAAGCATCAAACTCTGAACTTTAATTTATGTGATGGAAAAACTTGCAATGGTTTAGCTGTGGCATGACTATTGGGCAACGTTGAGCAAATTAGCCTCCCCCAATTCAGTCCTACTTCTCGTTTTTTTATTTTGCTGTTATTTTATGAGATGGGACTCTAAAAAATAATTGGATATTATTAATGGTCTGGTTGCCATTGCCGTATATGATTGATGACTCCATTAATAATAACTGGAACATTGACGTTGGTAGATGGGGAAATTTATGTGGCGCGACATGTGTCGTGTGTGGAATACATTTTTCGCGTTTTGAATTGCTGGTTGGTTTGGTTGTTGTTCAAATTCATTCTATATAATATGATTGGCTGTTTTATTAATTGTTGAGATGATGTCCCGTGTCCCTTATCCTATAAAATAAAATAACCTAATTATTTTGTTTATTTTGTTTTGTTGCATTTGTTTTGCCCTTACTAGCCACGTACCAACTACTATATTTAGATGTGTCTGGTGCGCGATGTGGAATACTGATCGTCAGAACAAATGACACTACATATTGAATAGAAGATGTATAAATGCACACATGTACAGAACAGAACCAAGGAGGGCCCAGAAGTTGCCTCACTTTCTTTATCCTTTTCCTTTAAAATGGCGAAATTTAGATTTCCGTCATTTCAATTTCTGGCAATTGAAGATTTCAGTGTTTTGATTTATGTATGTCAAATTTTGTAAATAACAGAAATTGAAAATTTCAATATTTGGATAACTCATGTAAATTATAAATGAAAGAAATTAAATATTTCGAAAGAATAAAAAAACTGATAACCGACATAGAAAGTATTCCTCGAAGTATGAAATAACATATCGTTTGATGAAATAAAACTCATTCTCCTTACTTCTATGGCTATAATCGGTTTCATAGGTTTTTTGCAATGTTTTTTTTTATTTTTTTTATTTTTATAATGAAAAGTTTGGTGGGTTTTTTTTTAATGTAAGTTGTGGCACACTGGAAAATATGAATTCTCGCACTACGGAAATTGTGAAATGACGCCTATTTTGATGGAAATTAAACTCGGAAATTTGATGCCCCAATGTCCATGATTTTTTCCATGCGTCATTTAATAAGTTCCGCGTTTAAGTTGTCAAACAAGGGAATTGTCAATTTCTCTTCTTCAATTCCTGACTTTTACCTAAATTCCTAGTTATTTTTCCCCATCCAAACGGAGAATTATTGGTTTAGTTTGAACTAGCTAGACAATATTATACGTACCCTCAAGTTCAACCCAAAAAGAGAGAGATTGCAATTGGAATTGAAAGAGGCGTATTCAGTGATCACGACAATATTATTAATGATGATGTTGTTTGTTTTTTCTAGTATGGTAATATTGGTATTACTATTAATGACGACAGAAGCGGCAGGTGGAGGAGGAGGTGGTGGTTTAGGGGTTAAGCTGCTAGCAGCTGCCAATGTTACAATTCCAGCTATGTTTATGTTTGGAGATTCGATCGTTGATACAGGCAACAATAACGACAATCTCAAAACACCAGCTCGCTGCAATTTCCCTCCATATGGCAGGGATTTCCGGGGAGGCATACCCACTGGCAGATATTCCAATGGAAAGGTTCCCTCTGACTTCATAGGTTGTGCATCAATAATCTCTCTCTCTTTCTGTTTCTTTTTCACTCTCATTCTCGTGGTCAATTGATCATCCACTCATTTGACCGTCAGTTTAATTAGTTACTAGAAATATCTAGCACTGTCTTTCCTTTGTTGCAACTTGCTAGAAAGATTTCAAAGGATATTTGGTTGGTTGTCAATTGGCAAATCAGTTAACATCATATCTAATTTTATTAATTACTCCAACGTGCCCTAGTCTCCGAGTTGTCACATCTGTTCTTTTGTGTACTTCGCCAGCTGTCCAAATCTTACTTATAGTTTTTTTTGGTTATGTTGCTGCCTATGGACAATGCATAGAAAATGATTAGAGAAGTGAAGGCAATACTTGGCCATTTAACGTAGGAAAAAAGAATTCGGGAGACTGGGCTGTCCATCGTTGTTAAAGCCCATGGTTTGATGGGTATTGTCTGGGCCTTCTTGTCAACTTTCTCAGTCCAATAAGGAAAATAAGAAAGAAAAACATTCTATATGCAACAAATTAAACAATATGGTCCTTTAGTTTCGTGAGTATTGTGGCACTAGAGTTGTTCTTCAATCTTCATCATAATGCAAGTTTGATTCCTTATACTTCCATTTTGTTCTTTTTTTTTTTTTCATTTTTTTTTCAGCGGAGGAATTGGGTATTAAGGAGCTCTTGCCAGCCTATTTGGATCCAAACCTAGCGCTGAATGATCTGCTTACGGGTGTCAGCTTCGCTGTAGGTGCCACGGGATATGACCCTATGACAGCAAAAGTTGTGGTAAAACGACTTGCATTAGTTGATTATGCTTGCTAATCAAGTTCATTTTCACTTAACTTGTTCTTAGTCACTTGTTTTTTTCTTTGGTTAAACTTAAAAAGGCAGTTACAACACTATCCGATCAATTGCTACAATTTGAAGAATACATAGGAAAGCTGAAAGGAATTGTGGGAGAAGATAGAGCAAACTCCATCTTGGCTAACAGTCTCTTTTTCGTGGTAGCAAGCAGCAACGATCTTGCCAATACCTACTTTGTTACTGGCATTAGGAAATTGGAGTATGATGTGCCTTCTTACACCGACCTCATGCTCAATCTCGCTTCTGATTTCGCTTCTGATGTGACTTTAAAACATATTAAATCCGATCGATGTCAAAACTATATAATAGTAATCTCTGTCAAAGCTTGTAATTTTGATTTGTTTGATTTCTTGTGTTGTGAAAAGGGGTTGTATGCATTGGGGGCACGGAGAATAGGTGTTTTCGGCGCACCCCCTATTGGATGTTTGCCATCCCAGAGGACTTTGGGAGGAGGTATGCTAAGAGACTGTGTAGAGAAACCCAACCAAGCAGCCATGTTGTTCAACTCCAAACTCTCGGCAGAGCTGGATGACCTCAACAAAAACCTACCCAACTCAAACCTGGTATATATGTTGACATCTACAACCCTCTACTCGATCTCATCATCAACCCTACTCATTACGGTAACTTACCCTAAACTTATAACGTAATCCATTAATTCAAGGCTTAATTAAATTATAGATTCAAGTCTAGTGTTAATTATATTACATATTAATTTGGTATGTTTTTAATTACTTATTTTGTGCATGCGCATGCAGGCTTTGAAATTGCGGATAAAGGGTGTTGCGGGAGTGGGAAGCTGGAGGTGTCTATACTTTGCAATGCATTCGAGCCAGAGACTTGTACTGATGACTCTAATTATGTGTTTTGGGACAGTTACCATCCCACTGAAGCCGCATACAAAATCATTGTCAAGGAACTCTTGACTAAATACATCTACCGCTTGGCATGAGAGACAAATCAACTCATTAATTTATATATAATTTTATTTAATTATTCAGATTGAGGATTTGCAGAGAGCTCATGATCCTCCAAATCCAATGGAATAAATCTCTGCAAAGGCCTTTTTGGTTACTCTCAGTCTCAGGGAAATTGTACCAAATTATAGACATGATTCATATGGAGCACTGATTATACAATAATTATTGAAAGCTTATTATAATATATATTACAGATTTCCTTCCTTGTTTTGAATTTTGATTGAGTTTTAAATTCAAGCACGTGATTATTGTACAATTAATAATGCAGTTGGGCAGGTCTAAGTCACTTCAGTGTGTTTTAGTAGGTAATGGAGAAATATGTAATGAATTTAGGCAATTGGCAATTTGGCACGGCTAGAAAAAGAAACATGCAAGCACTGTGCACGTGGCTTCAGAATATGCATAAATTATGCAGAGAGGCACACCATACATGGATGCCCATGCCCTGCCCAGCATATGAATAAATTATAATTGGAGGTAGCTCTAGCATCTCAATCAGTGAGCGTTGCATTGATTCTATATCTGAACTTCCAACTGTAACTATATATATATACACACATCAAGATCAAGTGGATCCATGTGCCATTGCCCACAATTGCATATCAAGCAATTAAGAGCAGGTTTGTGCTGTTTAAGCATCTGTGGGAGTGGGATATAGGAGGACCGCTGACGAGCACCCTCTTAATTAGGCGGCCACCAAGCAACCCTTAGAGCATTTATAATGGGCTCTCTAAACCACCTCCTTAGACAAATTTTAGGAAGGAATCGTAAAAATGCAACTTAAACCACGCTCCATATCCACCTCCTAAAATATGGGGTCTTCTAGGAGCTCCTAAATCTAAGGAGAGAGAAATGACTCCTAGGGACTCCCTATAATTTAATGATACTTTATTTAATGAGTATTTCAAACATTTATTTAATGCTAACTATTTTTTATTTTATTTTTTTTAATAGAGATGGACTAATAAAAAAAGAGTTATAGCATTTATGACTCTCCAAATTATGGAGTATAGTTGGAATTGAAATTTTTTAGAGAGCTCCTAAAATAACTTTATTATATTTTTAGCTAAGAAATAGAGAACAGCATTGTGGATGCTCTTAAAAGGGTATATTATATACTAGTATTACTTTGCACAGCTAAAAATAATACAGGAGAGTATTTATTGGCTGTTGCAAATAAGTAGAACACAGCTAAAAATATATGCATCTGTTTCCTCCATGTTTGTGTAATTAATAAATGCGTAGCATTAAGGATCAACTGAAGAAGATTAGATCACTATATAAATGCACAGAAAAGTATACCAGACACGCAAGAAAATTGTCAAGCCCACTTTCCTTCAATCCTTTGAATATTTCCTTCAGTTTTTATTCCTACTTGTGTGATTAAGTGGACTGGAGAGATCCAAACCCAGAAATGCATGCAGATACAGGAGGACTAGCTATGTGCAGTCCTCAGTGGGTCAGGCAGAGACAGTGCTCATCAAAAACGATATGCATATTTAATATATTTTTCGTGCTTTTCTTGTGTAATATTATTAATATTACAGAGGCAGCAGCTGCGAGAATCAAGCTGCCAGGGAATGCAAGTGTTTCAGCAGTGATTATCTTTGGAGATTCGATTGTTGATACGGGCAACAACAACAACAATTTCAAAACACTTGCACGCAGCAATTTCCCTCCCTACGGGAAAGACCTCAAGGGAGGGATGCCCACAGGAAGATATTCCAATGGAAAGGTTCCCTCAGACCTCATAGGTTGTCATCCTCATCATTAATTCATCAAACATTCAACTTTTACTAATTGCATTTTGATTATCATTAGGAATCAACTTGAACAAAACAATAAATTTTATTTTGATTGTCATTAGGAACCAGCTTGATCTCGTGCATACATACTAAATTTTGTCCAAGAAATCCAGAATGAAATTCTTATATCTCATGCATGATGCATACACACTAAAATGTTCAATCAAAGCCGAGCCAAAAGAAAAAAAAAAATTACTTCATTGAGTTGGCTAGTATGCGGCCCTTACACGAATGAAAGATAAATGCTGTGTGTGTGTGTGTGTGTTTTTATTTTCCCCAGTGGAAGAATTAGGAATCAAAGAGCTGTTGCCCGCATATTTGGATCCAACCCTGCAGCCTAAGGATCTCCTTACTGGCGTAGTAATAGCTGCTGGTGGCGCAGGTTATGACCCCTTGACAGCACAGGTCGCGGTAGGGACACCTATTTAAACCTTTTCTTTTTCTTCTTCTTCTCAATTTTGTTGTTTTTATTTTCGACTCATTAATTATTCTGGAAGTTCCTTCCTTGTGTTGTCTCTGTTTGTTATTTTTTGTGAAATATGTAGGGAGTTGCATCACTATCCGACCAATTGAAACAGTTCAAGGAGTACATAAAAAAGCTAAAAGCAATTGCTGGGGAAGAGAGAGCAAACTTTATCATATCAAATAGTTTGATTTTTGTGGTAGCTGGCAGCAACGATATTTCAAATACCTATTTTCTAACCGGTATGAGAAAATTGGAGTATGATGTTGCTTCTTACACTGACTTAATGCTCAACTACGCCTCTGAATTCGTCAAGGTAAGCTCTTAAACTCAACAACTTTGCATATATATATATGTATAGTTAAAAGTTTGATTTAGCAAAGGGGTTAATTATTTGGTAGGACTTGTACGGACTGGGGGCACGAAGAATCGGTTTACTCAACACACCACCGATTGGATGTGTACCCTCTCAGCGAACGGTTGCAGGAGGCGTGCTTAGAGAATGCGACGAGAAACAAAACCAAGCATCGCAGCTTTTCAATTCCAAACTCTCCGCAGAGGCGGATGACCTTAACAAAAACCTGCCCAATTCCAGGGTGGTCTATATTGACATCTATAATCCACTGCTTGATCTCATCAACAACCCCACTAAATACGGTACAGATGTTAATCTGCGTAGCTTAAGCTCTATTATATTTATTTACAGGTGCTTGTCGATGTCATAAGTTAACAAACTGAAAGCAATATTTGAATACGTACGGCGTGTAGGCTTTGAAGTTGCGAATAAAGGATGTTGTGGTAGTGGGATTATTGAAGTAACAAAACTGTGCAACCAGATTCAGCCTGCAGGCACTTGTTCAGATGACTCTAAGTACGTTTTCTGGGACAGCTACCATCCAACAGAGAGAGCCTACAAGATCATTGTGCAGCAGATTCTAGACAAATATACCAAATTCTTCTTATGAGACAAACTCACTTCCTCATCCTTATCATCAATTTCCTTGCATCATTGTCATTTGTATTGTACGTATATGAATTATTCAGGTTCAATCAATTACTAAATATTATTGGGCCCAGAGTCAATATTTTGGTCCAGTACCAAAAAGGCGAACGAAGATTTTACAGTGAAGGCGGGGAAGAGTTCTATAGTGAGGGACTTATCCGAAGGTCTTAGATGAGTTCCTATCTCATAACCATTGAATCAAATTATTTTGCCATTAATTTAATCCCACAATTAAGAGATATGACCTCATCTAAAGGCCTTAAATAACCTCCTCGTTATAAAATGACTCTCGGTTCAAATAGTGGACAATAAGGCCCATTAAGGAAACAAGCACAAAACTACAAGTTTAAGTACCTCCATAAAAAAAAGGCCCAAGCCCGAATTGGCAAAACCACCCCAAGCAAAAAAGTTGGAATAGGAATCTTATAAGGCCCCGTTTGGTTTATGGAACAGATTTGAGGGGAAATCATTTCCCATGTCATTTCTTAAGAGATGGGATATTGAAGATTCATTTCATACGTTTGGTAATGCCGGGAAAAAGACCAAGAGATTTCACTTTGTTTCATTTCCCATGTTTGTTTTGAGTAGGAATAGAAAACAAAGTTTGTATAATTTTTCAATTATATCCATATTAAATCAAATAAAAAAAGAGTGCATTTAATGATATATTGTACTTCTAAATTGTTAATGGAGACAAAATGGTCATGAAAAATGTGCATTGAATGTTGGCTCATTTTCCCAAACTTTCCCATTATGAGGGAAAATAAAACTCAAGTTGGGAGGAGGACTTTACTTTTCCTTCTACTTTCCCATGTGTTAGACAATCATTTCTCATGACTTACCAAACATGGGAAAGTAATTGATTTCCTACCCCAAACCTCATTTCCTATGTGTCAGGCAACAATTTCTCATGTTAGGACTTACCAAACATAAGAAATTAATTGATTCCCTACCCCAAATCTCCTTTTTTGACTTATGACCCAAAAAAGAAATACCCGAGAGACGAAGACATTGACTCTTAGCCTAAAAGACCCCATTTTCTTGCCAGTGCACGTGCACATGTCCACTTGACCACCACCAATGCATAATTTATGGACATGTTTTGAAATAATAATAAGGGTAATAATAAATGAGTGCTATTATTTTCACTCATTTATCCTATTTTCTCATTCACATTCTTTTTATTTGAAAAAATACAATCCTATCTTTTCACCCACCATTATTCTTGAAATATCCTTTAATTCCTTTTGAGGAAAACACAAACAAACTAACACAACCTACCAATTAACTTTTTGCCAATGGCCCACAAAGTCAAGTCGCATAAGCTTCGAACACAATTTCGCAGAATTTCAAAACAAAGCTCAAATACAACTTTCCAACTCCTTCTCAAATTCAACTTCACCAAACGAAATATATGTACTTCTGCTAAATACCTACAAAGTCAAACCATTCCAAAGCTTCAAGGGATACCCAAAAACTCTAAAACCAAGCTAAAAACAACCCTAGTTTTGTTCCAATTAGCTTCAGAAACTAGCAAAAGTTCCAAGCTCAGATTCCTATAATACTAAAACCACAAATATTATCTCCTTGTAGCTTTAACCCCAAAACAAAACAAAAAAACAATTCAAGCAAATAGACCAAAAATCTTACTAAAATTGAACCACAAGCATCCCACGAAAAAAAAAGTTTCAGAAACTCCAAAACCCACCTACAAATTTTAGTTTTTTTGTTCTTTTCTTTTGGGTAAATAAGAAAACCCACCGACAAAATTTTCAGAATGGTTCACAAGACAAAGAGTAAACGCAAAGAAACATGGAAATGTAAGATGAGAGGAATTACACTTTGACTTGAGGAAGTGATACGGCAAAGAAGAGCCAACCTGGATTTTTTTTTTTCCTCTTTAGCTTCTATCTATAGAGAAACAAGACAAGCAAGGAGAAAGGTGTAAATTTGTCTTTAGAAGTCATTTTACAAATGGGTAAATTTGTCTATAAAAGTTTGGAGATAAGGTGGGTGGAAATAGCATCACTTTAATAAACACAAGAAAGCAATTGAAAAATTATTTGACCGAAATAGGAACAATTAATATAAAACTTAGTCATAATCTATGTGTTTCTGTACTGTATGGTAGCGTTGGGAACTAAACACAGCCGGTTTGCATAAATTCATGGCATTAACTGAATTAGGTCCATAGGATTTAGGTAGCGCTGGGAACTAAACACAGCCGGTTTGCATAAATTCATGGCATTAATTGAATTAGGTCTATAGGATTTAGGTAGCGCTAAGAACTAAACACAATCGGTTTGCATAAATTTATGGCATTAACTGACGGCCTAAGAGCATCTCCAAGGAAGATGTCAAATACAAAACATCAAATTTAAATTTGATGGCTGATATGGCAATTTGACATTTACACAGTTTTACAATCCACCCGATATGTCAAATAAATAATTATTGTAACAGTCAAATCATTTAAGAAAAAGAAGAAAAAAATTAAAAAAGAAAAAGAAAAATAATAAATGAAAGTAACAGCCAGCTATCTTTAAAAAATAATAAAATATTCATTTGACATCTTGCTTTTGAGATGTCAAAAATAACATCTCAACCTCCCGCCTTCATTCCACATCAGCTTTGACAATTCGGTTGGAGTGATGTGAAATGTTATTTTTAGCCGTTAAATGTTTATGTGGCACTTTTGATACATCGGTTGGAGATGCTTTAAGGAATATACTGTAGAAGAACATTGCATAAATGCAAGGAAAACTATGCAAGAACCACAAGTAATTATTATTAGGTTTGACTTCCTTTGTGTAATTAGGTTTGGGTTAGGGTGTGTGATTTGTATTCCTTGTACGTAATTAGGTTTGACTTCCTTTAGGTAATTAGGTTGGACTTTATTATTTCCCAATGCTGCATTGCATATACAGTTACCTTATACTGTAAACATGTAATATACTTTCATATATATATAGGGGGCGGATCCGTAGCACCATATTTTTGCCACAAGTTTTGACACAATTTTTGAGTTATTAAATTACTCCACTTTTAATGAATGAGATTAAATCTGACATGACTTTTTAACATGAAAAATAAATTAAAATGTTTTTCTCTCTCCTCTCTCTATTTTCTAAAAAATGTAAATTTCTATCACAAAATAATTTTTTTCTCTCTCCTATTTCTCTTCCTAAACACTCTCTGCTAAACTCTTTCTTTTATCAGACCAAAAAAACTTCTTGATCTTTCTCTCATTCTTTCCCAAAAAATTTGAAATCCCTCGTGTAGCATGAATGTTTTTATCTTAATCAATCTCTCATTCTCATTCTCCTTCTTTTGTTGTTAGAGTTACTACTGATAATTTGTTAATTAAGTTATGTTAACCCGTTATTATTTCTCATAACACATTTCCATCACAACAACCACCATTACTTGATAAAGAGAGAAAAAAGAGAGAATGAATGGATGTCTATTCTGAATAAAGCGAGAGAACCAAAGCATCAAGAATCTTAATTGATTTTGAGAAAGATATTTATTTTTCTTTTTTTGAATTAAAACTCTAATCTCAATTGATTTGAGAAAGATTGTCCAAAACAATTCGATGTTTCATAGAACAACTAAGAATAAAGACCTGTCTACCATATTTGCTTTAAAGCTCCAACAAGATAGAAAGCAACACAAACTACAAACCTAACCAGTGAACTTAGAAAAGAGAGGCCCCCTTCCCCTTCTTTTTCTCCACCACCTCTTGATTGGGTGCTGGGCAGTAAGGCTATCGTTTCCTTTCTTGTATTGGTGACCTTGTGTAAGGTGTGCTTGGGAGCGTTCGCCAAGGCGATGGCTGCCTCGTCTAGTGATGATAATTAGCAGAAAACGGTTAGGGAAGAGAGAGTGGAGAGAGAAATTTACCTTTTTGAGAAAATATAGAGAGGAGAGAGAAAAACATTTTAAGTTATTTTTCATGTCCAAAAGTTATGTCATATTTAATCTCATCTATTAAAAGTGGAGTAATCTAATAGCCCAAAATTTGTGTTAAAACTTGTGTCAAAAATATGGTGTCACGGATCCGCCCCCATATATATACACACCTTATCTTTGGAGAAGAACATAAATCCTCAAAAATTTGCCCCAATATTTTTTATTTGACAATTTTGTTCATTCAGTTATTCTTTGTGTATTTGGATAGTTGGATTGGAGAGATCCAAACCCAGGATTAGCTATGTGTGGACATAACATGTTCAGGCAGAGACTGTGGTCACATGTTCCAGTGACCACATCAAACGCTATATGCATCTTTCTGTCTTACATTAACATATTTTTCCTGCTTTTCTTGTGCATTGTAAGCAATACTACAGAGACAGCAGCTACGACAGTCAAGCTACCGGGGAATGTAAGTGTTCCGGCAGTGATTATATTCGGAGATTCGATTGTTGATACGGGCAACAACAACAACAATTTCAAAACACTTGCACGCTGCAATTTCCTTCCATATGGGAAAGACCTCAAGGGAGGAATGCCAACAGGAAGATTTTCCAATGGAAAGGTTCCCTCGGACCTCATAGGTTCTCATCCTCCTCATTATTTCATCCAGCATTGCTAATTGTTATTATTGATTATATTATGAGTATATTATTAGGAGTCAACTTGACTTGCAAACCCAACTCCAGCATGTAACTTCTCCTCCGAACCAAATGTTCATATATTTCACTTTTCCTCAGTCGAAGCGCAATTGACGTAAAAAAAAATTAACAGAGTACTTAATTCATGTGATATGTTAACTTAATGCTGAAAGGAGCTTTCATGAAAGATGGACAATGTTGTGTTTTTTCATGTTCAGTGGAAGCATTTGGAATCAAAGAGCTGTTGCCTGCATATTTGGATCCAACCCTGCAGCCAGAGGATCTCCTTACTGGTGTAGTAATAGCTGCTGGTGGTGCAGGCTACGACCCTTTGACAGCACAACTCGCGGTACTTACACTTGTTTAACCCTTTCTTCTTTTCCCTCACACATTCTGAAAATTCCCACTCACTGGTGTCGCTGTTTGTTATTTTTGGTGAAATATATAGGGAGTTGCATCACTATCTGACCAACTGAAGCAGTTCCAAGAGTACGTAGAAAAGCTGAAAGGAATTGCTGGAGACGAGAGAACAAACTTCATCATAGCAAACTGTTTGATTTTTGTGGTAGCGGGCAGCAATGATATTTCTAACACCTATTTTCTTAGCGGGGCTAGGAAATCGGCGTATGATGTTCCTTCTTACACTGACTTCATGCTCAACTATGCCTCTCAGTTCGTCAAGGTAAGCATTTGAACTCAACTTTGGAGAAATAGCGCAATTGCAGATAGTTAAACAGAAAAGTTTGATGTAGCAAATGATTTGGTTGCTAGGACTTATATGGCCTGGGGGCACGAAGAATAGGTGTACTCAATGTGCCACCTATCGGATGTGTGCCATCTCAACGAACGGTTGGAGGAGGCGTGCTAAGAGAATGTGACGACAAACAAAACCAAGCATCGCAGCTCTTCAATTTCAAACTCTCTGCAGAGATGGATGGCCTTAAAAAAAACCTGCCCAACTCAAGAGTGGTCTATATTGACATCTACAATCCACTACTTGATCTCATCATAAACCCTACAAAATACGGTGAATTAATCTGCCTAAGTTCTAACTAACGCGATTATATATCTTTCATTTTTCTTGTCATAATAAGCTAAAAATAAAAAACATCCAACTAAATATTTGTGCGCTGTTTCTTCTTCCCCTTAACGAAAATAAGAATACAAATACAGATGTTTTTATTGAATATCTGCAGGCTTTGAAGTTGTGAATAAAGGGTGCTGTGGTAGTGGGATTATTGAAGTAACAAAACTGTGCAACCAGTTTCAGCCTGCAGGCACCTGTTCAGATGACTCTAAGTATGTTTTTTGGGACAGCTACCATCCAACAGAAAGTGCATTCAAGATCATTGTGCAGCAGGTGCTAGACAAATATGCCAACTGCTTCTTCTGAGACAAGTCATTATCCTTATGATCAATTTCCTTGCAAGTTGCAAGCATGATTATTCAATTCCAATCAATCAATAAAACCCTGCAAGTTTACTTTAGATGCACCAATATGCCTTTTTTTAATATTTATATTATCTATATAAATTAGTCCAGTAGAGTCTTGATATGGGAAGACCTTGGACCACTGATACAATGGGTAGCATCAAAAGAAACTATTTATGTATTTTTTAAGAATCTGAGAAGCAACGATTCTGAGAGCTCTTTCTGTGGGATGAACTGCATCCCAATAGAGGTATTTAGATGCATCTGTACATGTGAACTGACTGAATTCGTTACACAATACCGCCACTCCTATTGTTCCAGTACCACAAAATCCAAACTTCTCTACTTGGAATCCTGAAATTATAGATATAAACAAACAAACAAGTGAAATTGTTAAGAAAACAAAAAAGCAGCAGCTAAAATCTAATAAGTAAAAGATTACCTGATTTGTGAGGATGTTGATTGAGGTCAAGAAGAGGGTGGTAGATATCCAAAAAGACTAGCTTGGCGTCTGTAAAGTTGGTTTTGATGTAATCTAGTTCAGATGATAGCTTGGAATTGAACCATGCTGCTTCTTCCAATTCCAGCTCCAAACACTCTCTCAGTAAGCCTCCTCTATTTCTGTCAAATGGGGAGCATCCCACTGCTGCTGTACTGAAAACACCAATTCGCCTTGCCCCGAGGCTATATAAATCCTTCAAAGTCAAGTCACACTAATTTTAACAACAAAAAAGAAAGAAAATTTAAGTCACGCTATACTAGTGCTGATTATTTCATTTGATTAATTAATTTACCCTGAGGAAAGTAGAAGCCATGCTGACCAAAAGAGCAGCATATGAAGGAAAATCGCAGTGAAGCTTTCTAGCAATGAGAGAATAACTAATCAAAATGTCATTGTTGCCTGCTGAAACTAAAAATAGACTGTTGGCTATGATGGCTCTTGCTCTCTCTTCTCCAACAATCCCTCTCAGCTTCACAATGTACTCTTTGAAGAGTTCTAGTTGTTTGAATAGAGACAAAGTTCCCTAGTTTTTCCACAAGAAAATCAGCAATATTCCAATTAGGAGAAGCAAACAATTAAGGTCCTCGAGTCGAATGTACATTTTAGCCGTAACATACCGTTATGGTTGGTGTTAGAGTATCATAACCAGAGCTACCTGACGCAAAGCATACACCGGTAGGGAGATCAGGGCTCTGCAGGTTTGGGTCAAGATATGCTGGCAAAAGTTCTTTGATTCCCAAGCCTTCAGCTAAAGAATTAAAAACAAACAAAACAAGTCATTAAAATAAAACTAGTTAGTTCAATTAATGATGATCATCAATCATTGGTTACCAGAGCATTTGTATCTCAGTTTTCCTGTGATCAATATATGTACCTATCAAGTCTGAGAGCACTTTTCCATTGCCAAATCTTCCTGTTGGGATGCCTCCCACCAAATCTCTTCCATAGGGCGGGAAATTGCATTTAGCTACAGTGGCAAGATTATTGTTGTTGCCGGTATCAAGAATTGAATCTCCAGAGGCAAAAAGCCCTGGAAATTTTGACGTCCCATTTTCTGCAGCAAGTAGCTGCTCCTTGGCTGCTTCTGCATATGTTGGGGTGCAAAACCACAGACATGATTGCACTTGAAGTACTAGTATAACTAAATTTTTCGAAAAAATTGCAGAAAGCAGATTCACACATGAAAAGTACTTCTGAATATTAGATTTATTTTTTAGGCTGACTAATATATGCTTGATTGGCATTATTTTATTCATATAGACCTCCCTCGACCTCCTTTTTTATTTGAAACAGAAACAGGTGATTTGGTAGGTGCGTTTTAGAGAAGTCCATTGATATACATAGCCTTTTAGAAAGCACACCAATTGCATGAGTGGTAACAGATCCGTGCAAGGAATCAATTGATCTCGAAGTCACACAACTGACAGATTGACGAATTTTCCTCCATATTATATATTCCATTTATATTCAGACAGAATCGGAAAAGCTTGAAGGTTAACTAAGTTCTGCAGAGCTGCAATGAACAATTTATTTTTCTTTATGTTTGTTTATGTGGATCTGATTCTTTCTACTGCCCAAGCTATTGCGAAGCTACCAAACAATGTAACAATACCGGGTGTTTTTATGTTTGGGGACTCGATAGTTGATACGGGGAACAATAACAACCTTACCACTCTTGTCAAAAGCAATTTCCTTCCATACGGGAGAGATTTTATGGGAGGGTTACCAACTGGAAGATTTGGCAATGGCAAGGTTCCCTCAGACCTTATTGGTAATTTATTCATAATCTATTCTATTACTACTATAATGCAAATCCTTTTCCAATTAGTTATGTCACCAAAGAATGTGCTTATTCTCTTTTTTTTGTTTTGTTCAGTGGAGGACCTTGGAATCAAAGAATTATTGCCCGCGTATCTTGATCCATGTCTTCAAGCCGAGGACTTGCCGACTGGTGTAAACTTTGCTTCAGGCGGAGCAGGATTTGATCCTCTGACATCTAAGTTAATGGTAATTAATTACGGTTTAATTATTAGTATAATCTTAGTGATCTGAATCTTGAAGATTTGTGTTTATACTCATATATATATATAAGAGAAAAACAGTTAGTTATACCGCTTTCGGAACAATTACAACTGCTGAAAGAATACATAGAGAAGCTGAAAAAGTACGTTGGAGAAGAGAGAGCAAGCAGCATTATAAGCAACAGCCTATTCGTGGTGGCAGCAGGCAGTGATGACATTGTCAATACCTACTATCATACACCTGCACGCTTCTGGAAATATGATATTTATGCCTACACTGATCTTATGCTCACCGAGGCTTCAGCCTTTGTGCAGGTACTTTAATTAATTCATCATTCACTGTATATGCATGTATTACAATTATAATTAAGTTGTTGCAGCTGCTTATTATAAACAGTGATTAAAGTCGTAATCTTTAAATTAAACAAAGAAATTATACGCACTGGGGGCACGGAGGATAGGCGTGATCAGCGTACCACCGGTTGGATGCATACCGGCACAGAGAACTTTAGGAGGAGGTCCAGAAAGAAAGTGTGTAGAGATATACAATGAAGCAGCAGAGTTGTTCAACAAGAAGCTATCGGCAGAGTTGGATTGCCTTAACAGTGACCAATTCCATGCCACAGTGGCCGTCTTCATGGATGTGTACGGCCCTTTCCTAGATATCATCCACAATCCACAAAAATATGGTAAGGGTTCATTCAAATATCCTTGTAACAATCTGTTAATAATCGATCTCTTGAGAAAAATATAATGCATGCAGGATTTGAAGTTGTAAACAGAGGGTGCTGTGGTACAGGGATCATAGAGGTTGCTGAATTTTGTAACAAATGGTCTCCCAACACTTGTAAAAATGCAACAAGCTATGTTTTCTGGGACAGTTATCATCCCTCTGAGAGAGCATACAGGATTATTACCCATCAGGTACTCCACAAGTCCATTCAAGCCTTCTTCCACAGCCAGTGATTGATTTGGATTGGATTACTTCGATCGCATTGCTCAAGCGGGATCACCAATATTCTTTATTTACCATTATATATATTCAGTCAAATCAGTATTATTTATTTATTTATGCAACTGATCATTTTCTTTAGTTTGTGGATGCATCCTATAATTCATAATGGAGAAAATAGGGATGAAAATCTGTGCAAGTAATCTTGAAGCATATATATATATAGGGTGGTGATTTTCCCACTCCCTTTTTGTCCACTTACACTCTCTTTTGTTTTTTAATAGTTTTTACTATAACCAAAAAAGGAGAGTAAGTGGAGAAAAGATATACAATTTCTAACAAAGAGAGTGTAAGTGAATAAAAGAGGAATGGGAAAATCAGCTCCCTATATGTGTGTATATATATATATATATATTGTTTATACCAAAATGAACACCCAATGAATATCAAACACGTGGACTAAACCAGGGCTACGTGTGCCTTCGGCACTCACCTTCGGTACCAAACCTACCGATCGCAACATTAGGGCAACCTCGCCCACTCTGACACGTGGCAGCCTCACAACTGACGCCCAGAGTCCCACATCGAAACTCTAAACAAATTGCACACCTCCCAAGGCCTATAAAAGAGGACATCCATCTCGGCTTGAAGGTAATCAATCAGAACTTACGGCATACTGCCTATTGATCTACAGTTCAAACTTACTAAATCCGTACTTACTTAAGCATCGGAGAGCCTTCGGCCGGTACCACACCGGTGCCCTAGGATTTATCGTGTGTTCGCTATCTTACAGATCGCACACCCTACCGAGGACATCAGATACCGAAGAGACTTAATCACTAAGTTGCGCGGGAAAGTGCCGAACCATTTTTCTGCGTCAACAGTCTATCGATAAATGCGTGCCGTTCTTCAAAGCTTTGAAAGGGGGCAAACATCATATAACGTGGACTCCCGAATGCGACCAAGCATTTCAAAACTTGAAGAACTACATGAGCCAAGCACCACTGTTATCGAAACCACTGCCAGGCGAGGTACTACTCCTGTACCTTTCGGTATCCAACACTGCCGTCAGCTCAGTGTTGATAAGGAAGCCGGAGAAGGCGGAGCTACCGATTTTTTATGTCAGCAAGGCGCTCCAGAGCGCAGAGCTTCGGTACCCACCCTTGGAGCAGCTAGCACTGGCCCTGGTCGTCTCGGCACGAAGACTTCGCCCTTACTTCCAGGCTCACGAAATCACAGTTCTGACGAACCAGCCTCTTCAGCAGGTGCTCCAAAAGCCGGAAACATCTGGCCGATTGGTCAAATGGGCAATCGAGTTGAGAGAGTTTGACATACAGTTCAAGCCAAGGCCTGCATAAAAAGGCCAGGCCATTGCCGACTTCATCTCCGAGCTCACACCTCCTGCTTTATCGGAATCGTCATCGCCGAGCGCCGTACCTGCCGCACCAGAGAAAATGGATACCGAACGTTTCGACACTTCTGCTCCTCTCTGGATCCTGCACGTGGACGGCTCGGCAAACCAGCAAGGCTGCGGTGCCGTCTTAGTGTTAACCACTCCGGATGGTAGCAAAATCGAGTACGCCCTCCGATTCAACTTCCGAACCTCCAATAACGAGGCAGAATATGAGGCCCTCCTGGCTGGCCTTTGGCTAGCCCAGAGCATGAGCGCGAGGCAGATCAGCATTCACAGCGACTCCCAGCTCATAGTAAATCAGATAACGGCAGACTTCGCAGCAAAGGATGCCTCCATGTCAGCCTACCTATCGGCAACCCACCAACTACTACAAAAATTCCAGGCCTACGAGATACGGCAGATCCCCAGGTTGGAAAATAGCCATGCCGACGCACTCTCACGATTGGCCTCGGCCATAAATGACAAGATCGGAAGGAAGGTACCGGTGGAGATATTATCCCAACCGAGTACAACCGCCGCTGAGGTATGTACCATTCGGTACGAAGACACATGGATGTCTCCAATCTATGCCTATCTGACAGCCGGAACCCTTCCTACCGATAAGTCCCAAACTCGGAAACTTCGCTACCGATCGGCAAGATACACAGTCATCAACGATGTTCTGTACAAACGGGGCTACACGACGTCGTATTTAAAATGCGTGACCAAGGAGCAGGGGGACTACATCCTTCGGGAGGTCCACAGCGGAATCTGCGGCGACCATTCTGGATCCCGATCGCTCGCAAACAAGGTCTTCCGGCAGGGTTATTTCTGGCCGACTCTGCACTAGGATGCGAACACACTAGTCAAAAGGTGCGACAAATGCCAACGGTTCTGTAGTGTCCCTCATATTCCTGCCGAGCCACTGTCACCGATCGTGAGCCCATGGCCGTTCGCCCAGTGGGGACTGGATCTAATTGGTCAGATGCCAGAGGGCAAGGGTCAGGTCAAATACGCTGTTGTTGCCGTAGACCGGAAGTGGAGGTCTCCAACTAACGGCCACCGCTCGCCTCCCCAGGCATACCGAGGCCCACGTGGCGGCCGTCACTATAGACGATGGACAACGGGACGGGAGCGGTCATTAGCCCCTTTCCTACTCCGTGTGTTGGAATGGAGCTGGGCCCTTCGCCGAGTATCTCGACGTCGGTATCACTCCCACCCTCGGCATCAGGCCCTGCCGCTTCGCCGTCGGAGTCAAAGAGACCATCCGATGACTCCTCGTCGAACGCATTGGGCTCGCGCTCGGAGAATGACTCGCTATCAGACATCTACAAAAACAGGAAAATGGGAAACTAAGGCTCATGCCGGATGCTATCCTACCGATCCCTTCATCGCTACCTATGGCGACTAGACTACCGAATGGAATCCTATGGTCAGTCTAGTCTGAACCAAAGAAGGACGTAACCCTTAAAGCATGCAGTAGATTAATGAGAAGGGTGCCGAACGGTACCTTAAAGTGTGCCCTGGAAGATAAGCGCGATATGCTCTTCAGGATGCTTCACTACCGCTCGCAATACCGGGAATCACCTTTCCTACCGTTCGAAACGCCGGAGATCGCCTGGTTACCGTTAACGCTCGTCGGAAATCGCCTGGTTACCGTTAACGCTCGTCGGAAATCGCCCGATTACCAAAAGCCCTTGTCGGAAATCGCCTCAGACAAAGCTCTCACTTCTCACTAGATGCAAAGTGAGTTCGCCTCCGGGGTCATCTCTATTTATAGGGGGGTGGTTGGCAACGGTACTCCTCGAAAGACCAAACGGCGCATTAATGCGCCGCGCGCCATCATTACTTTCGCCACGTGTCGCTCACCCTATGGGGAATAGACGGCACGCGAGGCGCGGAAGTCGAAGCGCTCAGATGTCCCTTCACCCGTCAGCTCGACACGACCTTCTGACTTCGCCAACGTCGGCCTCTGAACCGATGATGCCGGAAGGAACAAAGTTTGGCCCCTCCCCCAAGGGGGTTACCGAATGGTAAGGCCGTGTTTCCTCCCGAGGACGACTTCAAATCCCCTTCCGAGGACTCTCGCAAGGGGACTTGGGGGACTCCTGTTTATACCAAAATGAACACCCAATGAATATCAAACACGTGGACTAAACCAGGGCTACGTGTGCCTTCGGCACTCACCTTCGGTACCAAACCTACCGATCGCAACATTAGGTCAACCTCGCCTACTCTGACACGTGGCAGCCTCACAACTGACGCCCAGAGTCCCACATCGAAACTCTAAACAAATTGCACACCTCCCAAGGCCTATAAAAGAGGACATCCATCCCAGCTTGAAGGTAATCAATCAGAACTTACGGCATACTGCCTATTGATCTACAGTTCAAACTTACTAAATCCGTACTTACTTAAGCATCGGAGAGCCTTCGGCCGGTACCACACCGGTGCCCTAGGATTTACCGTGTGTTCGCTATCTTACAGATCGCACACCCTACCGAGGACACTAAGTTGCGCGGGAAAGTGCCGAACCCTTATAAATTGTAATGCCATAAAACAAAAAAGAATGACCCTAAAACAAAAACGGATGTTGTTCACTTCATACTTGTAATACCATCATTCAATTTGGAGCGGGAGCAATTTTTCAACTTGGACCAAAGAAATTCAAAGAGAGATAGGCCCAATTACTAGGTCCACTACAAGCTAGGCTCATCCGGGCTGGACTTTTCTGCTCATGTGTCATTACTATCCCGCCTGATTGAACAATGAAACGACGTGCCGTTTAACAATTAGGAAAAACCAAGAAGAAGAAAAGGAAAAGACAGGAGGAATTCACTGGACTAATGCTTGCAGGCTTGCCGCTCTCGGGTTGAGTCTGGATTTTAAAATCCCAGCATCTGGAAAATATTGAATTTCTATGTATGAACCCTCTGGGTCTCTGACAATCCATCACTGCAGCAATCTTAGTCCAGAAGGGTTTTGATAGGGTTCTGAAATGGAACCCGTAGCTTTTGTAGTAGACAAGTTTAGAGGTTTGACGAAATCGACCCAAGAATTGTTTGACGGCCTCATTCATGGGCACCCTCAACGTTCAGCTCGCCGACATCCGGTATTTCCAAAATTGCTCCTTTCTTCTTTTCTTATTTATTATCTCTCATCCCACTTCCCAGTCCCCACTGTAGATATGTTTCATTGCCTTGCCTTAATTCGAACTGATTTTGCCCTATTTTTGCTTCAAAAAATAAAAATAAATTATTAACCTAAGCTAAGCTGCTGGTAGTTGCATTGTAAAATGGAGGAGTACCCATGAGTGAGAAATGGTGGGGTATTTATTCAGATTAGATAAATCGAAAATAAAGCAATGAGCTATGTGATGACGCTTCACAAATTACAACGCTTACACGATATGAAATTTTCAGATTGAAATATTGAAGCGGCTGCAACGAGAAGCATTTTCGGACTTAATGAAACTCAGGGATAGACAAGATAAGGTTGAGAGAATGGTTTCCTTGTATGGAACTTCCAAAGGAAGTCCATTCCAAGAAGCCAGCACTCTTGTAAGGGGAGAGGTTGATCTCTTGGGGGCTGTCTTGTTGATGCATAATATTGACGATGAGGTTGATCACAAATCTGATGTTCTTAGTCGAGCAGGAATGAGAACCGGGGTTGATTCAAGGTTTGCTTTTGAAACAAGTGTTCGGCAAAATGACACACTTGTGGCGGAGTTTGTAGCCAGTCAGAAGCACAAGGGTAGTCTTTCTGATCTTTCAGAATGCCCACTTTCTCTAGCAAAAGTTTCCTATACAGCAAATGTCAGCAACTGGTTATCTGCAATTGCAATCCCAGTAGGAGCTCAGTGCAGGGATGTTGCAGTTCTTACAAATCCTTCCCACCAGGTATCACATGCTCGCATTGATCTCAATGGTGGACTAATTTGTTTCCTCTATTTATTTATTTATTTATTTATTGGTACATACCAGTATTCATTCATTTTCCTTTTCTTTCTGATAAGACCTGTATGCATCAATGGAGTTGGACTAGTGTTCCGGATTTCATTTCATAAAATTAAGGTCATGACTTATGAGATGGATGTCAACGTAACAATTATTTGAGGATGTAAATAAGATGCTCTTTCTTTTCTCAGTGTGTGAACCCAATTGAATTTCAAATGTAGTGTTTTCTTGTGGGTGAATTTGACAGACCTTTTAGTTTAGTTCGATAATCAGCTAGGGTCGTCATATCATTTGGTTGGAGTTTTTCTTTTGTGGCAATCATGTTGTTTGTGAGTTTTTTAATTGAGTAACATCAACCATATCATTAGGCATGTTGTACATCCTATTGGTGTTATGTGTTCTTTCATGGTAAATTTTACATTTGTTGATGCATCTGTTCTATCACTGTAAAATTTTCTGGCATTGACAAGTCTCCTGATGGATTTTAGTTAAGCAGATATATTTCCTCTTTCTCCTGGCAGGGGAAGGGCCTTACTGATCTTTCATCATTTGGGCCACCGCTTCTAAATCAGCATAATGGCAGTGCAGTTGGCTTAATGGTGAAAAAATCAAATACTGTTGCTTCATTGGCTCAGTTTGTCTCCGGACTGGGAGCGCAAGTGGGTTCTGGTAGAGTTGAGCTTTGCTTGAGCACTTTTGGGCAAATTGTCTGTCAACTTCCTGGAGGAACAAAGCTCTCGCTTCTGGGTCTTCACCAAATGCCTAGATTATCAAGTAAGTATGTGGATCATAGAATTGGAGCTCTTACCATTCCCTTAGGCAGTTCGACATATGATAGATCTCATGAGACAATCATTGAAGGCAGTTTGACACATCATAGATCCCCGGAGGCAATGGTTGAAGCATACGTGCCACCACTGGGATCAAACTCACCGGAAAAGGGTTCAAGTGGATCCATTGCTCTGATGTTGGAATCAGAAGTTGATGAGATGACAAAGATTGGGGGTTGGATTGAGATGAAGCAGTCAAATCCCAGGCATTTAGAATGGGCTGTGAGTGTGTCTGATGATTCTGAAGATTCAGTTGGATGGGGAATGAATTTGAGTGGGATACTTGGAGGTCCTAATTTATGGGACCGTGTTCAGATTGAATCCTACATGAAATTAAACTTGGGCAAGAGATTCAGTGTGAAGCCAGGTATTGCACATATTGTCGATGGGAATGCCAGAATGACTGCGCTTATGCTACGGTCTAACTGGTCCCTCTGATCGCCTACTCAATCCGTTCCCATTGATACATTAGTTGGCTTCCAAGTTTCAGATGCTTTGAAGATGTCTAGCCAGAATATAACGTGCTGGATTAACCCTTAAATCTGTCACTGATCCTATGTTGTTATTTTGTTTTTCTTTTCTTTATTTTTTCAAGACGCTGCCCTGATTCTGTGTTGTTAGCCTTGCTTTTAGTTCTCATAGTTATTATTCATTTTTCTGGATCAGATAACAAATCTTACTTGCCATACTTTACCATTTCTTATGAAAGCCCTCAAAATAAGAGAAATATGATTTTTATTTATTTTTTGGTATTGCTTAAACAATATTTCGTTGATTACCTTATAAATGAAACTTTATTATTTTTCTGACTTCGAACTTAAGATTTCAATTTAACACTATTGAAATATATGAGTACTATTATGACCCTATCAATTAACTTGAAAAGAAAAACAAAACGCAACAAATTATGACATTAATGATTGATGATATATCTTTGAATTTCTCGTAAATAATTGGAGGGGAGTAAAACTGAACCTGAGATGAGTGACGTAAAATAAAAATCCCCATTTTCCTTTGTCTTTTTATATTTTTTTATCCAAACAAGAATAGTCTTTGTAAAAGAAAAAAGCTACTCCTCGGACTTGTTAAATTAACCTCCTCTCTCTATCAAATCCCAAAATCATATCTCTTTTGGGTTTCTAGGGTTAAGGCACCGATCTGAACGATGTCGTCAGAGAGGAAGATAACACTGAAAAGCTCGGACGGCGAGACGTTCGAGGTGGACGAGGCGGTGGCCTTGGAGTCTCAGACGATAAAGCACATGGTCGAGGACGATTGTGCGGACAATGGGATCCCACTTCCCAACGTCACCAGCAAGATCTTGGCCAAGGTCATCGAGTACTGCAAGAAGCACGTCGACGCTGCTAAGCCCGACGACCGCCCTTCCAACGATGAGGACCTCAAGGCCTGGGACACCGACTTTGTCAAGATCGACCAGGCCACCCTCTTCGATCTCATACTGGTCCGTTTCTTTTATCCCCTTTTCTATATTCACTCTCTTCTCGTTTTTTATTATGCTGTGAACAATTCGATTAATTCTTTCCTTAATTGTGTTAGGGTTTCTGATTGTCTGATAGATATGAGTTTTCTTTCTGATTTGACGTTTGTCGAGTTAGGGCTTTATATCTCCCACAACCCACTGTTTTATTGCACTTCTTATAGTTTTTAGGGCATTAGATTCATGAATTAGTTTGTCTAATTTTGGGAAAGTTTAGCATCTGTTGTCTTCTCCATTATGATTCATGTTCATATCTTTACTAGTCACTTGATGACCACTGGATCACAAAATTTCTTTATATGTTGAAAGGTTTGATTATATATATAACTGAAAATTTGATAAGCAAAGCCACACATAGCTTGTTTGAGCATGCCTGTATTTGTGATCTATTTCTTTTCCTCTTGGGTAGTACAGCTAATAGGGAGAAAAAATACTTTTGAGTTCTGTTGTTTATAGGCTGCAAACTATTTGAACATAAAGAGCTTGCTGGACCTGACTTGCCAAACGGTGGCGGACATGATCAAGGGCAAAACACCTGAGGAGATTCGCAAGACGTTCAACATTAAGAACGACTTTACGCCCGAGGAAGAGGAGGAGGTCCGCAGGGAGAACCAATGGGCTTTCGAGTGAAGACCTAGAGATGAAGAAACCTGTTTTTGTGGTTTGTTGCTCTTTTTGAGCTAGTGTCCGTGGAATGCCGTTTCTATCTATTGTCTGAAAATTTTCTTTACTTAGTTAAGTACTTTTGTTTGGATGTTTGTTCTTCTGCAGATGACAATCATTTTCTTCCACCTTACCCCCTGCTCTTCTAGATCTACAAACTCTGATGTTTTCTGGTTCTCTTTTGTTATATGTTAATATGATAAAAATATGCTTCTTATTATGTGGTCATTCTTGTTCATTTTAAGTTGATTGATCTCTTCCTTTAGGCATAAAGAATTTCCAATATGCTCTGAATTATTAGATCTTACCTCTAGATTATTGCATCTTTAAGTTAGATGTAGAGATTGTAATCTATTCCAATACGACTGGAGAAACTGCCATTTGCAAGGCCTGATTGTGATGAAATCATATTGTGTAGGTTATGGTGATTAGGGAAGATAAATTATTGAAATATTGATCATCTTCCGTTATAATTTATTGAAATAGTTCTGATCAGTTTTCAAATGCTTACAACAAATGGACTTCGGACTTTATTCTTTCCATTGGTCCATGTAAGAGACCCAAACATATCTCCCTTGGGAGAGGACGTGGTTGAAGAGAAAACCACTTGGTAACTCAGCTTCTGGTTGTTCTTTGAAAATTCTAGTTTATCAGGAATCACTGTGACACTTAGACCGGTAGGTGCATCCACAGTAGCGGTAAAAACTGTTTCACCATCTCCTGCAACATTTGTAACCCTCCTGCTTACATTCTTGGTCTCTTTTCCATTGAAATTGGAAATTGCTATTGATGGGTAGTTGATGTTGGATATGTAATCAGCATTGGAGTCCTTGGGGCAGGCAAATTCTTTGGGAGCAGTTCTTGCGATGGTTTTAATTTGGGATATGTTGTAGCCATAATAGCAGAGGTAGTTCAAGTAGTCGATGGTGTCAGTTTCATAAACCAGCCCTGGTTGTAAGGGTCCAGTTGTCCTTACTTCCCCTGCACCGTAATCGTACGGGGTGGCGGTAGAATTAGAATCTGTAGTAATTGGGGCTCCCAAGTTGTCTGTTTGAGTTGCTGCAAATTGATTCAGTCTGTAGAAATAAGTGTTGGGTTGATAAAGAAAAGTGCCTTTAAACTTGATGATTAACATTATGTTATGAAATATTCTCGACCTGTTGTGATGAGTGCTGATCTGATGGCAGAAGGACTCCATGTGGGGTTTTGTGATTTGACGGTGGCAGCTATCCCAGAAACATGGGGGCATGCCATGGAAGTCCCTGAGATGACATTGAATAGTGGAGGCTCTTTTCCTTCTAGAGCAATACCCGTATCATTGGCCATCCATGCTGCAAGAATATTCACACCAGGTGCTGCAATATCAGGCTGCAAACAAGTATATTAGAAATATTGCTTTAAACTTTGTTTGTGATGTCATGTTTTGGAAAATTGGAAATCAGAAGCCCGGTTGCTTGCCTTGAGAATGTTCCTTGTGCCATGCCAAGGTCCTCTGGATGAAAAATATGCCACAATGGGCGCTGGTTTATACTTTGTCACCGTCACTGTTGCTAAGATGGTTGCAACTGGGTTTCTTCACAAGTAATTGATTAATTAATTTCAACTCTCAGCTACCGATTGCCTTTGCTTCAAAACACACGCTATAAATTCTGAGGTTTTATAGTTACCTGGTTGAGTTGATATAGGAGAGGATGTCCAGACCATCCTTTACGCTGACGACCGTTGCCGGAAGTGATTTGGAAATATGTACTACTACTCCCGGATTCTTTTCTTGAAAAATGATACCAACTCCGCCCAGACTCTTTACTGCGTCAATCTGTTCATTCCTCGAATAATTATCATCATTGGTGTCACACATAACAACCTTCCCCTTGATCATTTCTGCCACCATTGAGTTTGCATCGCAGTTTCTGAAATTGTATATCAGCAGTGTGATCTGAGAATCAGAGATGCATAATTACAAGACATCATATGGATGGGAGTTGGAAATCGTAATACGTACCTTGCTTCACCTTTGCCCGCGGACCCAGCATATATCAACGGGTACACAGTAGATTTTTGGAGTTCGGAAAAATTTATGCCTCTTCCCTGGGATTTCACAATTTCTTTTAAAGATCTTGCTCATTAAGAACAAAAGAGCCAGACAGAAAATGATTTGCATCATAGACACAATATAATACACGTTAACATGGTTTGTCAGTAATCAGCTCCGTAATCAGGCAGTCACCTCACCTTGATCGTTTTGTTTCCACCTAACACCACATCAGATTCAAAATCGCGGTCAATGGTGGTGGCAGCAACGGTCACAATCCAAGGCGCAGCGTTGACAACCGTTTCAGGGTAGGGGCCATCGTTCCCCGCGGAGCAGACCACTGTAATCCCCTGCTCCACCGCATGGAACGCTCCGATGGCAATAGGGTCGCTGCTCAACTCCGGCTCATACTCAATGGGTGAACCAAGCGACAGCGAAAGAACGTCCACCCCGTCGGCGATAGCGTCGTCAAAGGCCGCTAAAATGGCCGAGCCAAGGCAACCTTCCGATGAGCATACCTTATAGACGGCGATCCTTGAAGTTGGGGAGCCTCCCTTGGCTGTCCCAGCAGCTACACCGTAGTAGGATGCACCCTGTACGATGCTCCCTGCCGCTGTGGCTGCCACGTGGCTGCCGTGTCCCTGCGAATCCCTTGGTGAACCGTCCTCCGTTTCTGTATCATCAGATTCAGAGGTGTCGTAAAACCTTGCTCCTATCAACTTCCTGATCATCATATCATACAGCTTAAAATATGTTTTAATCACAACTCAAATTCCTAAACATGAAATTAATATGTACACATTTTTACCTATTACAGTTGGAGGAACTGAAATCATCGCTTTTCATGCACGTTCCTTTCCACCGTGACGGAATCGGACCCATATCTTTGTCATTGAAACTCTCTGATTCCGGCCAAATACCTATTTGTTTAATTTGATACACGTCACGTAGGCTATTAATCAATCAGAGTTATGAATCTTAATTAATTATCAACTGACTATAATTACCTGTGTCCAAAATACCAATGATGGTGTCAGATCCATTAGCACTAACAGATGAAAATCCGTTGGCGGCGCCGGAGATGGAGTTGGGATTTGAATAAATTTCTAAAGCAGTTTGATACTTGAGAAATTCCCAAGATTGAGTGGTATGGAGTTTTAATAAGGGATCAGGAAAAACAGACACAACTCCAGGTTTATGAGCAATGGAGCGGGCCTCCTCTTCGGAGAGACGAGCCGCGAACCCTGAGAAACCATGCCTGTAAGTGTGCACCACTGCATTTGCTTTGCTGCATGCACCCACAAAATAATTAATATTCCACTTCGATCAACTTCAGTTTCTTGTTACTTATTAATATATATATATATACACACACACACACAAATAAACATATGAAACCAAAAGTGAAAAGGAAAAGTTTGAGAAAAGGGGGACAGCTTAATTAAGTTCCAACTTACTAGACAAACTAATTAATAAGCAGACAAATTAATAAGAGAGACGAAAAGGTATGGTATTGGTATATCGCTGTCTCTCTTTAGGTGTGTCTCGGATATTCCAGGCTGGAGGAAAAGGTTGGTGTTCTTGGTTATCTTTTATTTCATTTTGGCGTTACGGTGGTGTACATGAACAAATTATACATAGTTTTATACGGTAGAAGTACCAACCGTCTTAAGACAGATTCGAGAAGAAGAGCCTGGTCATTCCTTAAGGAATTTTTACTTCTTGGTGAGGAGGAGGCTGCAGATCCCATGTACACAATATAAACGCGGCTCTCATCAGCTTTAGTTTGTGCGTGAAATGAGATGAAGGTCAGGAGGAAAAGAAAAGGGAATGACAAGAAAACAGAGATGCTTTTCATGCCCATTTTGAGCTCTCTTACACTCGCTACACACCACTCTGGCTCCCTCAGCTCTGCTCTGCTCTGCTCTGAGGTTGTTGGATCAGTACAACATGGAGTGTGTCTTATATATACAAAAATAATTAATTTTAAAAAAAAATTGTTTTCACAAAACAAACAATAAAAAGATGATCAAATTATTTTTCATAAAACAAGTAATAGGTGCTTTATTTAGAGAGAACAAAAAAGGTACATTATTTAGAAAAAAAAATATATATATATATATAGGTACATTATTTAGAGAAAAAATAGGTTCATTTGAAAAAAAATGTTTTTCAAAAAATAAACAATAAATAGATTATCAAATTATTTTTCAACATAATTAGAATGTACACTATTATTAATAAAACTATAATAAAATAGATTACTAGACGTATAATTCATAAAAGGAAAACAACGTAATTTTTTTATTAAATAAACCAAAACATTAATCACCTATAGATTACTAATACATTAATGTTGAATTTAATATTTAATTTCAAACAAGTTTCTAAATTAATTCCTACATCCATTACAACAATTTGGAGATCTTTCCAAATTCAACGTGTGTTATTAGTTACATCCCTCCTATAACACATTAACTTATAAATAGGGGTAGTTTTGGAATCCAAAAAATACAATAAATCATATTTTAAGTTATATTAGGTAACTTGCTTAGTTGGATCCTAGTTATCAGGTATTATTTGAAAAAATTGGGTATTTTAAATAGAAAAATAAATGGAAAGGTTATAAGTGATTTAAAATGAATTTTATGGGTCTAAGCTCAATTTACTATTTATTTTTAAGATGATATTAACAGGATTACGTACTGTACTTGGGTGGTGAAGAGCTTAGTTGGGCTATATACGATATGATACGTTAATGGTGGGTGGGTGTGGGGTGTGACAGCAGGCGCACTGCATAGCCCCCATTATCCTTCAAGGGTCAAAGCCCAGTTATACCTAGTATACCCACCCCATGAATAATCCATAATGAATTAGTGCGCTTACTTATTGCTTATCTTGGCACATATAAATATAATTAGTGGTGGTGGTGGTGGTGGTGGTGGTGGTCGCCGGTAAAGTGGTTGTGAATGGTGATCTTAAGTGGTGGTTTATATTATTAATTAATTAGAGGACATGCCAATGCCATTGGACAGCTGTGAGAGCATGAATTTTGGTAACGGATATGTACCAAACCAAACCAACTGAAGGGAAGGACGCCATCCCCCATGGCCATGCCCTTTGAATGCTTACCTAGTGGCTAGTAGTAGTAGGAATCTTTATCTCTGCTTTTCCTACGACTATTGTAAGTAATTCTATCATCATCCCCAAGATCAAGATAAATAAAAAAATTATAGCTTGCTTGCACGAATTCATAATCATTTTTAACTTTAGCTTTTTGAGTCTAAAATGGAAAAGTGCGTGTTGAACGGAATTGAGTGACTATAGACCAAAAGCAACAACTAAATCCACGGAGTGTCGTGCATGTGTGTGCCTTTGAGAGTTGTTAGGGAAGAGCCTTAATCAAAATTTGTTAATTATTCCACGTGGAAATAAATGAATGTTGTCTGTTTCTTGAATTTGTGATTACTTTGACTTTGAAGACAAGCAAGATTCGGAAGGTGCTTTTTGTTGGGTTGGGGATGATCCTCCTAATTCAAAGATAACACGGAACGGAATTGCTTCGCCACTCTTGCTAATGCAAATGCTCCCTTTCTTGAAGAGAAGCATGCATGTGTTAGTGTAGTGATCAATGAAGAAGCCAGCCAACCATACAATTCCTTCCTAATTTCCAAATGCTTATTATTTAGATTAAAGGAATCCCTCAACCTCAAAAGCTGGCAATAGTGCGCCACTAGGCTCGCTTCACTACCATCAAATCAATCAATCAATCATTTCCCATTTTCTTGCCTCCTGCTACTTTCATTTGCCTTTCAATTCAAACAAACAAACTCAAAATGTATATGATGATGTACACTTTCTCTTTAAAATTAAACCTCATGAGAGCCGTTAATATTTATTCAGCTCCAAAACACCATGCTAAGGTTAAGGTTACAAGGCACAACTCCAAGTCCAATACTTTTGTTAGGCCTTTTAGTATCCCAGGCTCATACTGGGCCTTGCTATTTTTCTCCCAAAAATCTTAGGGTTGGCAATGGATTCATGTCGTGTCATGATTATATACGTGTCAAGAATACTCAATCCAAACCCGACCCGTTTAATAAAGGTGTCGTTTACAAGTTGACCCATTGATTTCCCTTGTGAATTTCGAGTCGTGTTGGGTTGACTTACTAAGTAGTAGCAAATAAAAAATCTTGAAATTTGATAACTTAATTAAGTAACTGTATTTTTATATAAAATAATGATTACATTTTGCCTCTATCTATAAAGATTGAGAAAGAGAAATTACCAAAATAATTGAAGAAAATGAAGAACAAACAAAGAAATGGATTGATAGGTTACCTGAGTATTTTAGCGAGTTGGCGGGTTGACCCAAAATCCATATGTTTATTAATGAGTCAATGGCGGGTTGATCCAAAAATGACTTGAAAATTTAATCGTGCGGGTTGCGAGTCACGTCTGCCACCGCTAATTTTGTTGATCATTGTTCATGGTTTTTCACTGCACATTCTTTACATGATAGCGATACAAGATTACCCAAAAAAGAAAAAAAACAAACGTGTTTTTCTTATAAGAAAAATATAGAGGGGACCATAAAGCGGATAATGTTTGATGGAGCAGCCAAAAGGTAAAATCAAAACATAAGAAGAGGAACTTTGGCACACAAAAAAAAACATAAGAAGAGACGCCGCACTTTGGTCCCCTTTTTCCTTGCAGACAACCAATCGCAAGAAAGCTAGAGGGAGGGGGAGAGGTGGCCACTGCCACTGCCCCTCCTCCCCTCCGCCCATCTTCCCCTTCCTCTCCTCATCCCCTCTTCTCCTCCCCTTCCCCTCCCCAGATAGTCTAGATCCGTTTGGATCTAGGTCTGTTTGGTTGTTTTTGTAGTGTTCCAGGTAATTGGTGTTGTCTTTGTCTAGGCGACAGCAATAGTAGTGACGCTGGATTGTGTCTCTTCTTGGGAGAGTTGTGATACATGGTGGCTGATGTTTTGTCTCTGTTTTAACGGCAGCAACAACAACTACGCTGGTGGTAGTTGTTGGGATGTGGTGATCTTCTTTACTATGCGCTGACCGAAGAACTATGTTTGGTCATAAGAGGTTTTCTTTGACAAGTTCTGAGTTGAAGTGGAATGCTTCTCAAGGGTCCTTTTACTGTTGTTTCTGTGTTCGTCCTTCGTGTTCTCTCCTAGTTTTTGCTATGGTATGTCATACAGTTTGTATGGGTGTCAAAGGACTATGATTTTGCTCATAGAATGTTTATTTTGACAATTGGGATGTTTTGCAGCCCTCTCATGTGGGTCTATTGTGTTGGTTTCTAGTTGCGGTTCTCGTCGAAGGTCTTTGTGTTAGTTTTTGTTTTTGACTTGCTCTTTTATTATAATGGTCCAAAGTGACCTGAATTGGACTCTCTTGTTAGTCCATGACATGTGTGGTACTCTTTCCTCCCCTGGGGTTTGTCCCATGAGATTGTCCTATGAAGGTTTTAACGAGGTCACTGTATCATGTCGCCCTTTGTATGTCTGTGGTTTTATGAATGAATTCTCATTTTCCAAAAAAAATCAAAAAACATAAGAAGAGGAACAAAGAAAACAAGTGTGCAAATGCAAGTGGCATTAATTCAAACATTTCATCTCAATGCAACTCCTGTTAAGGAAGGGGTTTTGTTTTTTTGTTTTTGTTTTTTTTTATAATAGAAAAAAAAAGAAAAAAAATAAAGCCAATAGATAACCTTTTGATGCTTGAAAAAACGATAATTTTTAATCCAAATTTTTTAAAAATATGTATATATACTTTTTTGGTTGAAATTTTTTGAAACATAGCCAAATAAAATAGGGAGAGTGAATTTGTAATAGTCTTGACTTGAGCAAATAGCCAAATAGAATACTGTTTCACCTTTGGAGCGACATGAAAAATCAAACGGAAAAAAGCAACACCCAGCCACCATAAAATAAAAAATTGTTTCCAACTCGAACCGTGACATGGCATCTAGCACGATAACCATTGACCTGGGGCGGGCCGTTGCTTGCTTGAGAGTGGGCCCAAATCTAAAGCACAAGAGTCCAAAGCTGTCGTACGACGAAACATGATCCTTTCGTTAATGGGCCCGGTGCATGGACTTTGTGATACAGCCCCACAGGTTCCAGAGACACACAGAGTATTACAAATGGGATAACATGGTGAGAAAAATCCAAAATTGTCTACGGCAAGATTTGAGGGGTAGCGTAGGGTAATAATGTGAGAGAAGAAGAAAAGACAGAAGAAATGTGCGTGGGAGGGGGGGGAGAAGGGAGTGAGATAAGGTTAGGAAAGACGATGACATGGTTGGCTAAGCAAGCATGTCCCATCTATCTAATTTAATACATCCTTTTTATAGGCTAGCAAGCAAAGCAATGTATAATGGCAACGCAATTGTCTTTGATTTGCCCAACCTCAACTCAAACTCGAGCAGTTATCCGTTCCCTACCCACTCCTCCGAATCCCTCGTTGTACAACAAAAAAGGCTACATGAACAAAATGACAAATGTGATCAAAAGAACGTAGTAACCAATTAATGCCCACCTGGGTTCTGTCTATACCATGGCATGAAGCAAAGCACCTTTTTTCCTTACAGTTGATAGAGATGTTTCTTTTGGTAAGCTTAAGGTAGTAGGAAGAAGGAGGCAAGTGGAAGAGAAAAGAAGTCATAAAATACAGTTTGTTTGAGCCTTAGCTCAAAATGGAGCTGTTGAGCTTCTGAACAGGATAAGGGTATGCCTTTTAGTTGTTGGAAGCTGAGCAAGGGCGGGGGCTGCCAACAAGAACTGAATCCATGCACACACACAAACCAATCAGCCTATCAAGTCCTTAAATTATATTCCTAACCCAAATAAGGAAAAACATAAATATACTCAACTGACCTCTGCTTGCTGTGTTTTGAGCCTAGCATTCTCCTTCTGTAAATGGGCAAGTTCAAGTTCCAACTCAGTTGTATAAGCCTGCATCAAATTTCCAATCAACATATTATATTATATATTCACGCATGAACCAAAAACAAAAACAAATGAATAAAATAAAATGAAAGATCATTTGTATATAGAGAGAAATAGAGAGGTTAGAAAGGTTCCTGCTTTCGGGCTCTGGAGCGAGCAGCTGACTCTCTATTCTTGATCATGCGCTTATGCCGGCGGTCTCTGGAATTCTGATCATTACTTTGATGATGATGATGATCTATGGGCCTTTTCCTTTTGTTGTAGTAAGAAGGCACATGAAAGAGTGAAGAGGAATCTAAAGCATCGGAGCAGCTGGAAGAGTTGAGAAAATGAAAGGAAGGCGTAGCGGCATGACTAGTTTGCAAAAGTTGTGGGTTAACTGGGTGCTTCAATAGAGGAGCAGGAGGGGTACTAGTAGTGCTTTCAGGAAGGAGTTGAATATCGGAATTCAAGCTAAGAACAGTGGCTGGTGCTGCAATTGTTGGTTGAGGTGGTGGTCGGCCCTTGTCTTTGTTGGAAGAAGCACAAGTAGCGAAGAAATCTTGAAAAATCATGCCACGAAAAGCAGCAGCAGCCGGAGGGCGGTGACCGTGGTGGTCATTAGCATGAGAAAAAGAAGCAAGGCTTATGTCTTTCCACACATCTTCCATGGACTTTAAGCTTCTTGGGGATGTTGTGGTTGTAGGGATCATATTCGTTTAAGTTATGGGGTGATGGATGAAGCTCAGAAATTTAAGGCGAGGAGATGCTCATCTCAAGAAATGTAGAGGAGAGGAGGAAGGGTGGACTCTGTTTCAGCATCATCTGCTGTCTGTCTCTCATAATTATTAATTAGTCTCTTCATTGTTATTTGTTTCACCCATGATGAGTCATCACATAACTAATTAGCTTTTAGGCTATAACTAATTAATTGTGTGTGTGAGAGAGAGAGAGAGAGAGAGAGAGTATTCGATTGACAACCCACACTGTAATTCCCCACGGGATGAAGGCTTATAATTGGTCAATTCTGTTTCCCTTTTTCTAATATTATATTACAAAGAGTGTATAAGAGCACTTCCATTCAAGGTGCATGGCAAAGAGTAAGGGCAAGTAAAGGCAGACACTATTCATGTGAATAGTGATTACCTTTATTTAACTTTTCCACCCATTGTTTTTTAGGCCTATGAGGCCTTTTGCACAAGCACAATTTTTGGCAACAATATGACTTAAGATGACTGAAGCACAAGCACAATTTGAGACTTGAGTATTTTCTTATAATTAAGCAAATTGTTTAACTTGGATACAGTTTCTGTAAATCTCCTAAAATTAAATTCCAGGTATTTTTAACTGAAATATCGCTACTTTTCATTTATGAAAGTAACATCCTTGCAACAAAATAACTTTGAAGATCCACCATAAAACCGAGATAAATAATTTCATCAGACACCCTAGTCTTTCTATTATCTTTTGATAAAATTTAAATACGAAATCTTTTTTTGGTGAAATGGGGGACGAATCGTGTTATTGAATACATGATACCTATAATAAATGTTTCATGCAGTATGCATAGGTTAAAAAACACAACTATTGAATGCGGAATTGGGCTTGCATCTCTTACCGACAACATCATGATTCATGTTCATTGCCTTGATCATAAACATGCATAAATCTATGTCAGTTTGAACTTCAAACCGACAAAAGAACACCCATCAGTGCAATCAAAACAAAAATGTATAAGAGCATACAAGCATATAAAATCTACCTCTGTGACAAGATATAAAACATAAACACGCAACAAGATGAGGAAAGGTTAAGATTAGAGTACAAAATTGCAAAAATTCAAGCCATGGTTTCACCATCCCTGGGTGGCAAACAAACATATGGTGCACTGCACCTACTGTAGAGTGACAGACAAACAAAAAGAATTGCTAACATTCCCTTAGCTATGAAGATAACATCCCACAAATTAAGCTCTTCTTTTGATCAACCACAAAATAGACGCCCAAACATCCAAACTATACAAACCAATGACCTCCAAATTCTGCCTCCTCATCTTCCTCTCTATCTTTGCACTTCAACGATAATTTATAATTATTTTTTATTTGTTTCCTGTACTAGCCTCAAAAACATGCCAAAACTAGGCAAAGTGACAGAAAATAAAGAAAAGAATTTGCATGCCTTCAAAACAGCTACCTTCCTCCCCTCATTACTTTAGCATACCCTCCAAAATTAGCAGTGCACTCTTTATACTGGATTTTGCTTGAATTCTTTGGTTGAATAGATGGATCAAATTCAACTTCAATGGTTGGTTTGGGTAACATCCCCATTGGGAAGTTGTGACAGGCCAGCTGACTCAGTTGAACAGCTCTCTGGAATAGACACAGAGTTTGATTCTAGCTTACCTGTCATGTTAGTTTGGCTAGGAGCCTCTTCCTCCACTGTCATCTTCTCAAAAGAAGTTGCAAGCGTGTTATGACTTAATACACCAGGTGATGATGAGCCTGACTCAAAGGGAAGCTGACTACCAGCAGGTATCCATTTCATCCATTCATTAAGCCTCCTCACCCTGTCATCCTGCAATCATTACAACAACAATATCAGACCAGGTGCACCAAAAGCAGCCAATTGCAGCACAGTTGCTAGATTTTTCATGAAAGTACCATTGCCTATTTTAAGTCATTTCATCCAATCAACATGATAAAGAGCCAAAAGGTCATTTTTTTGGCAACAAATAAGAAGATAACTCATTTCATAATATAATACGTATATCAGATTTTTTTCAGCAGAACATTTTTCAGAAAATGCATTGTTGGAACTCACATGTACTTCAACAATACTTGAAGCTCTCAAGGAATCCAATATCAATTGGATGTTGGTTGTCAAACTCTTAACCTGCAACCATAAAGCATCAAGCAATATGTGAGGATGAATGATACTTGAAAGTGATAAAGACAATTTTTTAAAGAAACAAAAGTTGACAAGAGTCAATCCAACCGTGTAAGGAAAGCATAATCTTACTGGAGATACTTATACTCATGGGTTTCAAACTCAAGTTCACACCAACTCAATTTTTTTTTCCTATGTTTTCAGTTATCCTTTGTTTTTGCACATATTCCTACTTTCTTCCTTTTCTTTTTTTAATTAAAAAATATATATTCATTTAGAAAGATCAATCACCATGTTCTCAGCTTGCACGATTATCTCTGTTCAGTATATATCATTTCCTATCATTTATCAAATCTTCATGATAACAAAAAATTGTATTATTTATTCTCATACTGCTTAAGCTTTTAAGTTCTTTATATGTCAATAACCCAGAAAGAAAAGTAATAATGGGCAAGGATTAAACCAGAAAATCATCTTAACATAAAACTTCATAAAAGGGAAGTCAATGAATAGAAAATTGGAGAAGTGGCTGCAGAATCACAAATATGTAGGAAAATTTGAAGGTTGATATTTAGAGGAGGGTAAAACAATTTAGTTTATGTTAGATTAGAGCGTAAAATTAAAGGTGGAAATGAACACATCGCCACAATCAACGTCTAACACAGTCAGAAACAAAGCAATGATTAACCCAACAACGTTCAATTTTCATCAGTAAATAACAGAACCTATACACTCCAAAGCAATCACAATCAATCACTCACTTCTCCCATTCATCCATACATCAATAAAAATTCCACACATTTATATATGTACATACATATATAAATATCCGACAATAAATTCCATATTTGAGGTCATGTTTCTCAAAGCATCTAACCCACTATGCATCCTAATCATCCATATCTAAGAGAGAACTATGGGTGCTGCGCAACTTGTTTAAAGTATTTGCATACTACCTAATGTGGTGAAACTATTACATTGAAATTGTGCGCAGCACAAACTGAAGGTGTTACAAATGATTAATCATTATTGTTGAGCGCCTAAGGCAATCTTACAACTTTCATAGGCAGAAATGTTTTTTCGAAAAGAATTTAGATGTTTCACCATGTTATAGGGCTAAGGTGATAATATAAGTCCCAAAAGAGAGAAAAATGTGCTTAATCAACCATAAATAACATACCCGAGGAAAGTTTGCTATTAAAGAAATGGGAACCCAGCCCTGAACATCCATGTTTGACCTCAAAAAGTCATCTTTTATCAGATTAGCATCACTACAATGAACAAAGAAAAAACCATTGCAGTTAATTTTCAAGATACTAAGGAACTGTTTCATACAGCTAAATAATTGTCAATCAACAAGAGCAGACAATTAAATGTACCTGAAATAATAATCTATTTGGTTGACTATTAAAGAAGGCAGAGGAGATTCTGCAACAGGAATAAACATTGCAGGATGTGGTGCTTGAGAAATGAATGGCATGCCTCTCATGGTCTCCAAAGGCAATGTAGGGATATAAACAAACTCTGAAAAGAAAAGAGACATTAGTTTTACTTCCACATAACTAAAAAAACAAAAACCACTTTTAATAAAGTATTACCACCAGGAAAACCCATGGGGTTTGCAAATGGCCTTGCAGGCTGGGGCGGAAATGCAGCAGTGTTTGGTGGTGCAGGCCTTGCAAGGCCCCTTGGAGGAGCTCTATGCTGATGCATGTGGGCATCCCTGGCATTCATATAATTTCCACGATCTTGGTCACGCTTGCCTCCGTGATTGTTGTGGTACGGACCATCTCCACGGGGGTGGGGGCCAAAATTTCCCCTACGGGAATTAGTGCGATGATCATTTACTTGGTGTGATTGAGGCACAAACCCACCAACTGGTCTAACATCCCAACTGTTTCCCCGAAAAGAAGGGTCTCTTGAAGAAGGATCAGGCATCGTTGGTACCAGATTACCATAACCATTTGGAAGTATAGGGAAAACAGGGAATGGTGGCGGTGGTGGCGGTGTGGGAGGGTGTCCAAAACCGCTGTGTGCGTGACCACCACCAGTGCTGCCACCACCACCCCGTTTTGATGGTCTTTGTCGAGCTGGAAATGCATTATTCGATGTGGAGTTAGGGCTTGCATTATTCGTAGAATGTCTTTTGGAGTTGGGTGAATGTGTTATAACAGGTGCCTATCAACAAAACACAAGATCAATCACGCCATCAGTACTTAGAATTAACTCCCACTCCACGAAAAATGTTATAGCTTTTACTCTGTTTGGTTGCAGATACAGTAAAGTAGCTTTTTGAATCTGAGTTATTTCATTGTTTGGCACCCTGACGAACCTAAACAACCCTCAAGCTCAATTAGGCAAGTCATCCATTCATTGTTACCAAATTATGTAACATGATTCTCGCTGTCTTTTCCTTCCTTAATTTTCCTCTGCAACCAAACACACATCCATAGACAGACAATGGGAAAAAAAGGAAAAAAAGTGAAGTGCTTGGGAACAAACCTGAGAAACCGAGATTGATCCATGGGTGACAGTTGCATCGGAGACAGTCTTTGAAGAGGAATCAGCCGGTAATTTAGGTGAAGCCCTAGTGGACTCAGATAAAGCAGGCCAAGAAACAGCCCCCATTACAGTTGTAGGACTAACCTCAACGACGTCGTTAGCGGGCTTGTTCCAAGCCGGCTTCTTTGGCCTAGCCGCATTGCCGTTGTTCCCATTGGAACCCTCAGCAGCTGAGGAACCATCCGCCGTTGGCAGAGGCAATGGCGGCGGCGAAGAACGAGCAGCTTTGGAGGATACGGAGCAATCGGAAAAAGGGGTTTGCTCCGGTGTCGAGGTTCCCAGCGAGGACAACGATGAAGACGACGATGGCGGCGATTGATGAACGGCCTCTGGTTCAGCCCCTCGGACCACCTTCGACCAGGGAGATGGTAAACTACTTTTCCTATTGACGCCGTCGAGGTGGTGATTGGCGGCCGAATCGGCAGCCATAGCCATGCCCAAATTAGGGTTTCGACGAGTTCAGAAAACAAAACGCTGATCAATATATGAACACAAATATAAATTAATCAGTTTACAATTATTTAATTAATTTATTAGACAAAAATAATAATGTAAAAGATGATTGGCAAACACTGGAAGAGAAGAGAAGATTAAGAATTGTGTTTGATTTTCTAGAGATTATAAATTTCAGAATGCGGGATTTTGATAAACTGAAGACGGATCTTGCACGTGAAAAAGCACAAGCAACCGTCAACTCTCTAAACCAACGGGTGTGACTCTCCCGGCCTCCCCTCTCTCTGCTTTTGTTCTGAGCACTGGGAAATAAACCACAGCCTATATGCTACAGCTAACAGGTTTTCTTATGAAAACTCATGTAATTACTAAAAACCCCATATCCTGCCAATATGCTAATTTCAAGCGTTTTAGGTATTTGCTCTTCAAAAATTAAAGTTATTTGCTCTTCACAATTACCGTTTTGTCCCCAGTTTAGGCTAACATATTAATAAAGATGATTACAATGACAAATGAGTTTTATCTCCCTAAATCAACCTTGTAACAAAAAATATATATATATCGTGTATTATAATAAGTGGATGTATTTTTATTGGTTGTCAATAGTTGTAATAGGACATGAATTGTAAAACTTGATGATGTTTTATAATCCGTGGTTATAGGAACTTCCTCTTCTTATTAGCATATTAGTAGTTAATTTTAGTTTTAGGGAAAGGAGTCTTGAATTAGATTAAGAGCCGATTTAATCATACACATTGACCCATTCAAGCGATTTGGGCATTTTCACAATTTCCTAATGTGAACATTAACATTAACATTTTGGCCCATAAAAATATGGGCCTTGGCATACTAAACGGATGGCAGAGCCGCTCACTGTGACGAGTTTTGGACTAGATCTTATTGGACTGACTGGACCCTAACATTATATTATAGACACCGGCTGCTTTCGTAATTTTGTTTTTTATTTTTCCATATCCAATTCCGAACAGGAGCTGCATATAAAATGAATGCATGTACAGTGAAATCCAACAACTATGTGGTTCATGCCATGATTCTCAGAAATAATATTAGTTATAATTGATGACGCCGAAAATGTAGCTTTGCTGATGACTATTGTCACCATGCATATAATAATATTCATCGTCCCAGTGGGAGGGTGGGACTAAATAGTTTAGTGAAGTCAAATAGGAAATTGTGTATGAATCACCTGTACTAGGTCCCAACAAAAATAAAATGGTGATTGTTTATGTGTTTTTTTTTTGAGAATTGTTGTTAGAATTTCAAAATGGTCGTATATGTACTCATTTCTCTTTAACTTTATTTTATGTAGAAGGAGCGCATAATGACTATATATATATTTTTTTAGAATAGACGCTTTATTAGAGCACCATAAGATTATATAGCAGAGAAGATGAAAACATCCAAAACCCAACGTGAAAGCTAAAAACAAGAGCGTCAATCTTTTTAATTAATGTTACGATGCGTCATGGGAAACTTACTAATAAACTATTAGTTGAGTGATAGGCGTGAAAGTCAAGTCTATTTCCCCATTAACAAAGAATGGAAAAGGAAAAAAAAAGGTATTCAACTCTCCACCCAGACTAGTGAAAGTAACGCTTATGATAACAATAGGTGGATTTCATCAGTCATATTCTGAAAAGTTGTTAAAGGTTGTTGGTGGTGGTGGTGGTGGTGGTGAGAATCTTTCTGGGTAATTTAAGGACGTTGAATACTATTTGGAAAACTTATGGGTGGTGGCGTGGCGTGGCACGGGTCGTCTCTTCCTTGTCATTGCGTCAAACTGTTGTTTTTAACAAGGAAAAAGTCAGGAAATTCACGAGAAGAGTGAGATGACTCTGACTCTGACTCTGACTCCGAGAAGAGGGCATCTCTCGAGATGTCTACACTGCATTTACAGCAAACTCAATAATTACAGCTAATTAATATGCATTTTTTATTATTATATAATTAATATAATTGTTTTTTTTTTCCTCAACCGATCAATAATGTTATATTATATAATGAGCCGAGTGAAGTGAGTTTCATCCCAAGTTGTGAAACCTCAACTGCGTGTCTTGTCTGAGTGTCTCTCATGGCTCAAACGACTCCAAATCATACACAGACTGTTTCTGGGTGGGCAGCTCACGATTCCTCCGGCAAGATTACCCCTTTCATCTTCAAACGAAGGTACCTATTAATATTATGAGCCTTTTGGTTTTAATTTCCCGATCGAAAATGATACAATTCCGATATTGGTTGTCTTTTTAATCCTGGCCGGATAAACTTTAACTCTATATATATGCTCTCAGAGAAAATGGGATCAACGATGTGACCATAGAGATCTTGTACTGTGGAATTTGCCACACAGATCTCCACCATGTTAGGAATGACTGGGGCATTACCATGTATCCAGTAGTCCCCGGGTACGTAATCTCTCTCTCTCTCTCTCTCTCTTCGTGACTTCGTCTGTCTCAGCCGAGAGAGGTTCACCGTTTGTATGCTATGCCAGGCATGAGATTACAGGGGTGATTACGAAAGTTGGAAGCAACGTGAAGGAATTCAAGGTAGGAGATAGAGTGGGGGTGGGATGCTTGGCAGCGACATGTTTGGAGTGTGACTTCTGTAAAGACTCCCAGGAGAACTACTGCGATCAGGTCCAGTTCACCTACAATGGCATCTTCTGGGATGGTAGTATTACCTACGGTGGTTACTCCAAAATGCTTGTCGCAGATCATAGGTACGTCCGAATCTAATCTACCCTTAATCCCACCCCATCTAATTGTACTTAATTAAGGGAGGAGACCAAAGTTAATTACCATAATTATTATCTTAATTGTCTCTACTCTTTATATATCTTCAAACCTTCAAGTTCTACAACTACTATGTCCATGTCTTTAAGCCTTGCATTCATATGTGCCTTACAAATTAGGTGGTGGAATTAATTAAACCCCGCCACACCACACCCCACACCCCCCCCCCCCCTCCTTGGCTTAGTCCTCTGGTCCACCTTTCCTTCCACTCCACACGAGTTGTACTTGTGGGGTAATATGATCCTTTCGGTTTTGTCTCGTGTGGTTGCTTTGCTTGCCACGCATATCACCATGTTTAGGAGAAAGTGAATGATAGCCCCAGTTAGTAATAGTAAGGCACACTGGGGACGGTGCACTTAGCAAAGCACAATTAAGGTTTCGTTTAGGAGTAATTTTGGATAAGTCAACATCACTTCTGAGAAGAAATATTCTCCACATGCTTTTTAAAAAAATCACTTTTACTGATTTTATAGAGAAATACCTTCATAAAGTCACTTAAAGTAATTCACTATAAAAATAATTATTGGCACCTCCAGAATCACTCCCAAATCAGTCCTGACATTTTAGAATGAAATATCTCGTGTGATTATTAGTTTAAGCTACGATCAGTTTGAATTAATATATATTGTGGTTAAGTTAAGAATAATGTGAGATGCCATTGGATTGGATGAAGGTACGTGGTTCACATACCAGCGAACCTGCCATTGGATGCAACAGCACCGCTATTGTGCGCTGGGGTGACTGTGTTCAGCCCCATGAAAGACCACAATCTACACCAAGCACCAGGGAAGAAGATAGGGGTCGTCGGTCTGGGAGGTCTTGGACACGTGGCAGTCAAATTCGGGAAAGCCTTTGGTCATCATGTAACCGTCATCAGCACTTCTCCGTCCAAAGAGGAGGAGGCTAAAGAGCGTTTGGGTGCCGACGACTTCCTAGTCAGCACTGATGCACAACAACTTAAGGTTTATATTTATATTTAATTTGTTTTTTTCATTCTTCGTCTTCTTTTCTTTACTGCCGGTGTAAATTAAATTGAATTAAATTAAGTTGATGCTGCTGATGATGATGACAGAAAGGCATGAGGACGCTTGACTTCATATTAAATACGGTGTCTGCTAAGCACTCTCTTGGGCCCCTCTTAGAATTGCTCAAAGTGAATGGAACTATGGTGGTTGTGGGTGCACCAGACCAGCCCTTTGAATTGCCTTCCTTCCCTATGATATTTGGTAATTAAAAACACCATCAATCTCATAGACTCTCTTCATTTCTAACCTAAATTAAAAATTAAAAAAAGTAAAATTTAACTGAGAATTAAGTAGGAGTGTCAACATATATACATTCTCTCCATGGAATTAATGGTGTGAACAATATTATCTATGGACAGGCAAGAGGGCAGTGAAGGGCAGCATGATAGGAGGAATGAGAGACACAAAGGAGATGATGGAACTATGCGGGAAGCATAACATAACGTGTGACATTGAGGTTACAACACCAGACAAACTCGACGAGGCCTTGGACCGCGTTGCGAAAAATGACGTTCGGTATCGATTTGTCATTGACATTGCTGCTGGATTGCCTTCCAATCTTTAGAATTAATCGTGTCAAAAATTTGTAATGTGATGTCATTGATTGTTTACATTTAGTATTGTTGTTGAACAAGTTATATGTCATGGAGGAAATTGCATGCAAATTGCAATGAGGGAATTTGAAGGAAGCACCGTGCGATGGAAAGTATGTGACATTTGAATTAATAAATGAATCGGTTTGGTCTTTGTTGTTAATTAAGTTGGAACTTGGTCAAGCTCAAGGTGGTTGTTGGAGAAACTTTCGGACTCACGGTTGTGTTCGGACTTCAAACTTCACACTTTTCAGCGGTCGTACGTTGAATAAGTCAAATCCAATATCTTATTATCATGTTGTTTGTGTGTGATATTGTTAAGTCCGGAGTGTGGCGTTGATACAGGAGTAGGTGTAGGACCTTCTGTTTGTCTATGTTTCTTTCTTGATTTACTTTTAAAAGAGAACAAATCATAAACAATTGGGCTTCATATTTTGGACTCTCCTCCTCCTCCTAACGGACCCAACCATAAATGACGACAAGACTATAGGACGGCAGGCCTGTAGCAAAAATGCTATAACCAATTGGGTTAAAGACCCCAAATATGAAAATGCAAAAACGATTCCAAAGACAAAAAACAAACAAGTAGAGTCCTTCATGTAATTATCTTTTGAGCCAGTCATGCTTGGTTTAGGGTTTGTTTAATTACGTGTGCTTACTTCTCTTTCTAGGCCGCCCCCCGCTACGCTTATTATCGCCCACATTTTTAACAAAGGACTGGCTACCGCTATGGTGTTTGTGCTTGACTTTACAATTAATTTTAAACACAGTACTGTTTAATTAATAGTCTTATTACGTTCTTTGTTTGAATCGAATTAGTACGGTTTATAATTAATCTTTAGCCATAAATAAAGTACTAATTTGTAATTATGACTTAGTAAGGTATGACAATGACTTACATTAAAGATAAGTGGTTGACAAAAGCTTAGCTGTCACTGGATCATTTCTCAACCAAGTCTTGTAATTTTGGGCGTTGTATTCATGTCTGATTTGCTTAGACGTGTGACAGTTATATTGAAATGTATTTGGTCTTTTAAAGTTATTAGTGAAGATACAAGTTGTGCGATGTCGTCGATTTATTCTATATATTGATTAACCCTCTGAGGTTACTATGTTGTATTAACTCTTTATGAATATTTGGTATTTGTGGTCAATAATTAAATATAATTATCGCTAATTATGCCACCATATAGGGCTTGACAAGGTGCAAGTTACGCCACCGCACAAGGTTCCAATTTTTTATATTTTATATTAATAATATAAAACTGTTTATGATAGATTTGATTCGAGTTTGAAAACATCGTCCTGCATGCCGGCCTATCATGGAAACATTACCAAATGGATAACTGAATAATTTCGCTCCAATCAAATTTTGTTTCGGACACCATCTCCCGGGATCATTCCGCACCTTGAAATGAAAACTGGTAAATATAGTAATCAATCATGATCGGACAATATTATCTGTTTTCTTCAATTTAGATCATAAAGTTCCCATCTTCAAAATCATGTTTAGTGCGACTTCAAAACACGTTACCTAACAAAATTAGGAAAACAGAGAAAAAGAGAAGTCTTATCTTCTCAACGAAATTGAACAGTGGCTGCATGGCTTTCTCCTTCATTCTGCGTTGCTTGCAAAATTAGAGCAATTAATAATTTGTTTGGTGTCTCTAAAAACATCGGACCTTGAAATCCTTACACGTATAGAAAGAGAGAGCACAGCGTGTGAGGCAGTCTAACGTGTCACAAAAGCCATCACGTCATTGAGGCGGTGCTTAGCCTATAACTGCCGACTGGGCGGGCTTGCAGTTAGAATTAGATATCGGTTTCGTCCACATCGATCTCTTCTCTTGCGGCAACCAAACTCTCTCTATATATAACACACGCCATCATACGCTCCCATTTCGTCTTTCCTTTTAAACCGTTTTGACTCCTGAGATCATAAACAACAAGAAGCAGCCGCAAACTCCTCTAAGATTATATATACATATAATTTATAAAACAACACCTTCCATCGATCTGAGAGTTTCCTTCTACTCATCCCATCCGCTCTTACTGTCATCATGTCTAAGATGAAGAAAATTTTGCGCACCAAGTTGAGATCTGCGTTTTCCAAGGCAGGTCAGTTCTGATCATGCATCTCTATCTCTAATTAATTTCACAGTTTTATATTATTATTTTTAATTTGTTATATGTTCTGATCACACTATGTATACTTTAATTCCAGGGTGCAGATCATACGGAGGGAAAGGAGACCGTGTCGGTGGCAATAGCTTCTCTGACAAGCTAAGCGTGAACGAAGAATACTTGCAAGTTTTCAGAACAAAGTCGTACGTAGAAATGTGGGATAAAGTTCATGGACAGCTTCCAAGCACTGCTACTACTTCTTCCTCGTCTCTTCCTCCTAATTCGTACATGGATCGCTCAGAATATTTGCTTGAACCGCGGCAGGATATTTTAAAGGACATAATTAGTGAGGAGGGCTTAAATCTCCATCACCTTCTCACCCACTACTTCGAAGCCAGCTTAGACGCCTGCCGTATCTGTGACTTGCTCCTCCGCACCCTCCATCAAACACGTTCTGAGTGCCGAAAAATCAAGAAGCTCGTCCTAGAACTAAGCCAAAGGGTACTTCTACTTGAACAAGCACAAACACATAATCATGGTAATGATAATAATAATAACAACGAAGATGATGATGAACAACGGGAAGCTATTTTTGGAGATCTTACCACATTTGCCCTTGTCAAGAAGAATCCCTTGTCAATTATCAACCCCGTGCAGTTCCGTGATATTCATGATAGCCACTTGGCGTTGTTCAATAGGTTAACTTTAAAACACAAAAAGGTTCAACGGACCGCAAAGCGTAACAGAATTTGCAAGAAAGTTGGAGGGGTTGGTCTGGTGGTGTCACACAGTGCACTTTTGATTGCCTTGCTTGTGTTTGCAATCCACAGCATGATTGGGATTGTGGTGGCGCCAGCACTGATGGCTTGCTCGTTGGGTATGTGCGCCAAGAAAATGGAGTCGGCGCAGGATTGGTTGGAAGCAAGATTTCCAGATAGCCATTCAGAGCAACTCGATGTGGCGGCAAAAGGGATTTATATTTTGATCAACGATTTTGACACCATGAGTCGGATGGTGAGGAGGTTACATGACGAGGTGGAGCACCGCAAAGCTATTGCGGGTATGTGTGTCACTGCTGCCAGGAATGTGAAAAATGTCAACGGGTCTTCGGGGAACTGTGAAATATTCAAGGAAGTTGTGAGGGAATTTCATGCCGCTGAGTCTGGGTTTGTGGACCAATTAGAGGAGCTTGAAGAACACATCTACTTGTGCCTGCTCACCATTAACAGATCCAGAAGGCTTGTCCTAGAAGAAATAGTGGCCACTACCTAATCAATTATTATATAATAAATTTGGCTTACACCCTTCAAATTCAATTTGCCATACCTAAAACCCTTCACTTTTTGTTCCTATAAATAATACCCAATTTGTATAAGTAAAAACCCATTACTAGGATCCAACTCAGCAAGTTACCTAATTAAGCATAAAATCTGATTTATTGTACTTTTCAGATTACAAAAATACCCCCAACTAAGCCATTATTGCATTTTGTATATTAATGTAGGAATCAATATGGAAACAGTTTTTAATTGGATTGTATATAATGACATATGCTGAATTTGGAAAGATCTCCAAATGGTTGTAATGGATGTAGGAATTAATTTTGATACATTTTTAAAAAAATTTAACAATAAATTCAAATTTAGGTAATCGGTTTGTTTAATAAAATGTTTATGTTATTTTGTTTTTATGAATTATACATGACTAATAATCCACTTTATAATTATTTATGAATAAAACTGTACATACTAATTATGTTGAAAAAATAATGTAACTATTACTTGTTTGTTTTATGAAAAACATAATTTACCTAGTATGAAAAGTGTACATAATTATCTATTCCAAATAATGTACCTATACACATTTACAGGTATATTGTAAAATAATTTACTTGTGGATAAATAATGTACCTATATTTTATATAAATTATTGTGTACCTATTTTTAATTATGAAAAATATACGCAATTACAAAGTAACTGTTTTTTTTTTTTTTTTTTTTTTTTTTTTTTATATAAATATATTTTATATGTATATATTTATATTATATTTTTCATATTTACATTATTGGATATGGTAATTTACAGATTTTTTTTTTGTTTGTAATTTTAGGGGGCGAGATGTGAGAGGAGAGATGACAATAAAAGAAATGGGGTGATTGATATACTATTAATAGGGAGTATATTAATTATAATTATGGCAGTCAATAAAATGTTTGAAATAAATTATAAATAAAATATGAAGTTTAGTGGTAATGATGTAAAAGCATAGAAATATTACGACCTCTTATATCATACTAGTTATTTAAATTTGAAATTAGGTTTTACACATAGATTTATAGAGTGATGGGTATATGTCTAGGAAATATAAAATGTAAGGATCTATATTGGACAAACCCATTATTATAATAAGTCAATGACGTCGTATCGATCATCATATGCTTGTGATTGTGAACTAGTCAAAGATGTTACGCAAATCAATGATACGTATTCCATGGAACTATATATATACAAAAGAGCTAGCGAGCAATTGCTTCATCAACCAACTTTTCTTCAAACAACGTAATTACTGTAATATAATTATAGTTTCAAAATTTATTTATTTTTGTACGTACTTCAGAAATAAAGGATTTTCTGTTTCTACTTTTGAAAATAACAAATTACTCTGTCGGTTAATTAAATCTTCTTTCAATAAAATTACCTTTTTTTTTGTCGGACTCAGAACTATTTTACCTATGGCTTGACAATTTTTGTTATTGTTTCAAGAACTTTTAGAACACGTGTGGTGTGGCCCTTGGAACTTGGATGCGACCGGTCGTACTCTGAAAACGAGATTCTTGTTGTCGTGTTCGTTGTTAGATGTCCATTCTGAAACGAGAGGCTTTTGAACCCAAGGCCCAATCAATTTGTGTGGTTTAGAAGCCCAAAGGCATTTTGATTTCCAAGAAGAGAAACTATTACAATAACAAAAGGATTCATATTACAAGAATATAAAATATATATATATAAATTGTAGTGAACGGTAAATATTTCTACAAGTTGAAGGAAGCTGCATCTTCAGCGCGCTTCTTATTGTACAGATTGATATATATATATATATATATAGATTTGGTTGGATCAAAATGCTTGGAATAATAGCCTTGATCAGTTCATGGGTTTTGGTCCCCCATCACAAATTCACAATCGTCGGGCCAGATTTATAATGCCCTAAACCACCACCTGATTTGATAATCCAAAAAATGTGGCGGGCTGCCTCTTTTAATTATAACAAAAAAGAAAGTATAATATAAGCACGCCTCTGCCTTTAACCCAGAACCGTAAAGCCACTTAATTTTATTAGCTTAGCTTATGAGAATTGCACTCTGCTGGAGAAAGTTTGGCCGAAGCTCCAACTGGAAGACACAATGTTCTGAAAGAGTTGAGTTTCTCCATCCGTGGTGGTGATTCTGAAGGACAGAGATTGGCCATTGAGGTAGGCATTGGACTGCCAGTTTGCTCCCCAATTCCTTGACATTGCCATCCAACCAGTTTTTGAACCTTTGACGTATGCAGACTTAATAGATCCAGCTCCTCCTACATTGCTGATCAGAACAAGCTCAAAGTAGTCCCTCCCATTTATTGTGAACCTCACACCCCCCATGCTTCTTGCATGGAACCCTGCACGCACACATGAATCCAAAATCCCATCAATATGCGCTTGACGGAATGGGATTAGTTGGGAAAGCAAAACAGTGCTATTAATTGCCAATTTTGAAATTAAATATAGTAACTACCTTTGGAACAAGACGGGGACGATGCCACCTCTGTAAATCCCAATCTTTTCCCAAGCAGGCTGAGCCATGTCAAAGTGCTGAAGGGGTGGGTTGCACCATCCTCCATTGTTGTTTGGAAGATCATAATTAGGAGGACAAAAGTTTGTTGCAGTGATTGTCACGGACACTCCTTTATTGCACCATCTAGCATCTGTTTTATAATCGCATATGATCTTATAGCATTGCCCACATGAAGCCCCGTCGTTGAACAAGGCGGTACTTAAAGCAGCGGTCCTAGTCCCATACCCTGTCGAATACAGGTTACCGTACCCACAAGCTCCCCCTGCAGTGCACAAGCAAAGTACTCATTGTTATAAAACTTATAATTATTTTGGAAACAAAATACAAAATCTAGCAATTTAAAGGGTAGAGACAAAGCGCCTAGTTAGGATTAGGATAGGTTAAGAGTTGGATGACGGGATAAGAAAGACTGAAAGAGCTACTTATAATTACCCATAGTTCCTGAGGCATCACTTCCTCCATAAAATGTGGCATGACCTTTAGTCCATCCAGATGCAGTAAATGCAGAAACATTTGTAGAGAGACTGCATAATGATCCAAGCAAGATTGCTAATGCAAAAACGAGTTTGGCCATTATTCTTGCTTAGCTAAAAGCTCAATTGCCCAATGCACAAATGAGAGAGAGAGAGAGAGAGAGAGAGAGAGAGCTGATAGGATTTGGTACTGTATTTACGTTGATTGGGAGTTCCAAGCAAATTAGTGGTTGTTTAAATAAGGGGAGGGGGCAGATGGATGATGGATGATGGATGGATGGATGGATGGACTGAGTAATATGCAGCAACCTCACATGGGACCTCTGCAGCCGGATTCAACGTAAATGATTCATTTTTCTGTATTATTCATTTAAATTGAATTATCTCTGCAAAAGTCTGAATGCTTCTGAGCCTCCTCAGTCAATTAGTCCCACGTTCTCTCCCACATCCACATGCTCTTCCCAGCAGAAGAGCCGTGAATATATCAAAATCCAGAAATCCAAATTGTTGTCTCTTTTTTTTATATATAGAGGATTTCACTTCAAAGGTGCAGGTTGTTGGTATTTTAAGATAAAATGACATATTTAATGTTTTCGTAAGATGGGAATATTTATTTCAGGGTCGTATCACATGCTACTTCCTTGACCTTATATCATACAGACATTGCCATTATTCTTCATGTGTTATGCACATGATGGGACCTTTTTCACATTATTAGACATTAGATATGCATTCTGATTTCTAATATAAAGATTTTGGGTACGTTAAAAGCATCCCCTTCCCCACCGTCGATTTGCAACATCCTATATATTTACTAGCCCATGCCTCATGCCTCATCACCAGCACCAGGGGCCTCACATTCCCAAATTTTCTAGCATATATATTCTTTCAACCTGATCGCCCATAGTAGCAAATGATAACCATTTATTTATCTTTCTTTTTTTGGAAATGAATTTGTTGTCTCTGACTATATTCCAGTACATCTATTTTCGTTACATGCAGTTGCCATGTGATGTTGCACCGTCAAGCGCTGTGACAGAGACTCCATCGACTAGAAATAATTTATTAAGGGGCACAGCCAATTGGCCATTATTGATCACCGCTTCAAGAAAAATAGGAGGAGAGAATTGGCAATCATATGAAAGTCCACCAACACCACAAGAAAGAAACCATAAAGTTTCTTCGCGCAATCTCAGGCGTTTGTACGGAATACAAAGGACATTATATAGATAACAAATGAAAGGTAGTTTGAGTAAAAGATGGATACGAGTTCAAGTTGCTGCTTAAATGATTGAAGTCAATTCTTGCACATGACGATAACCCAACTCAGGCTATGAACTGATCAACTCTACATATTCTACGTTCACACTAGAGACCAGACGCTAAGCAATGTGGCATCTCTTGGTGTTTAAGATTTCGCAATTTGGGATTTGGGATTTGTGGTTCGCATCAAAGGCTAAATGATACACAACGAACAAATGATAACATCTGACAAAACCAATAGCGCATAGCCTCAAATTTAACGTAGTAAATGATAGCATTTGAGAATATAGGTGCGATGAGAACTCTAATGAAAACAACAAATCACTATCGATATACATAATCCACAAACGAAACAAGTACACTGATCTCTTCACCAGTTTAACAGGAAATATACCAAAATAATGGAGTACTTATCAAACCAGCAATAAGAATTCCACCATTTAAGTATGCAGTAACTCATGATGGAAATTTAAGTACTGGACTGGAGAGGCATTAAAAGGAAGACACGAGAAAAATTCAAAGAGAAGAACAGTTTGCATTAAAAATCATCGTCGTCATCCTCTGTAATATGGTTGGCAAGCTCCTGCTCTTGTTGCTGCCGCTCTCTCCTCTCAGCACTTTCTTTCTCCTTGTGTGGATTTGGAGGAAACCGTAAGGCCCGAACTGCTTCATTGTGCATGTTAAGACAAAAGGCAATCCTGGAGTTGAAAGCAGCTTGAGGCTCATTAGTAGAGTAAATATCTCCAGTCTCCTTTGATACCATCCACCCATTTGAATGATCCAATGAGGCCTCAATGGCGCCATCACGGATAGCCTTGGCCACGATGCTTTCAGCATCAGCAATAGGGTTTGTAGAAATCAATCTTAACTTCTCAGCAACATCAGCAAGCGAGATGCGGGAATAAGAGATGCTAATATTCCGTAATCCAGTCCTGATGACATTATGTCGCAACCGAACAATTAAATTGTGGGTTTGGTCCTTGCTGAATGTGGCAGCAAACTTTTCTGCAACATTTCTGAATAGTGCTAAATCACCAATCCGAACAGCCTGAAATGTCACCAATTTAAACAAGAGAAAATCAGTATAAATCAGTTATTAATTACGCAAGATGTTGAAAAGTCCAGAGGGATGATTCTCTGATATTATGGACTCACATTTGTTAGTTCAAAGTAAGGCCTCAAAGCTTTTTCCATTCCTCTCTGCATAAAGATGATCCTCTCTGGTATTTCACCAAGAAGCAAACGGACCAAGACAGCCCATTTGTTACATTGAATTCGGAAACCTTGAGCTGCAAAAGGGGCTTTCCTAGCAGCCTGCAAAAGAGACTCTTTTGCATCTGTATACTCCAATTGAATTGTCCGAATCTTTCCAAGGTAGAAGAGATAACGACAGAACTGCATATAAAAAATTTGGACTCAGAAATTCACAATTTAGTCAGTCTAAAAACAATGCCCACTTCAGGTATCAGAGGAATGAAAGTAATCACAAAACAAATGGTGATGGCCATATTGAACATTCTAGAAATATAAAAGCATACAATACGGCACAAAGCATTGGGAAGCTGGTGAAATGCAGGACCTGATAGTTGAGTCTGACTCAGAAATTCACAATCCAGTCACTGTAAAAACAGTGCTCACTTCGGGTAACAGACTGGTGAAATTGAAAAGAAAACAAACAACTAATGCACACCATAGAGGACATAGCACCAGAAAACTGTAGCAATGTAGGACTTAACTGTTGAGTCTGGAAAAAATATAACCAAAACAAGCCATAGGAACCACAAGAAGTGGAGGCAAAATTTCGAGGACAACAGCAAGCTTATACGTACAGCTGAGTTCAAAAGGAACATAAAGCTCTAATGGAAAAGAAATGGCCAACTCCTGACACACTATCTTTAATATCATTTGCAGAGAGGTTGACATACCTGCTGGTTTGAATGTGCTTCAAAGCGCGGTGCCTTGGACCTTAGCTTCTCTGCCTGGTCGTATAGGTTGTAATGGAGATAATTTCGAAGTAACAGGTTGAGAAGTGTTTCCTGCATAACATTATCATACAGCTTTGAGCTTTCACATCCAAAGACAAAACAACCTAGAATACAGTTTGGACACTCACCTGACCCAACTCATCATGACGCAATGTGGCAATGCGATGCAAGGCAAGGAGATTGCTGAAAAACAGAGTGCAAAGAGATTAAAGCAGATACAATTCAGCTACCAATTTCCTCGGGTGTCCTCTCATGCCATATGTTTAAACGTAAACAAGTATCTGCCTAAGAAATACATGGACAATGCACATGAACACGTATATAGAGAGAGGGGGGAGACAGGGAAAGATAGCAGTAAAAGGTTGCAATAAAAAAGAGACATATTGGGTTAATTAATAGCTTACCCTCGAATTTCGGCAAGATTTCCAGTAAGCTCATAGCTATATGAGTAATAGAAGTACAATCTGGATGCTAGAACATCAACGGTTCTTCTATTGAAATTCTTAAGTCGAGCAATACTAGCTGAGGAACAGGCTTTCGCCTAAAAAAAAGGACCGAGGAAAAATAAAATAAAATTTACAAAACTGGGACAACTATACAGAGAAGGGAGAAGTGGAAGGAAAAAAAAAACAAAGCAAAGCAGAGTGATGGACTCAACCTCATCGTATCTTTTCTGATCAATCAGAAAAAGTATCACAAGCAAGTAACAGTAGATCTCAAGCTCGGGCAATATGTGCTTTGCTGGAGCTTGAACAGCAGAAGTTGCGGCATCATCATTATCAACTTCCATGCCATGCCTATTGTCCTACACAAATAGATGTGAATATGAAGGTGCATGCGATGTAACAAAACAATTTGCACAAATTCAAACAAGAGAAGTGATTGAAATTAAAGTAAGAGGCAATATTATTTGATTATTCATTTATACACCTTAGGAAGGTAGGCAGACAATCGTGCGTGAGCTTCGGAACCAGGAAGAAGAGCGTAATCGAGAAATGCAGAGAGCAAGGGGGCCGTGAGCTTGCGCCTCAGCTGAATCGTAAGGCGAACAGCACGAGCTATTCTGCGAACCTCTTTGGTGTAGGAAGCGGCCTCAATAAACGATGCCCCCTCCTTCAAATCTTTGGTGTAAAGCCAGATGCAAATTCAAAATTTCACATAGAAATGTAAATAAATAAATAAACGAGTATATAAATGAGCAATCGAAACCCTAAAATTTAGAACAAAATCTGAGATTGAGACTCAGACTCAGAGTTTGGTGCTCACGCTGCAAAATGGATGCTGAATCGGAAGGTAAAGGGGCTTGAGGAAGAGCTTCCTCATCTTTCATCTCCACGTCCTGAGTCATCTTCTTTCCTCACTAACATCTACCAACCAGAATTCGCTGCTTCTGCGTCTGCTGCTTTTCTTTGTCGCACTCTCTTTTCTATTTAAGTTTTCTTTCTCTTCAAGTCATATTTCAGTCTTCACTTGAGAGGAACCAAAATTAAATATCACTAAATAAAAGAACGAAAAAAACAGAAAAAGCAGAGCAGCTTGCGCCTATTTTTAATGCATATTCGCTATCTGGGCTTCTCGATGGACGTTGCCTCATCGTAAAGCAGAACATGGTCCTACAGCAAACGTTGAAGCCCAGAACCACCCAGCGAACCCTGGGCCAAGCTGCAAGATCCCATTTGGTGCTATTGATTTTGATGGCAAAACCCAAAATTTTCAATTCAACCAACCATTCGAAGACCTTCCAAAAACATTATAATTATATTGTCTTTACTTGCAAAGTGAAATTTTGAAAGTGTTTTTTTCTCTTTCCAATAAGCGATAATTGTATTCAATTATTGGGCACAACCAAATATCAATAAAGGGTAAGAAAAAGATAGATGCATAGTAACCTCAAAGGGTTAATCAAGATGTAGGATACATCAACGTAACAATCACACATTTGAGCAAATTATACATGAAATACACATTTGAGCAAATTATACATGAAATACAGCATCCAAAATTACAAGGTGTTTGTGAGAAAAGACTTGGTTGAGAAATGATCTAGTGACGGCTAAAGCTTTTTTCAGTCACTTATCTTAGAGCATCCACAATGATGCTCTCTATTTCTTAGCTACAATTTAGCTAAAAATATAAGAAATCTATTTTAGGAGCTCTCTAAAAAATTTCAACTCCAACCATACTCCCTAATTTGGAGAGTCATAAATGCTATAACTCTTTTTGATTGGTCCATCTCTATTAAAAATAAAATAATAAAAAATAGTTAGCATTAAATAAAAGTTTAAAATACTCATTAAATAAAGTAGCATTAAATTATAGGGAACCACTAAGAGTCCCTTCTCTCTCCTCAGATTTAAAAGCTCCTAGAGAACTCCCTATTTTAGGAGGTGGATACAAGTCATTGTCAAGTCATAATTACTAATTAGTACTTTATTTATGGCTAAAGATTAATTATAAACCGTACTAATTCGATTCAAACAAAGAACGTAACCGTACTGTGTTTTAAAAATATTGGTCGAAACCGTACTGTGTTTAAAATTAATTGTAAAGTCAGGCACAAACACCGTAGCGTAGCCCGTCTTTTGTTAAAAATGAGGGCGATGATAAGCGTAGCGGAGGGAACTAGAAAGATAAGTAAAACAGACCAGGGAGTTTGGGAAAGATAGCTAGGCACGCAATTAAATGGACCACACCATAAACATTATATTGTTCTCGCAAGCCAAAAAGGAAGGAAAGAAATAATAAAAAAAATAAAAAACCTTCGACACAATAGAATTTCCCAACAAAAATAAAAGAATACGCTGATGAATCCAGATGGAAAATTACAACTGTTCAAACATCTCACCTAAACTACATGACAAAACGGGGGGATTACCTCATAGGACTCTAAACTAATCTACACTGATCATGCCTTACAGTTAATATTAGTAGTTTGCCATACCGGAGAGATAAATAAACATGGAAAGAAAGGATAGATAGTAAACATAGATTGACAAGCCACAACAATGGCCATTTGCATGATGTTCAGTGACACCCATATTGCACCTCAAGCAGCTGCCTGGATCGGCCCATTAGACCTATAGCCACGGCCCCTTCCACGATATCCCCCCCTTCCACGGCCACGTCCTGCACAGCAATTCCCATCACATATTGAAATCAGAAGGAATTCATAAACCTATCCAATTGGCTAAATACAGCTGCCAATGATAGTCTATCAAGAAAAAGATTCCATGTGTATGCACACAGTACTACTTGGATACAAGGAAAATTCATGCAGACATACCATGGCCAACTTGAGCAGGTGCTTCTTCATTGTACTCTCCATCTTGTTGTCCATCAAACTGGGGCCCGTTGTACCCTCCCCTTCCACGGCCTCGGAAACCACGTCCTCTCCCACGGCCCCTACCCCTGAAGTTACTGCGACTGCGGTCGTAACCTCCATCATCAAATTCAGCTGACACAAAGCCATTTCCTGCGATTACTGACATATTAATTACCGTATCAAACCAAATTATCACAAAAAGCCCTGTTTTATAGCCAAGACCAACTCCTATTCAGGCTATCATACTATCCACTTATCATGCCGCCTTAAAACATCACAATGCTCTAATCAAACCGCATTTACTCCATCATCTATAGAAACCAATGCAACAATCCCACACCACTTTTAAGGGCTACAGGGCATAAGTTTGCAAAGAAACATTATACAGCCAGTAGAATCTATACCAGAAAATATTTAGCAAAAGGTAACTGAAGAGTAGAAAACATTAACAATCACATCAATGACTACCTCTAAACCTTCCCCTTCCTCTGCCACGTCCACGTCCACGGCCACGACCATTTGGGGAGCCCCCTGAAGATAACAGAAAGGTTTTACAAATGTAAAATAACAACATGAAGAAAATAAAATTAATAGGCAAACAAATGAACGTGGCTCATAAATTGGCACTACCTCCTTCATAATCAATCTCTGTCGATGCCTTCACGAGCTCAGCAGGTAAAGGTGACTGGTACCTGATGGTAGCAGTACTTCCAAATGTTAACATATCTCTTAATAAAATGGCAATGACCAATAAGAAAATATAAAATATAAAATATAAAAATAAATTTTTATGTTAAAGCCTACGTAATTTCAGACCACATCAAACATATAACAACAATTCAGAGAATACTTCAACTTTATAATTCTTGTAAACAGCTAAAAGTATAGGCAAAACAAAATTAATCATCCATACTCAAACCATAAAACAGATCTTAACGTGTGAAACAAGCAGTCCTCAATACCAAGAACCATTGTAAATTGGGTAGACTTATAAGAGATCCTACACAATTTCAAGTGATATGGTTCCATAATCCCAACTATGGTCAGCAGGAGATATTTTACTTAAGACAGCACAGCTCCAGTCCAACCTTAGGTTCTATTCCTAACAAGAAAGAGGTATCTAGTATAAACTCACCCGATAGAAGATGTATTTATTTCCTTCTTGGACAGTGTTACCACAATCATCGACACATGCCTTGTTGACTCCAAACTGTGGCAAAAGAAGGGACAAAATGAGGCATAAAAGCACACATAAGGGACAAGGCCCAAAACTACTAACCCTCGTGAGATACTGCAAATGAATCGGTGTTGTTCAAAACAAGTTTTAAAATACTCTTACGTGTTGAGGCCTTCCTCAAGGGGTTCATATATATCAGTTATGTCGGTAGATCCAATTGTAGTGTTCTGATGAAGACCAACAATTCTTCTCTGAAAACAAGTAACACTAATATCTCATCAGTATAATCCACAAATTGAAACGTCTGATAACCAGTACAGTGATACAAAATGAGAAATGTAACCTTAATTAACTCCACGATTGTTACAGTCTTGTTGATAGCTCTCCCCATAGCCTTGAATACAATTTCGTCCGATCCCTTTTCCTGCAAGGCGTTGCATAGGAAGATAAGGAAAAAGCTAAGATATCATATCAAATAACATAACCTAAGCCACTAAGCATCCTCAACTTGCATAAACAGTATATAATCCAATAATTAGTTGTATATCCCACAAGGTAGAAAATTAACAACAGAGTTTAATTTCGCTGCACCAGAATCCCCAACATATCATCATTCTTCTTCTTTTTTAATTCAATTTGATGTGTGATAAAACAATTTCATACATCTCAAAGCTCGCATATAATGTGAAAATCAAAGGAAAAATGAAAAATAGAAGGCAATAGTAAGGGGAGACAGACCTGAAGCAGGGTCATGGCGTAAGTAATGTAGTTGCGCATCCTTCCCTGGCTGGTAATCCTAATCTCGTTCTCATCTATTGGCGTCTCCACTCTTGGCTTCTCCACTCTCTGGTACCGATCCATCTTTTTTCCGCGCTGCAGTTTTTAAAAACAGCAAAATTATTTTAGTCAAAAGCAGGCATACATACATCATGCAATATAAAATCCACGGAAAACGAAAACGAATGGAAGAAGAACGAACTGCAAACTCACTGCTGAACCGATTTCCAAAGAGAAAAACACAACACGAGAAAGAAGAAAACAAATATTGAAAAAAGCTCGAGAAAACGGAGGGAAAATAATTACAGAAAAGGAAAAAAAAGAAGGCGGTGAAGCAAAAATCGAGAGAAGAGACGACGAGGGAAAGAGAGGGACGGGGGGATAGAGGTATGGTTGGATCTGAATGATTCAGGGATACATACATACCGTGGGTGGGTGTTCAAAAAAGGATAAGTAGCGCTCCACACAAAAAAAGAGCCCTCTTCTACGGCTTCGTATTTTCTTTTACGCCCTAATTCGCACACTGGGATTGTCTCTTCATATATATACCACCGCAACCCGCAATCCTCCAAAACTACCCTAACCACCTTGTTTACTCTTGTTTATCCCCCGCCTATGTCTCCAAACAGTTACTACTCCCTTGGCTCGCTCGCTCTTTCGCCAAACTGCCTTCTTTCCTTACTTCCTGTTTTAGAGCCGGCCCAACTACGGACTAATATTCACATAGGCCTGGGCCTCACACAGCCCATCCTCAGGGTGGTGTAGAGCCTGGTCCACACGGTGCTGGTATTTCTTTATGTTACCAAAATATTAATAATAACTTTTAATACATTTCAATAATTTAAAACAATTCATTGTTAACAGTACATAAGTTACTAAGTTTTACTGTGTCTATTACATTAAATAATAAAAAGGCCTAAAGTCATTTTTTGTCCTTGTAATTTAGCACTTCAACCACTTTTAACCATATAGTTTCAATTCTATCAATTTTGCCATTGTAGTTTTGTATTTGTAGCAATTCAAGGACATGTTAGTATTCTTGTCAATTTCCAACAAAAAACGTTTGAGCATAAAAGTTTTTCTTAAATTCTCCAAATTTCATATTATGGCTCGAAATTTAACCACTAATCCCAATTTTTTAAGAACTCTAAACCCAAATGACCAATTTCAAGCGCTAATATGAAATTATGGGAGTTTCAGACGAGCTTTTATGCTCAAGGATTTTGGGTTGACAAAATTGTCCTTTGCATTGTCAAAGAAATTGACAGGAATACTAACTTGTCCTTAAATTGCTACAAATACGAAACTACATGGTGAAAATTGACAAAATTGAAACTATAGGGACCAAAAGTGACTTTTAGCCTAATAAAAATTGTCAGTTAACTTGCAAAATTTTAAAGAACTAATTTAGCAAGTCTACGCAAATGTGAGTTAGGTCAATTGACTTGTTCATACTCAGATTATTGAGGATTCAAGTCCCTCCTTATGCTCCTAGATAGTTTTTATGTGAGGTTGCAAGTCAACCAAAACGAAGACGGAACGAAATGAACAAGCTGAGGATGACATATGACGTTGAGTATTTGCTTGTTTGTAAAATTGTGTTGGTGCGTACCTGCAACTGCAATGACCTTTACTTTAATGGCATGTTTACTAATTCATAATTGGATTTGGAAGAATTGAATTGAGGATGAGTTGGAATATGGATTCTCATTAAAGTTGTTTACTAGACTATGTGGAATCGGGATAAGAATGGTATTGATTCCTTATAAGTTGTTTACTAAATTCTCATGAATTGGAATTGAAACTAGTTTGAATACTAAAATGCACTTGTTCTAAATAAATTATAGGTTTAAAGTGGATGGTAAATTCGGAATTTTAAATTTTATGTGAAAATATAATTGGTAAAAAAGATAAATTTTTGATCCAAGAGTCCAATTCCTCAAAAATCAAGAGTTGAATTCCAAATTTTATGTGGGTACCGTTTGCTCTTTCATTCCTTTATGCGAAGTAAACAAAAGAGTAATCTATAATCAGAGTTCAACTCTTTATTTTGATTCCCATTACGATTAGTAAACATCCCACAAATAATCAAGGAAAAAACTGACCTTTTTCCCTGTCCTTTTACAATTGCTAATTGGAAAACTTAAAACACATGAAAACACCTTCCCAACAATCTTGTGCGCTTGATCATAATTCAAACAAGGCTAATTGCAAAACTACATTTTAAGAGGTACAAATGTGTTAAGCAGACTAGATCCAATTTTCAGCAATGTTACAGATCATTTATTTCCATGACTTACATTTATACATTAATTGGAACCAGCACTGTTGAGTTTATTCTTCAACCAACCAAAGCACCTGAAGCAATTATTAGCTCATCCTTCACAAGAAGAAGTGCAGATTTTCCTGGTTCTTTGACGCCTCATTACCAACTAATGGGTCAAAGATTTTTTTCCATCCATTAAAATCTGTAGGGGAGCCAGCATCAGGCAATACAAATCCATTAAGAAAGAAAGTAGGCGTTGCATACACCCCTCTTGAAGCGCTATACTGCATGTCAAAAGACATTCAACATGAAAAAAACAGATTGGGCAAACTTGATGAGTGATTCCAAAACTCAATAAAAATGAATCAAAGATACTGATAAACACTGGTAGTTAATATATCCTGAAAAATGTGCCTAATTATCACACCAATTGAAACATATGTATAAAAGAAATGAACATATACTACATTACCTTGAAGGAAACCCTTGTTTTGAGATCCGTTTTCCGGTCATTGAGGCCGGATTCAAGGTCACTATGATAGGAGTTCCCAACTACTTCCGTGACAGAGTTGACAATGTCATTTGCAACTGCAACTCTGGAAAGGTTGCGAGTTTGAGCATTATAATACTTCTCCTGTTTAATTTTGTGGAACAAGTTAACAACAGATCAATATTATTGGCTAATAAACTATCAAGCAACCAAACCTTTTTCTACACAAATGAATGAAAGTAACAGATTTCATAGGAGAAATAAGAGAATGAAATTAAATGAAAAATGAAGTACAGAATGAGCACCCAAAAAGAATTTGAATATGCTATAAACAAACAAGTAAGTGTTAACCTGATTCTTGAAGAACCACTCCAACAATGGGAATGTAGCAGAAGCGTTCAGCTGATTTACGATGTGTAGTGCACGAGAACTAACAAAAGCATTGTCATGGTAACTGCAGTTCAGATTGACAGACAAATGGGCAGATAGATCAGGATCATGAAAATTTTACCAAGGTCTCAATTATTAATTTTGGAAATTAACCCTGGTGAATTCAATTGGTTAGTCTAATAGTTTCTTATTCATTTTTAAGTTTTCTTTATAATATCTGAATTCAATTCAAGCCCAGAAATGATTGGCCATTGGCAATTAAAGAGAATCATAACTACCAGTTAAAACATAAATCTGGCGTTTTATATAATAAATTAAGCCATGCAGTCGGTTTCTCCAAAGCTATGCTTGTTTGATTGACCGTTTCGTTCTGTTTCTTATCATCTTTTCCCATGCGTTTTCTGAAAAACAAAAGGGGAGCCGAAAAGCAAAGAGAGAGAGAGGGAGAGTCTGTCTACTTACGGTAACGGTAACAGGTGAACCACCACCGAAATGCGAGGAGCGTAGTGCTGGAGGGCTTGTTTGAGGGGTGGCCAGGCGTCCCTACTGTCTGGGCACACCGGGTCGAAGAACGCTTCAATCAGGATCGAATCCGAGTCAACTCGGGGATGGCCGTACACAAACCCATCGTATTTTGCAGGGGGTAAGTTTTGTGCACATCCCTTCAAAACAAAAACCACCAACAACACCCAAGCTGTTTGTAATAACATAAGGATTCTGTGCTTTCCTTCCTGCATTTTTTTCGTCGAGCGGATTGTGCAAGGAAGGTAAATCACCTGAGCTGCTAGACCAAGACTAGATAGATAGATATACACTACCGGCTACAGCAACGACTTCTTCCCCTTTATTTTGTTTTTCACTTTGACTATTCGGAAAAATATTTGATTATTTCATGCCCGCTGAAATTATATCTTCCCTGAATTTTGACAAAATGAAACAGTAGAAAGACGTTGTACCTTCCCTGGTTTATGGATAAATTAGATGGTAAGATTTCCAATGCAACCATGCGCAAAAACATATTGGGTTGGTAACGTTCAAGTCAAATCCAATTAGTTTTAAGTTTGGGCCTATCGGGTAGCCCGCAGTGTATGTGGATAATGAAAGCCGAAACGAGGGATAAGTGTGTTGCAGAGCCCAGCGCACATAATGAGGGCCCACGCTGACTTGAAAAGTTTCCAAAACTTGCGAAATACGAAACGCGTGAAGAGGGAGCCAGACAAGGAAAAGGAGTGAAAGAGAAATGAGGTATCCATTGATATCGATCTCCTTCCAAATGGAGCCGTTACGCACCCAAAAAAACGGATACACACGTCACCTTTGTTTACTGTAAACCACCCCGGCAACACCTCACTTTCCCACCTCAGATCCATCTCCCTAAACGATCATATTTAATTCCCCAGCTTTCACTGCCTTTTCTGTTTCTGTTTTGTTTTGTTTTCTAGAAGGTTACAAAACCCTATTTTCGGCTATATGTTTTGCAGTTAACACCAACACCAGTTGAGTGCAGTGCAGTACCCATCACTTGAGCTTCTCCACAACCACTACTAGCCAAGCCAGCCACCCTATACTGGCGTAAATAAATTGATCCATTGAGAAAGAAAAGAAATGCTTGTTTCGGTGTTTATGGCTCTGCTTCTACCAAGCGTGGCCATCAGCGCTGTTTTCGTAGTGTACATATGCCTGTTATGGTATGCTACGAATAACCAGGAGCAGCCCGATGTTCGGTTGCCGGTGAAGCAGGTTTCGCAAAAGGGGTTCTCAGCCTCTGAACTGGACAAGTTGCCTAAAATCACAGGGAAAGAGCTGACGACGGAGAGGACGGAGTGCGCGGTGTGTCTTGACGAGATAGAGGGAGAGCAAGTGGCTCGGCTGGTTCCCGGCTGCAATCACGCTTTCCATCTGCTATGCGCCGACACCTGGCTTTCTAAGCACTCCTTTTGTCCAGTTTGTAGGGCCAAACTCCACCTTCATCAGGATCTTCCTCAGTACTCTGTCACTTGTTCTGAAAATCCCTGCTAATTAATTATGATACAAGAAAAGGAGAAGAAAGGATATCAGAGAGAAGCAACGACTCTGTTTTCATCAGATCGTGGGTGATTAAATGTCCACTAATGTACTAGGGTACTGTTGAATATGCCGTGATATTCATCGCCTGTACTTTGATTGCTAGCTACTGCTACTGCTACTGTATGTATCAACTTAATTAATTATTAATTTATGGTTTTGAATATTATTAAAATTTTCTGACTTCTTCTACAAAAAGTGAAATAAAATTTGTTAAGATGAATTAAAATGGTAGGTTGGGTTGGGTCACCTGGGCTGGGTCTCATAATTGTGCTGTGCTGTGCGAGTGCTACACTGCCAGTATGAACTCGCTACACTGCAAAGTAGCATATATATCTCTGGCGGGAGGGCGCCGTTGGGCCACGTCAGTGGATTGGTGAATGGTAATCGACCAGTTTGACCGCAAATTCCAGGCGCTGGGTGCGCTGGCAGTATTCATTCAATCTCCCACCCACCTGAAAGTTGAAATTCGTCCACCAGAAATGATTTGATTGCACGCTACGTGTCTAAATTTGTGTCTAAATTATTTGATTGCAATTCGCTAGCTGTGTATGTTTCGAGTTCAAAGGGGAATTGATAACTCCAGCTGTAACACTTATTACTGTGAGAACAGCTTTTCATTTAAGCATACAATAAAATTCTGCACAAATTTCCAATATTGTGAGATACAGATACAGAGGACTCCACTCCTCCGGAATCATTGGGTTGAGTTTACACACTCGGAAAAGGTAGGAAATGGTGGAGTGCTTAGCTGTCTAAATGGTTCGTATTACCATTACATTCTAGATTTATTGTTCAGTTTATTCCAAATTAACTAATTCCCCATGTGGCTTGGACTAAATTTAATTTCATGTTTATTTCATCTAATTCTAGTCTTAAATGAAATTGCTAATACTGAGCCCATAAAAAACACCTCGTTAGGAGGGGACTAATAAACCGATGTGAAAGGGAAAGATTAACTAGTCATATGCTCACCAATGTATAACATCTAGATTGTATTGTAATAATAACTAGCCACTTGGCACATAAGCATGCGCCAATTGGTTTTTATTTATTTATAATAGAATTAAGAAGAAATAATATAGATAGTTATGTTCCATAAAAGTAGAACCTATTATGTGATTTTGTTTTAATTTTTAATTTTTTAAATATGAAAAATGTGAATTTACTATATGATCATCATTTAATTAATAATTTCAATTCTTAATGTTTGAAGCATTTTCTGGTATTTTGAATGTTTCACCATTCTCTACTTTTTACTTTATATATACTAGCCTCTCTGCACACGCTTCCGCGTGTACGAGAGGCTTTTTTTTAATCACGCGCGCTACGCGTGACTTACAAAGTTTCGTAAATATTTTTTCGCACATGTATTTATATAGATGTTCGTTTCAACAGTTTCATATTTTAATTGCGTACGTATGATATATCGTCGTCTTAAGAGTTTTCCTTTGATCGCCCATATTTTTATAGACGTCCATCTTAGCAGTTTACACACTATAAAAGAAAAAAAGAAACTGCTAAGATGGACTTCTATAACAATTGGGTGATCAAAGGAAAACTCTTAAGACGACGATATATCACACGTGCGCGATTAAAATATGAAACTGTTGAAACGAACATCTATATAAGTACATTTACGAAACTTTGTAAGTCACGCGTAGCGCTCGTGATTAAAAAAAGCCTCTCGCACACGTGGAAGCGTGTGCAGAGAGGCTAGTATTAATAAGGCCTATGAGATATCCCTTTCTCAATGATTTATACTGTCTGACAAACTTTGCTTCTTCCATTGCTAGGTATGGGTATACGCCCACATTCACTTACCTTTACATTACTTTCTTTGTTTGCTAATTATACTTTTTCTTTTTTCTTTTATAGTGTGTAAACTGCTAAGATGGATGTCTAGAAAAATAAGGTATATAAAAGAAAATACTTGAGACGGTCATTTAAAAAAATACAATTACAAAAATAGAAAAATTGTAAGTCGCACGTAGCGCATAATCGAAAAAAGATCTCTCGCACACTAGTGGGAGGTTAGTGGTATTATAAATAAAGAGGATATAAGCAACATTACAATAACAGATTCAATACTAATAATATGTAGTTTGACCCAAAAAAAAACTAATATTATACAGAAAAGTTCAATTAATAAGTTAATATATATAAAAACTAATAATATATAGTTTAATTAAGATTTTGCATGCCCCAGTCTTGGAGAGGCTTAGACATAAAGCCCCCTTTTAAAATGGAGGGCGAGCATGGTCTTGTAACGGGCTACTTCGTTGTCACTCATCACTCAGCTTGAACATGTAGCGGCCCCAAAGCACAACAGAAAATATCAAAACCTCTCTATAAGCACAGTCCTTTACCCACACAAATCCGTGGACTCGCCTGTTTAAATCAACAAATTTATTTAGAATTCCCCATAACAAATTTATAAGTCTGCTCATCCTTTGTGCATGTTTTAATAAAATGTGGCATGTGTTACTGATCATATCAACATTAATTTATTTCTTACACTGAAGGCTGTGAATTTGAAAGGGCTTTCCTGTTGGAAAAGACCATTTTCATCCAGCCATCTCTCTGGCCGAAATTCTTCTGCATCATCACCCCATATATATATTTCATCCTGCCCATGCCGTAAGCATGGTATGCCACCACATCACCTGTTTTGACACTAAATCCATCTGGCCAAGTATCATCAGAAAAACAAACCGTCCCATTCTACGACAACATCAAACAAACTTGTTAAAAGTAATTATAAAGATTCAAATTCAGAAAGGTCAGCATACAATGTTGTTTATATCAGCTTAGCCTTGCAATTGTGTATGAATTAGGATTACCAGTGGGAGAGCAGGGTACAGCCTGGTTGTCTCATTCAAAACTGCAAGGAGATATTGCATTTTCTCAAGGGCCACTTCAATAAGGTTGTCTGAAAGCTCATCAATGCTAGAATTATCTTTCAGATTTTTTGCTTCTCTAACTTCCTGTGAAATGTTTTCTTGTATATGAGGATGCTTGCAGAGCATATAAATAAACCATGTAAGAGTGCTAGCCGTTGTGTCTTTTCCGACTGCAATGAGGCTGAGGACCATGTCTCGCAAGTACTTTGGATCAGTCTCTTCCGATGCCAAAAGCCTTTAAACAATGTCATTCGTTCAATTATATTAATCAATAATACCATGAAAGTAATTCAATCCAGGACAAAGATGACCTAGAAGGTAACTCACTGCTCGTAGCTTATCTTCTGAATTATGAACTGTTTCAATCTTGTCTTTCATTAATTTATAAACAAATTGATCTACGATTTTCATATTCTTCCTTAATGCTGCTTATGATCCAATGCTTAAGAACCCTCTGATCTTCCAGGAGAAATCAACATAACCATACATAGTGCTTTCGTTTGCCACATAAAAAGAATTGGAAAACCGGGTACCTTCTTCATTTGTCCCACACAAAGTGTCTAGTTGGACATCAAGGAGACTGAAAGAGAAACATATCCACCAATAGTCGCCTCCTTCAGCAACCACAAAGTGCAAGAAACCAAAGGCCAAAGTGTTTCATTCAGCTAATAGCTTGTATACCTCAAACGCCAAAGTCTTACCTGCACATAATCTACAGCTTGTATACCTCAGTTGCAATCACTACCACGTCTCTAGAATTGTATTTGGAACAAAAATTAGAGCAATTTCGAGAGAGAAGATTCTTACCTGATGCTATGCCAATGGGGGATTCTTGACCCCATCTCCAATAAGTTAGAACAAAATAGGAGAAGAAACCGGAACAACTATAAAGAACAGAAAAAAAGGAAGATAAAAAATATAATGAAGAACTCATTTGTGAAGATTGGCGAAGAAGTTTTGATTATGCAGTTGAAATTTGGAATTGCAACAGTTATGAGGAAATAGCAACAGTTATGTGGAAATAGAACTCCAAGTCTAACATGTGCTTTTCTTTTCTTTTATTTTATTATTCCTTATTCTTGATGCTTCCCCACCCTTCTCTCTGTTTTGAGTCTCTACTGCGCTGCTTTCTCATCCAGCAAATGACCCACCCCATATCTTTTTCTAAAGTTAGCTTTCATCCTTTCTAAAAATGCAATAAAAATGCAATAGATATCTGTTTGCCAACAACACAGTACGCAGCAAATCCCATAAAACACACTTAGATGCATACAAAGGATAAATTAAACTAATTAAATCAAAAAATTGAAAAATAAAAATAATAATAAATATATTGTAGATACTCTAAGATAGGGAAGTCTTCCCCTACTTCTTCTTACAAAAGAAAAGAGATAAACTTCAACAAAGGTGGAGGAATTCATTGTGTGGAAGAAGACGGAGGGCATGAATGGATGAATGAATTAGTGTTAGCATAATCAAATTAAACTTCAAGGCCATGTTTCAAAGATAAAGAGAGACATCAATGCAATGCAATCAAACTTGAGGAGAAGGGAAAAGAATTAAAAATCAAAATCAAATCGAGAGTAAATAGAATTAAAAATCCAAAACATACTAAAGAATTTAATTGTCAACCAACCTGTTGCCAAGTGTCTTCACAGGTCTTCCTTGCACAGAAAAACTAAAGTCATTGACAGGAAAATAAAGAAACCACTTGGCAAACCAAAAACAAAACCAAAATGAGAGAGAACTAAAAACAAAACCAAAATGAGGGAGAGAGATTCATACCATTCACATCAAACCCATCAAATCTAAATGCTCTTCATTGGTGCTCTGGAGATGATCATATATAATAAAAAATTAGAGATAGTAAACAAATCAAACCTAAATGCTTTGCTTCGAAAAGCAAAAGAACCAAAAATTAAAGAGAGAGAGAGAGAGATTCGTACCCGACATCTTGATGCTATGCAGAAAGAAGATTCATTGAAGCAAAAAAACTGAAAGGAACTGCTATGTAATGGCATGAGGATATTGGGTCGTGTGGGAAGTGTTAAAACTGATATGAACTGCAGCGGATTTTAGTTGGTTTTTTCAATTTGTTTTTTAATTTGTCTCTGCGTCCTTCAGTTCTTCTTCTTTTCTTGGCAACCGTTGTTCGTGGGTACCGTTCTTCACCCTTCCCCTGTGGTGGCACAGCACGACTCTTCTTTTTTTTTTTTTTTTTTTTTTTTTTTTTTTGTTTTTATTGTAATTAAGTAGTTTAAGTCAGTGATTTTTACTATTTAGTATATATACACATATATTATATATATACATATTACATATTACATATATACACATATATAAATATATTATACATATATTACATATATTATATAATATATCACATATACAATATACATATGTATATACACATATATTATTATTATAATAATATATCCATATATATAAATTATATTATAACATACATATATACATATATACTATAGTATACATATATACATGTATATACACACACATATATATATATATATATGTAAGCATAGTCCATGCCAAGACAGTCCTATGTAACAACCTACCCCTTGGAGATTTCATACACCCTCTCTCATTGAGACAATCTCCGTAAAGGCATATTTGGATTTCTATGCGTGTTTGCTACGTGATAAAACATCAACTTCAAGGTATGCTTATTTACTACGAATGAGGAGGTCATGAATAAGGAAAATTAGATAAGAGAATCAAAGTATTGGAAACGGATCAACTACTCCCCTTAGTTGGTCTCATTCTTAATCTTAAGGGTATTTGATTATAAATTTTAAGGTAGAACCGATAAAATTTATGACTTCTTATGTGTTAGTAAACATAGATGAAATCAAATATTGAAATCATTTCAATACCTATTCCTGAAAAATAAACATGTCTTTAATTGACATCGTAAAAAAGCTTACAAGTTGCACCCCATCAAAGGGCAATGCTCATTTGGATTATGGATTTGAAGGACGGTGATCCAAACCTACAAATTCACATGGGCCTCTTAATTTAGAGAGCGATTAAAAATATCTTGGGTTTAGCCCAATATATTTTCATTTTCAGCTGGAGAACCCAAAGCCCGCTGAAATATTAATGTCCTATATATACCCAAGTAAAGTATCCAACCAAAGTCGCACGCGAAACGTGGGAAGGCGGCTTTTCCAAAACTAACGGCAACCCACTACAAGAGTGAGTCAACCTTGGGTCATGGGCCCTGAGCCGAACAACTTTTTCCCCATTCTTTAATCCTTTTACTTTTCCAAGTAATTGATAAAAGTACAGGCGTGTAGCCGAAATACTTCCTCACGACACGTGTTCATAGCTTAAGGGGACACGGAGCCTACAATCGCTGGCTTGCAGGTCACGAACTCTTTATCTAATTAGATGGTCACTTTGGCTTTCTCTTGCTTCGACAATGTCACAATGCAGATGCAATGCGGAAAAACAGGTGGCATCGGTGTTCAAAAAGATAACTTCTGATGGGACCCGGTTAAATTCTAAATAACTGTAGGTTATTGAAAGCAAGCCAACAACTTCCCATATAGCTGCACGTGACACCACTTATCGTGCGTTTTGAACGTCCAAATAAGAGAAGAGTTGAGAATTCGAACTCGGGTGTAGAATGGGGATTCCATTAGTTAACCAGCCAAATTGAACTCTTATTTATTGGACGTTTTTCAGAATTGTGATTTTACTCTTATTTGTTTGAGTGTTTGGTTGACACCGTTGGATTGCAGGTGGTACGTAAAAGGTAAAGGGCTCTCGTATTTTCCAGTAAAAGGGAAGAAGGAATAGTTGAAGGAAGAGAAAAAGAGAAAGTGGGAAAGAAAGTAGAGAGACAGGTGTCCATCTCTGTTGGTATGGCTTTCACAAATCATGACCATCAATTCAAAGTCCTTTATGACTACACGGACCTTGCCTCTGCATTGTTGCCAAGTGCCAACCCATTACCCAAATATAAATAACATGACGATATATATAATAGAAAAGAAAAGGCATCCTAGCAGCATGCTATGCTATGGACCAACCAATTACCTAAACATGTGGCAGCTTATGGTTTGCTTGGGTTCACCTTTCAATGTGGGGACAGATAAGTGTGGATGTTTTGGATACCAATTGCGGTGGTGATTGAACAAGCATCAGTTTTGCCAGGTGCGCTACAAGTAGGTAATTAGTGTCTCTTGGCTTGGGGAGATTCAGATTGATGAATGCTTTGTGTTGGAGTATTGATGTATGTATGTATGTATGTATGTATGAATATGAATATGAATTTGATGGGGCTGAATTAATTAGCATACGATGTACTTAATGACGTGGTAAGTCAGAAGAATAAGGTTCTTCTTCCTCGGAATATATAAGCGTACTGGAAGGCTTCTTTCAAGTTTTGGATTTTATTAGAGCCTGCGGTACTCTTCTGTGCGTCTGTAGCTCAAGAGATATATATGACGAAGGAGATGAACCTGAAGATCAATCATGATTGTCAAGCGGTAAGCAACGGTGGCGCAGCTTCTGATGCCGGCACCGTCTCAAGCTCCAGAGTTTCATCTCTCCTGGCCTCCAAAGATCGTGACTTTCTTCTTTCTCCAACTGGAAATCAGGTTCTCTCTCTCTCTCTCTCTCCATAAATTTCTGTACAGCTAGCTACTACTGTTAAGACCTTTACACCGGAAAAGTTGTTTCAGAGAAAAGTAAACTTGAGTGTTTGTGATGAACAACGTTAACTAATTGAACTTTTGTACTGAAATAGTTGATATTTTCTTTCCGAGTAATAGAGTTTCGTTTTTTGGAATAAAACCTTCAAATTTCATTAAATATACTAATTAAATTGGATGTACGGAACTTTATAGAATTTTTAGTTGCAACTTGCCACAATTTTCTGCAATTCGATTCAATGATTCTGAAATATCGTGCTATTTCTCAGAAGCATAAAATATCGCACTATTTCTCTAAAATAAAATATTACCATAATTTTTAGTTGCAACATATTTTCCCCCTAGATCTTGAAAAACTTGAATGAAAAAACCAGGATTATTTGAGGTAGGTTCAGATAGATTTATATTTGGTTTGCAGATTTATCTTTAACTAGCTTGAATCATCAACATATTTTACTTATTCATATTGACAATAATGATAGACAAACATGGATATTAGCTAGTACCAGATTTATCATGAATTTGTACATGATTTTTTTTTTTTTAGGACATTTTCTATTGAAAATAGCAATAATATACTAAACTCAACACACTCCTAATTCATCTTATAAGTTATAACAAGTATTCATATAGTTCGTGATTATGCGTAGTATATGTGTGTTCGTAACGTACTTAAGTATTATTTTATTTGGTATTTTATGTATAAAAGAAAGTCAGCAACGTTAACAATCCAAAAGAAGAAAAAGAAAAGAAAAAAAGAAGAAAAAGGGAATTATAAGCCTTGGTTTGGTTGTAGGCACGGAGAGTTGAACATTTTGATTGAATATAGTTGTTTATTATTCATCATGTATGGGTAGCTAAGGGAAACAAATGTGTACGTAAGTGCATGTTGATGGTGAATAACAGAAAATGTGTTATTAAACAACGCAAACATGTAAATTTTCTGATGCCATTCAAACGTTGTAAAAGTATTTTTCACTTGTTCTGATTGTATTGTAGTTCCCATTCTCCGTGGTTGTTCTTTCTCTTTTTTTATTTTATTTTCTGTCTTAAGTTGGTGGCCGAAATAGTCCATGAAAAACAGACAGGGTTTTGAACTATGTTTGATTTTTGCAATGTGTAGGTTGTTAATTTTCTCACTCGCTCACTCACTCCTCTGGGGTATAATTAATGCATTCTACTTTTCTTTTTAATTAAAAGAACGTAATTTTCCACGGCTGAAAATATAGGGCAAAAAACCAGCGACTTTTTATGTGTAAAATTCACTGTCAATAGATTCTCATTTTTATCTTGTCTTCTCTTTGAGGGTTAAAAGCGGAAAGTTAATTGTAAACTCGGATGGTATGCTAGTATCTATGTTCTATGGTAGATGTCACGGGATGCACATGCCAATTGCTATCTTAATCAAAGGAAGATGGGCAATAGTCTTGTTGGCTGTCTATGGAGAAGAACCACTCTAAATCGACATGTGGCACCTTAATTATATCAATTTTGTCCCACATTCACGTTATTGGTATAACACGTGGTCCACTGGTTCCCATCCATTTGTATTTTCGGTGAAACATCGCTTTCGAGCTTTTGTAGATTCTAGAGCCTCTATCCTGTTCCTTGGTGGAAAAGTTTCAGGAAACTATTCGGTGCTGCGGCAATCTTAGCCTTATTTCGCCACTGCCCTAGTGATGATCTGATCTCATCTGTTCCCTTGTCGGAATTATTCAAGCCCACCATATTCCCATCCATTAATCTGATTATGGTTACTGATCTCATCCACTTCAATCGGGTTTATAATTGGCCTGGGAATAATTCTTAAGAATATATGTCTTTCGAAACAAAAGAAAAAAGGTCGTATTCAATTATCCTTATCCTCAATGTATATATTCTCAATTCTAATTAGTATGAAAAAGAAAGGGAAAGTAAATTATAGATATGTAAAGATTCAAGAGCGTTTTGCTTGTGGCAGGTGAAAGTTTGTGATCTTGAGGGGAAGATCATAGGGCTCTACTTCTCAGCCAACTGGTACCCGCCATGCTGGAACTTCAACCAAGTCCTGGTTGGCATCTATGAGCAGCTCAAGAGTAGTGGGTCTAATTTTGAGATTGTGTACGTCTCGTCTGATGAAGACGCCGATGCCTTTAACATCTACCATGGATGCATGCCATGGCTGGCCATTCCCTTTTCTGATTTGGACACCAAGAAAGCTTTGAACCGTAGGTTTGACATAGAAGGCATTCCCAGCTTGGTTATTTTACATCCTAACGATAATAAAGACGAGGCTAATCTGCGCGATGGAGTTGAACTTATTTACCGCTACGGGGTGGAAGCCTTCCCTTTTACAAAACAAAGGTTGGAAGAATTGCAAGATGAGGAGAGGGCGAGGCATGAGAACCAAACTTTGACGAACTTACTAACAAACCACGACAGAGACAATCTTTGGGGTCACCCTACGCCTGAACAGGTAACTTTTCCTTCTGTATATGCAAGCATCATGCATGTACCACTGCCTTTATATATAGATAATATGCATGGATGTCTCTGATCTTGTGCATGCAGGTGCCTGTTGCTGCATTAGTAGGCAAAACAATTGGACTCTACTTCTCAGCTCATTGGTGCCGTCCATGCGTTAATTTTACTCCTAGGCTGATCTCCATCTACCAGAAGATTAAGGAGCAAATGCTGGTAGATGGGGATCAAGACGGAAAGGACTTCGAGATAGTATTTGTGTCCAGTGATCGTGACCAAGCATCGTTCGACTCCTACTTCGACACCATGCCATGGCTAGCGTTGCCTTTTGGAGATCCAAACATCAAACAACTAGTCAAGCATTTTGATGTCAAAGGTATCCCTTGTTTGGTAATTTTAGGGCCTGACGGTAAAACCGTGACCAAGCAGGGTAGGAATCTCATCAACTTGTACCAAGAAAACGCCTATCCCTTCACCGAGGCAAAACTGGAACTGCTGGAGAAAAAAATGGATGAGGAGGCTAAGAGCCTCCCTAGGTCGGTGTACCATGGAGGGCACCGGCACGAGCTTAACTTGGTATCGGAAGGCAACGGAGGAGGACCCTTTATATGCTGTGACTGTGATGAACAAGGATCAGGTTGGGCTTACCAATGTCTTGAATGTGGATATGAGGTGCACCCCAAATGTGTGACTCTGACTGTTGCAGCCAATATCAATAGGTGATTCAGTTAAGCGTTGTGTGTGCGTGCCTTTGTGCTAATGCTACTAATTAAACTCGAGCTGTATTATAGAATTTCTGATATTCGTTTGTTAATTAAGATTTGAGGTTGGGATTCCCTTTGAATCAGTTATATATGTAATGCGGTTCTCATTTCTCAAGTAATTAATTGGCACTGAAATTCTTGGGTGTGATCACAATTACATCTCTACGTGTTCTCTAAAGATTTTGTTGATTTTGTTTTTTTAACAAAAATGCTGGTCATATCACCACCTCTATATCTCTAATAGAGGTGGATTCCATTGCATTGGTGGAATCCACCTCTTTTATTAGAGAGGTGATATACAAGGTAGTCATTTCCCTGCTTAAGTCATTTTATAGTGAGGGTCTTACATATGACCCTTATGTGAGGTCTTATCTTTCAATTATTAGATCAAACTAACCAATTTGATCTAACAACAAATCAATTTAATCTAATAATTAAGAGATATATCCTCACATAAAGACCATATACAGGGTCGTATTGAAGGTCACAAGTACTAGCCCAAATTTAAGTCAATTTTAAAGTGGACGATATACAAAATTCATATTATGGGCCACTTGTTTCTCTTTAATTCTGTGAAGCCCATGGGCCACATTTGTGTATTGTAAACTAGTGCTTATTGGGCCATAGAACTTCAATTCAATTTCATATTCAGATCCAAGTCCACGAAGAAGTTGGATCAAAACGGCGTAGAGTAGAATTTGAGATAAGGGAGAGGGAGCCATAAAATAGAAAACGCACACGTGACAGGTGGGCAGGTCTCTGTTTAGGCATTGCAAAGTAAAGCGTACGCGGGCGAAAAGTGAAGCGAAGTGACGAAGAATGATGCTCAGGACAATCCAAAGGGGAAAAGCAAAGCACAAATTAAATCGCAGCGCAAGAAGCAAACAACTAAATATGCTCTGCTCCTGAACGTGTTAAAACCTGTGAACAAACCCAAAAGCCTCAAACTCTCTCTCTCTCTCTCTCTCTCTCTCTCTCTCTCTCATCACAACACATACACATACACATACACAAGAGGGAGAATGGGGCTCTGCTTCACCAGATGTCGATCCCATGACATCCCAATCTCTTCCTCATCGGATTCACCTCCTCCCCACTACCAGAAAACATCCAATAAAACCCATGCCCAGCACAAGCCAACCCCTTCTTCAAAACCGAACCCGTACGCATCAGCATATGATAATCCAGGCACTTCTTTTGGCAAGACCCCTTCGTCATCTCAGACTCAGATTGGACCCATTCTGGGCAGGCCATACGTGGACATAAACATCTTGTACACCCTTGAAAAGGAGCTGGGAAGGGGTCAGTTTGGTGTCACTCGTCTTTGCACAGAGAAGGCCACGGGCAAAAGGTACGCCTGCAAGTCCATATCAAGGCGAAAGCTCTCGACCAGCAAGGACATTGACGATGTCAGGAGGGAGATTATGATACTTCAGCATCTCACAGGGCAACCCAACATTGTGGAATTCAAGGGTGCTTATGAGGACAGGCAGAATCTGCATTTGGTCATGGAGTTGTGCTCCGGCGGTGAGCTTTTTGATCGGATTACTGCTAAAGGGAGCTACTCTGAGCGTCAAGCCGCTCAGATTTTCAGACAGATTGTGAATGTGGTTCATGTGTGTCACTTCATGGGGGTGATGCATAGAGACCTCAAGCCTGAGAATTTCTTGCTGGTCAGTAAGGAAGAGAATGCCCCTCTTAAAGCCATCGATTTTGGACTCTCTGTCTTCATTGAGCAAGGTAATTATTTACTAATTACTCTGAGGCCCATATCTTTCTGCCTTCCTTGTCTTTGTTTCGATTTCTAGCCTCGCTTATTTCTGCAACTTAGTTGAGTGTTCTTATTCGCGTTATTTAATTAGTTTGTTTAATGATTTTATAATTTGGACTTTTTAGTACTGCAGTGTCTGGTTTTCACTGAATTTGAAGAATCAATCATAGTTGTTGCTTTAAGGATGAAGAGTAATTGTCCAGAAAAATCATATGCATGATTGCTAGTTTAAAAAAGGTGCGTAGTGTAGAAGAGACTTGACGCCATTGTGGGTGACTTGACGCCATTGTGGGTCGAGAAGACCAAGTCAATGATGAATGCGATAGACAGGTCAACCAAGTCAACAATTTTAATAAAAAGGAAGAAGACAAACAGAACAAAGAAAAACACACGCAATATGTGGCGCATCCCATCATGACTAGATTAGGCAGAGTGAATGAAATACTGTTTACTGGGGTGTTAATTGAATTGTCAAAGGTCTTTGTTTGCTCCCAATAGGTCCTAGGTTTAAGCCTCTATGGTTCCCGTGTGTGTGAGTTTTCTCCCTCCCCCTTCTTAATTTTGGCAAAACTTATGTGAAAATGGGATAGCACCGGCCAATCACGATATGCCAAGTGGAAAAGTTATCATATATGACATAGCGTAAATAGTATGAGATTGCATAATAGTGCTATCCTGTTCCACACAAGTGTGTTTGTCCCAGGGAGGCACTATCAAAAACCACTGAGCACTGACAAAAACTACTGTGGTACTTGACATCTAATACCAGAAAAGACGAGAATTTCAGAGCCCTAGTTGTTAACTTATAATAGAGCAGGGTATATATTTAGTTTTTTCGGTCACATGAAGAAACACTCGACACAAATATATTTAATGATCCGAATGACTTGGTAAGCAATTCTCTGCAGGGAAAGTGTACAGGGACATTGTTGGGAGTGCCTACTATGTGGCCCCGGAAGTGTTGGAGCGAAATTATGGGAAGGAGATAGATGTGTGGAGTGCTGGAGTCATTTTATATATTCTTCTAGCTGGAGCGCCTCCCTTTTGGGCTGGTGGGTAAACTTGCATGGCTTCATTTTATGCTGCTCTCTGTGTGTGTTTCATCAACCGATGTTAATTATTTACAGTTTGTTTTTAATCTTAATTCTACGCTTTTGATCTGTTCTGTGTGCACAAATTCTGTTTTAGAGACTGAAAGGGGGATATTTGAAGCAATTATGCAAGGCAAACTTGACTTGCAAAGTTCCCCATGGCCTTCTATCTCTGATTCTGCAAAGGATCTGATCAAGAAAATGTTAACAAGAGACGCTAATAAAAGAATTACAGCTGCTGAAGTTCTTGGTAAGTGCATAATTGCTTGTGTCCTGTTGTTGACAGCTAACTTGAGTCAATCTAGGGTTCATCCTTGATGTGGAGCACTGAATTGATTGGGAAAGTCATCCATTCATGTCATTTACATTGTGTGTATTTTAACCAGAACATCCATGGATGACGAAAGATGGTGAAGCCTCTGACAAACCAATTGACAGTGCTGTTCTAATTAGGATGAAGCAGTTCAGAGCAATGAACAAGCTGAAGAAACTTGCTCTGATGGTAACTGATCTTAACCATCAGTTCTTCCTCCAAGTTTGCTATTTTCGTAATTTTCAGAAGCTGATAGCTTTTCCTGGATGCCTACTTTTCCTCGTAGGTAATAGCAGAAAACCTTTCAGAAGAAGAAATTCATGGCCTGAAACAAATGTTCAACAACATAGACACAGATAGAAGTGGCAGCATCACATTTGAAGAACTTAAAACTGGATTGGCAAGGCTGGGATCTAAGCTCAGTGAAACAGAAATAAAACAGCTGATGGATGCTGTCAGTACTTGAAAAATCTATCTTCATGCTCAGCTTTTTGATCAGTTGACTTTCCCTCAACATTATCTAGTTACATTTTTTATTTGGTTTTTCTTTTGTGGTTAGGCTGACATTGACAAGAATGGGACTATTGATTACACTGAATTCATCACTGCTACCATGCATCGCCATAAACTGGAGAAGGAAGAAAACTTGTTCAAGGCTTTTCAGTTCTTTGACAAGGATCAGAGCGGGTTAGTTTACTTGTTTTCTACAACTCATCGTTCATGTGAGATCTATTAATCTATAAATGACTTCAACCCCTGTGAGGAGTGATGATTATGCAAACTTCTAATCATGTTTATGTGCGGCGACGATCAATTTTATTGGAATTAGATGTTCCTCATTCTACTTCTGGTTTGAGCTTGGCAGGTTTATCACAAGAGATGAGCTAAGACAAGCAATGACTCAATATGGGATGGGGGATGATGCTACTATAGATGAAATCATTGATGATGTGGATACTGATAAAGTAATTCCCTTCTGTTTCTGTTGTGTGTTTTTTATCATAGACTTCAGTACTCTGAAATTGACTGAATACTAACTGATTTAAATTTTGTAGGATGGGAGAATCAACTACGAGGAGTTTGTGGCCATGATGAGACAGGGAGTTCAAGATTCTGATGATAAACGAAGATAGGTTTGAGTTTTACTGATTTGTACCCCAAATCCATCCATATACAAATAAAAAAAACTTCCAATGGCAAGGCAATAGTTCCAACTTCTTGCTTCTGCCTGCCTCTCTGTTGTAGGCTTTGGCGCCATTACCTCACTTCTACTTGTAACTCATCAATGTCTATAAATAAAATCAAGCTGTTATTATATATCATGCACGACATCAATAAATTAATAACAATAACAATATATCCAATTTCGGATTAAAATATTGCCTTGCGAGAAACTATTTTCATTGAGTTTGGACATCGAAGTATTTTGATTTGCTCCTCTAATAAGACAGTAAAAATTTAAGATACATATCCAAAACGACATGTCGTTTAGGTAAGGAGTAATATGTTCAACGAATACGAAGCCTCCGTTGTCAACACTTTTGGAGGGAAGTCGCTGCAGAGAAACCATGACAAGGCAACCTCTGAATCTGTTGGACCATTTGCATCAAACTATCCTCCAATTTCTAAATCCCTTCACAGCTTCTTTATCACAGGCACGTCAAGCTCATGCCCAGATACTCAAGACTGGCCTCTCCAGTGATACCAATCTCACCACCAAGCTCCTCTCTCTCTACGCCAACAATCTCTGTTTTGACGACGCAAACTTCGTTCTCGATTCGATTTCAGAGCCCAACTTGTTCTCCTACTCTACCCTCATTCACGCTTTTGCAAAGCTAAACCAGTTTGGCCATGCACTCGGTCTGTTTTCTCAAATGCTATCTCGAGGCCTCGTGCCGGATAGTTTTCTCTTCCCTAGTGTCGTCAAAGCCTGCGCTGGACTGCCGGCTTCGAAAGCCGGGAAACAGGTTCATGCCATCGCGTCTGTATCTGGGCTTGCTTCGGATTCGTTTGTGCAGTCCTCTTTGGTACACATGTATATTAAATGTGACCAAATAAGATATGCCCGCAAGCTTTTTGATAGAGTGCCTCAACGGGATGTGATTATTTGCAGTGCTTTGATTTCTGGCTACTCTCGCCGTGGTTGCGTAGATGAGGCAATGCAACTCTTATCTGAGATGAGGGGTATGTGTTTGGAACCCAATGTAGTCTTGTGGAATGGGATGATTGCGGGTTTTAATCAGAGTAAGTTATATGCCGATACAGTTGCTGTGTTACAGAAGATGCATTCAGAAGGTTTTCGACCTGATGGGTCTGGTATTTCTAGTGCTCTTCCTGCTGTAGGACACTTGGAGGATTTGGGCATGGGGATTCAGATTCATGGCTATGTGGTCAAGCAGGGACTTGGGTCGGACAAGTGTGTCGTCAGTGCACTTATTGATTTGTATGGAAAGTGTGCCTGCTCATTTGAGATGTCACAAGTTTTTCATGAAATGGATCAAATGGATGTTGGTGCTTGCAATGCTCTAGTTACGGGGCTTTCCCGAAATGGTCTTGTTGACAATGCACTGGAGGTATTCAGGCAATTTAAGGACCAAGGGATGGAACTGAATATTGTGTCTTGGACATCCATAATTGCTAGTTGTTCCCAAAATGGGAAGGATATGGAGGCTTTGGAGCTTTTTAGAGAGATGCAAGTTGAGGGTGTGGAGCCAAACTCTGTGACCATCCCTTGCTTGCTTCCAGCTTGTGGGAATATTGCAGCCTTGATGCATGGGAAGGCGGCCCACTGTTTTTCCCTCAGGAGGGGGATCTCTAATGATGTGTATGTGGGTAGTTCATTGATTGATATGTACGCAAAATGCGGAAAAAGCCGTTTGTCTCGGCTTTGTTTTGATGAAATGCCCACCAGAAATTTGGTTTGCTGGAATGCTGTTATGGGCGGATATGCAATGCATGGAAAGGCTAATGAAACTATGGAGGTGTTCCGTTTGATGCAGAGGAGTGGTCAGAAGCCTGATTTTATCAGTTTTACCTGTGTATTGTCTGCGTGCAGCCAGAAAGGTTTAACAGACGAAGGATGGTATTATTTTAATAGCATGTCAAAGGAACATGGTTTAGAAGCTAGAGTGGAGCATTATGCTTGTATGGTGACACTTCTTAGTCGTTCTGGAAAACTTGAAGAGGCTTATTCCATGATCAAGCAAATGCCATTTGAACCAGATGCTTGTGTTTGGGGAGCTTTACTGAGTTCTTGTAGAGTTCACAGTAATGTGACTCTAGGCAAGTATGTCGCAAAGAAGCTCTTCAATTTGGAACCAAAAAATCCTGGGAACTACATTCTTCTGTCAAATATTTATGCTTCCAAGGGCATGTGGAGTGAAGTAGATAGAGTGAGGGATAAAATGAAGAGTCTTGGTTTGAGGAAGAACCCTGGGTGCAGTTGGATTGAAGTCAAGAATAAAGTGCACATGCTTCTTGCAGGAGACAAAGCGCATCCTCAAATGAACCAAATTATTGAGAAGTTGAATGAATTGAGCTCGGAGATGAAGAAATCAGGATACTTCCCCAATACCCACTTTGTATTGCAAGATGTGGAGGAACAGGACAAGGAGCAGATTTTGTGCGGACACAGTGAAAAGTTGGCTGTGGTGTTAGGGCTTCTGAACACTCCTCCAGGGTCTTCCCTTAGGGTAATTAAGAACCTCAGGATCTGTGGTGATTGCCATGCTGTTATAAAATTCATCTCCAGCTTTGAAGGAAGAGAGATTTCAGTCAGAGACACTAATCTCTTTCATCATTTTAAAGATGGAGTTTGTTCTTGTGAGGATTATTGGTGAATTATCAGCACGGCTGACTAGGGGCCTACTCTTCAAAAGAGTGAAGTTAATTCTTCAAGCCATTAAGTATAGAGCACATTGCTGAGACAAAGTACGCAATCACAGTGAACCTTAAGGTGATGGAACTAAACTTAGCTTACATACTTCTATTATGGTTCTTCACAATGTTGTAACGCAATGCGTACTGGTTTCCGTCTGTAGGTTTTGCTCCCTTTTTCTCTTGCCGTGCTAAAAGAAACCAAGCTTATCACTAATTTTGGCCTCAAAATATACTCCAAGGATGAAAGGGGTGGGAAATCCTCCTCTCTTGCACATTGTGGAACTAGGACAGCATACAAGAATAGGAAGTTATGGATGAGTCTCATTTTGAGGTACCTCGTGTAGCTTCGTTTGTCTGATTGAGTTCATGGTAAATGCGAATGACATTGCACCTTGACTTACATAAATGTGTTTTTTTCCCTTGTGCAGCCTTATTTTCAAGAATGATTGCATCTCTTGGACAATTTGGCATAAAAAAGAGGCAGTGTGATAACATTAACAGCTACAGTAGTGCGAAGCAACAACTTAGGGCGGGCGTAAGATTGTCGCTTGATGTCGAGAAGGTATTCTACTGTCTTCTTGTTAGATTGGCTGGGCTTGTTCCAAAGGTTGATAGTCCTCATCTCACATGTCGATAAATTGCGCAGAACCCTACTCGCAATTCTTTAATCAACAAGATAATAATCTAAAGAGTTGTGTTTAGCTACTGAATAAGATGCGGAAATTGATTCCATTTGTTGGTTGAAAATTGAAATGCGGGTATTGGGGAAGTATCCCGATTTAATGGTATATAGATGTAATGAAATGCGGATAATTGCACAGTTAAGGCCTGGAATCTGTTTAAACTAGGATTTCAATATAAACTTGGATATTAAAATGAATAATAAATAATCCCTCATACCAGCCCGTAGTACGGGAAAGAATTTAAAAACTGAGCACCGAGAAAAATAATGAGAACATTGTAAAGGTTTAAAACAATTTGTAACTACATCTTTCCGCCCCATAAAAAATCGTTATTTGGGCAACTTTCTGTGTTATCTCAATGGTATAAAATACTATTATTTTGTTAACTTACACTGTTCTCTCAATGATATCAGTTGCGGAAGGACAACCCCTAAACTGAGTGCTGGTTAGACCAGCGAATCAAGAGAATGCGGGGTTAGACCATTCTAACCGTAATGCATCTGGCTGCGTTTCATTTGTCAGTGATTCTAAATCTCCAAACCCTGTGCATCGACACAACTCTCTCCTCATATCCTGCCAAATATAATGCCTTAAACTTTGTACTCTTCAATATGCATCCACTTTGTAGATGACCACTTGTTACCCCTTATTACAGGGCATCCACCTACAACAAACCATAACATGAATCAAAATCACTTACATCATACGCTGAATGACCAAAAACAGAGAGTTAACATTGCAACAAAGCCCAGGCCACATCATATTCGTCTGAAATGCATGCAAACTTTGCTACTTAAAGAGTTGACACTGCAAAACCAACGCTGAACGACAATAGATTTTCGCCAATGGAGAATGTGCAAAATGGCTAACCGTGCAAACTTGATGGGTCTAGACTAGCATCAGGCCTCATGCTCCAGAAAAGTAGTGCATCACCCATTTTAGGTTTCACCGAAAGTCCCTGTTTACCACATTCAGATAATTCATTCCACCATCGCACGGAATTGAAACTCCCCTTTGCAGCAGGAAACACTGTCTCACCGCCTTCTTCAACATCTGACCTGAATCAATGGCATAAGAAATGATAGAGGGAAAGAGAACACTGAGAAAACCAGTTACTGTAGTAAATATATTGAACATATCGGAAGGGAGAAACCGTCTTACAGATACATCAGAAGAGTGGCAATCCGTTGGCCCCCATTCTTGGTGTTGAACTCATCAAGGAAGTAATCAAAATGTGCATCATATTTCTGCCCAACTTCATAGTGGAGAATCTGAAGTCCTTCTCCATGTTCTGAAAATTGTATGTCGGATAAAAAATCAGCAGATCATGCCTCACACTGAGATATAACAGACAAATGGATATACACACAACTAGGAGAAAAGGAAAGAGTTCATGCAATCACATAGGCAGAAAAAAGAACAAAAGAATTACTGCATATCCGAATATGTATTTCAGAATTGTTGAACACTTATTATATTTGTAAGACTCCATCACAGTCATGCATTTTGAATTTTTATTAAAAGACAGAGTCAGGGCTAAGGTTTGGTTGGGTTGAGTAGCATTGTAACCACCCAGGCCTAAAAGAAGCTCGACAAAGCTTTTGTGGTTCCTTTTAATTAAACAAAACACAGGATCAGTATAGAATCTATAGATCTATAATAGAACCCCCTACAATAAGTGAATATGAGACCTCCAATACTAAAAAAGATAGCGGAGTTGTAGAGAATTATGATTCCCAAGTGACATTTAAGCTTAATATTCATCTCGACACATATTTATATAGCACTGTGGACGATACTACTAATGATCTAATCCAAAACTCTTTTATCTAGCTTGGCTCACAGACATGTTAAATGCCTCTCATAACCATCAGCTACATCATAGACACCGACTGTGTGAATTCTTTTTCCTCTTAAAATTTCTGTGATAAGAAAGGCATTTGATTCAAAAGAGAAGTGCCACAATACAAGGCACCGTCCAAATAATCATATTTGAGAAAAAGAAAATCTGGGCTGGAAGAAACACAATGTTGTAGGTATCTATCTACTCTAGCAGTCACATACCTACAGGAATGAAAGTGAAGTCTGCTATTCTCTTCTCAATGTCGCTAACTATTTTATCACGTCCCCTCTTCAGAAACATTCCAGAGCTTGTGCGCACCCTGCATGCAGAGAAGGATTTCTAGGGTATGGAAAGAAATTTCTAGGGTACAATAGACTACATTAATATTTGTAGGGATGAGATCCAATGCATAGAAACGCTTTACCTACTATCTTTGCTCTTCCCAGTCTTGCTATCGACAACAGTTGACTTTACCATATCAGGTTTAGCAAGATTTATTAAGTAGTCACATTCTTCCTTGGACTGTTACACATAAGACATCGGGAAGAATTAACATTCTCGGACAATAACCAAACAATTTATTCAACACTCATATGGATGAATTAACCACAGGTTCCCTCCTCCATTCAAAAGAAGGGAAAAAAAAATTGAAAAAACGAATCACATTTATACACGCAACGCAGAGGCGTAGATCCCTCTCAATATCAGTGATTATGCATTACACCTCATCTACATTGCTAAAATCGAATGACCAATGCCATTCATGCTCACCATGAACAGAAACACCAGCGATGGCAAATAAATTCAATAAATAAAGGCCCAGCCATAGCCTAATTCGCATAGAGCGGATAAAATAATAAAAAGAAAAAGACAAAACAAAAATGAGGAAACTAACCAAGAAATTGTGATATATGAAAGCTCTGGGCTCCCAAGAAATCACTTCTGTCCACTGATCTTCTCTCTCCCCTAATCCATCGGTTCTGAGAAATATAATTAAATTTTTTTAATCCAGAAAAAAACTGAAATTCCAAGCAGATCAAATTCATCGCGACCGGAGACTTATGAGCGAAACGAGTACCTCTCAACGGTCCTGCGCCTAAAGGGACTGAGATCGTTAGGTGAAGATTCGTCGGTGATAACCGGAAGGGAAACGATTCCAAAAGCCAGAAGCATCAGCAGCACCACTATTAGCATGAATAGCATCGACAAGACGAGCGTGAACGTCGACCATTTTTTGCTCTGCAAACGACCATACCTACCCTTCGCCATTGTTGAATGAGCTCGAAACTCAACCGTAATTCTCATGCAATAACGAGCAACGAGTATTTAATTTATAATTTCTTGATGGCTCTCTGAGAAACAGAGCTTTCAGAATCTCACTGGGGAAGATGGGGGTTAAGAGAGCGTTGAAGTCACTTTTGAAACGTGTCCGTTATTTATAGGTTCCAGAATTTTCTATTGATAGACTATTTGACGAAATTATCCTTGTCCTAATTCGGAATGACGAGATATTTTTACTATCGGCGACGCAATTTATGGGTATGGTAGTAATCTCATAGGTCGTGGTTTTATTTTCCAGCTTTTGGTGTGTTGTTGTGGGCTGCACACTGGTTATGACTCTCAGCCAAATCCTAGAGTTTTCAAGTCGTCTTTGTTGTTACCAGTCTCTGTTCTTATTGCAAGCTATTGTTCAAGTCATTAATCTCTCTCTTCTCTTCTTTCTTTCTAGATTTCTAGTCACAATTCTATCTAAACCTAAAAATTTACTGAAATTAAAATTTGGGTCAAACATGTTTGTTTCAATGTGAAATGGGCCCTGACAAACAATTCACCACAGCCTTGCAAGGAGTAACACCCATAAGAAAACAGTGGTAACTTTAATCCAAAGCTAGCCAAGTCATTGACGCAAAGTTCCCTTCTCTATAAACAAGTTTGATCACCACCGCAGCACTAACACCACCCTAAGAAAGGGGGTGGCAAAGGCAATCTTCCACCTTCTGCCTCCATAAGGAAAACACCATTTTTGAATCCTTTCTTCCTTGTCATAGATTTCGTATTCGGAAATAGGGGTTCATGCTGACACAAAAGAAAACCAGAAACAAAGAAGAACATTCTAAGAAATCCACGACTTCAGCAACCACACCCACCTGAGGACTGAAGTGCCCTCAAGTCTCTTACAATCTTTCATGCTTCATTTCTGACCTTCCTAATCCAAATGGATCTCAGCAGCCCTGAGCAATAATCACTAGTATGAGTATCACCTATGTTGTTCATAACAACAGCCTCTTGTGTCGACTGTATAATTACTTCAACCAACAAGATTTGTTCTATTTGATGTCTCTGCTTGTGTCTTTCATTGCATATCTTCCAGTCAACCTTGAGCACTAGTGATTGGTTATTCGCGCCCTCATACAAGAAAGCTAAATATAATTTGTCAATGAATATTGCAGCTATGCTATGGCACATCAGCGAAATGGAATTAGGGAATACCAGCCACGAAGCAAATACCAAACCAAATCTGAGCATTGTAGCTATTTGAAAGAAAACAAAATTTGAGCATCTCATAACAATTATTTGTGAATTCTTTATTTAAGGATTAGAAAATATCACACAAGATGGCATTACATACCCAAACACATCTTTACAAGTTACAACAACAACAAAGGAAAAATAAATCCAAAAAATCAAACCGTTTACGCTTAATCTCCACCGCCTCGCTCCTTCTGAATCTGCTGCCTCTGCTTCTCGGCGAGCTTATCTATAGCCGACTGCACAGCATCATGCCCACCGATGAGCAATCGGGTAATAATTTCCGGATCCGTCTCGAACCGGGCCTCCTCGAACTCCTTCCTCGCGTTCTCTCTCAGGACATCTCGCCAAAGCACGCCCCGAGAGTCCGGCCACATGAAGAAACGAGTCGCCCTGATAATGTCACGATACAGGCCCAGTGCCTCCCGCCGAGTGCTGGTGAGTCGCCGCCGATTCAGCAACTCCTCCTCCTCATCGTCGAGGTGTTTCTCTTTCTTCACTATGTGCCTGTCCAGAAGCTCCTCGATGGTATCCGGGCCTTCGTGCAATAGGCGCCGGCTACAATTAAAAACGATGTCGTAGCTCTTGATGAGCCTTAGAGGGATTCGCCATTTCCGTAGACTCGTCGTCATCGCATCTCTCTCGGCGGTTTGGTCGCACAGAGATGCCAAACATGAGATAGAATAGAATAAAGAATGAAAATATAAGGTGGGCCTAAGGGCCTGGTAAATCAGATGGGCTTATAATAAACTTTTGAAATTGTGTGGTTTGTCCAATACACACAAGAACGACATTATGGGTACAGTCGTTTTCAATTTGTTAACCGGATTGTACCAAGATGTTTTTTTTCCATTTATTTAACGAGAGAGAATCATTTTCATTAAAATATATCCTAATTTTACCAATTAACCAAGCTGGATTTCACCGAAAAATGAGTGGACCGATTACGTTAATTTGATATGAGATTGTATTTTCCTTGAAGGACGCCCCGATACAAGAAAAATTACAAAGAGGCTTTTATTCCCGAGTAATGCTACATTTATTCTATTTTTATTCCATATTTCTAGACCACATAATATGACATGTCCTATCATATGTCACATCAATTAAAATCAATAAAATATATTTTAATAAAGAGGAAAATAAAAGTAATAATCACATTAATTAACTAATGTGGTATATACACATCAACTACAACATCATGTAATTAGGGACGTTGTAGAATTACATATTGATTGGAGTTTATTCTTTATTCCAAGCCCTTGATTGGAGTTTTTTAAGTATTTTTATTAAGTAATTAAGGACGTTGTAGAATTACATACTGATCCAAAACAATCTAATTCCTAATCTATGACTGCCTTCCAATCTCATACTTCTAGTTAAAATGCTACTCCTTTTCTTTTTCTTTTTCTTTTTGTTATGGCTTCCTTGTCAAATTGTTCTTCTTCTAATTCTTAATGGTCTCTAGGTATTTTACATTCCTTGCCAAAAACCAATTAGGAAAGCCAACTCTAGTACAACCCGTGTAGTAAATTTGTGTTAAAATTGAATTTGAAATTGTATTGATAGTTCCTTCCTAATAAGAATTGGTTACCAATGTACCATACTAGTTAGTATTCATGTATGCCTAAACTGGCGCACAAATATCAGATGAGAGGTATATTTATTGCGCTCCATAAAATGCAGAGCCATTCTATTACTGTCTACTTGGCTGTACTTGAAAGTTTTCAGAGTGTTGTAGATGGATGCCGCTGGTGATCATCGGTCTCCAAGCTTCATGACATTGAAGGAATTGGTTCCGTTGCAGCCATGGAAGACACCACCCCCTCCATTTTCTCAAAGTCGATGTGGGAAGTACACCAAGGTGAAGGATCCAATACCCAAAGATGGAGCAAGAGTTGTATTTTGGGCACCAAAAACTCGGCAGAGGGATGCTGACGACGATGACATAGATGTTGAAATTCCGTACCAAGGATTATTTGAGTTCATTGACAAGTTTGTTATCAGCAAAGTTAGGCTGTGGATTGACCGGCTACTTGGGGAGATATTGTGCTTACCAAAGTATGATGCATACCATTACCATAGTAGATAGATTTAGAAGACAACCTTTTATTATGAATCTTGTTTTGTTTTATTAGGTTTGTGAATACTTGTTCCGTTAGATAGATATGCAACCTAATAACTTTAGAATTTCATTAGTAAACCGAACTGGAATTTTGTGAGTAAATGGAACTTGAATTTCACGTAAAGAGACCTGAAATTTCATTTGTAAAGAAGAGACAACTTACAAATGAAATTTCATGACACATCAACTTGTGAAAATAAAAATCTACCTTCATTATGAAAGTTATATTCTAGTTTGTACATGAAAAAAAATCAATCACAAGTCACAATAAGCATATAAAGTGTTTAGGTCTTGCCATTAAACAAGCCTTAAACCTTTTCCTATACTAAAAATTCTAGTTGGTTTCTGCCAAATTCAGCTATGCCCTAGGTTTCCCACTTGTTTATGAATATGATTATTGGACTTGAATAGCACATAATCTCCAATTGCAGCCGATAGTTTTAAGTTTAACAGACATTATATTATTCTTCGTGGTTTTGCATTGGAGCCACAAATTCAAAAGTTTATAAGCCCACCTTATACCCGAACCTCAGGCCCATTATATTTTGTAAGTGGGCCGCGTGTTCCATTACGACCTAACGGTGTCGTTTCAAGCAAATATTCGCGCTTCATCATTCCATTCCACTCCTCCTTCCCAACTCTCTTCTTTCGCCGTCTCTCGTTTCTCGTCTTTCAAGTGTTAGGAAGACTGAAACTCAGCTATATGGCCTTAACCAAATCAAAGCTGCATTTCCGGCACCTTCTCTCTCCTATCTCTCCACATATTCTCAAACCGTACTCTTCCTCTTCAGCTTCAGAACTACATCTCCAAGAGGACAACACCCCAGATGATAATTCCCAAACTGCCCCTATCCCCAAGTTATCTGCCGAAGAAACCCTAATCGCCGACAAATTCCACGCCCTAATTAAAGACCACCACCGCAATAACCCTAATCCAAATCCTAACCCCACTCCCCCGAACCCTAGCTTCACAATCCCAGCTCTCTCGCACGACTTCTCTCAAATCTCCGCTGCCCATTCCATATCTCCGTCTATCGTCCGCCGCGTGATTGATAAGTGCGGCTCTGTCCGCCATGGCATCCCCCTGGTCCAAGCCGTTGCTTTCTTTAACTGGGCCACGGCCCGCGACGCGTTCGATCACAAGTCGGAGCCCTACAACGAAATGGTCGACCTCGCTGGTAAGGTCAGGCAGTTCGATTTGGCTTGGCACGTGATCGACTTGATGAAAGCTCGGAATGTGGAAATTACGGTGGAGACTTTCTCGATTCTTGTTAGGCGCTACGTGAGGGCCGGATTGGCTGCGGAGGCGGTGCTCGCCTTTAATCGTATGGAAGAGTATGGATGTAAGCCTGATAAGATTGCTTTCTCAGTTGTGATTGGTATTCTTTGTAAGAAGAGGAGGGCCAGTGAAGCGCAGTCGTTTTTTGATAGTTTGAAGCATAAGTATGAGCCTGATGTTATTTTGTACACTAGCTTGGTTAATGGTTGGTGTCGAGCTGGTAATATAGCGGAGGCGGAGAGGATATTTCGGGACATGAGGACGGCGGGGATCAACCCCAATGTGTATACTTACAGCATTGTGATTGATGCCTTGTGTAGGTGCGGCCAAATTACGCGTGCGCATGATGTTTTTGCGGAGATGATCGATGACGGATGCCAACCGAACTCGGTTACTTTCAATAATCTAATGCGGGTTCATGCTAAGGCTCGCCGGACCGAAAAGGTGCTCCAAGTTTACAATCAGATGCATAGGCTGGGGTGCAATGCGGACGTCATTACTTATAATTTTCTCATTGAGTGTCATTGCAAGGATGATAATCTTGCGGATGCACTTAAGGTGTTTGATTCGATGGTTAAGAAAGGCTTCAGCCCAAATGCATCGACTTTCAATCCCATATTTCGATGCACTGCAAAATTGAAGGATGTGAATGGCGCTCACAGATTGTATGCTAGGGTGAAGGAGTTGAAATGCGAATTGAACACGGTGACCTACAATATATTGATGCAGATGTTTGTGGTGTCGAAATCGACTCATATGGTACTCAAGATGAAGATGGAAATGGAGGAGAATGAAGTTGAGCCGAATGTGAACACGTACAATATTTTGATCTCCATGTATTGTGCAATGGGGCACTGGAACAAGGCCTACTCATTTTTCAGGGAGATGATTGAGGAGAAATGCTTAAAACCAAGTCCGCAGGTTTATGAGACAGTCCTTAAGCAGTTGAGGGAGGCAGGGCAGTTGAAGAAGCATGAGGAATTGGTGGAAAAGATGGTTGATAGGGGCTTCGTTACTCGACCATTGGCATTGCAGTCTGTACAAGTAGCTTAGCAGCTTCTTTGCTTTCATTAGATCAGTTGATGGATTAGGTGATCGTGCAATGCAGTCTTCCTGTTTTTTGAATTTATGGTGTAGAGTTTGGTGCTATGCTAGCTAGTGCTTGGGAGTTGGGATGACAATTTTGACGCTTTCTTACAGAAAATTGTAACATATCTGAGCTTCCTGTTATCTTTTTGTTTATTGTATGATATTGTCAAAATTTTCCATGAGTTCTTTCAATCTATTCATAGACTTATGAACTTTTCCCCACATTGTTCGACGCTGATTATGACAACCACAATGATCATGAGAAATATTCACGGTTAATCAATCGCAAAAATTCCCTGGCCCATGCTTAGTTTTTTGACAAAGTCAAGTGAGGGTGTGCAAACACAAAATGGGCAATGTAGTAACATTCAGAAACTCAACAAATTAAGAAATACAATGCAGAGTTTTTCATTTTCCCCTATTCAGGATGACCTTGCATGTCAAGCATCTCGTCTAGACGTTTTAATCTCTCCAATCCTTCACTAAGGAAAAAACGAATCCTTTGCCTGTCGTTGCAGTGCCGGTTATTCTCCAGTTCTTGTCTAATCGTGGATCTTAGTTCACCTGTAAACATCAACTGCGTTTCCATCAAAATCTCAAAAGAGCACATAGAACCTGCCTGAGAACTGTCAACAAAAGAATATATGATGTTCTAAGAAGCACATCATAGGTGTATGTTGATCTCTGTGTGTGTGAGTGATTATAAGTTTCCGAGGAAGGATAGTGTGAATTCATGTGCAAGCGTATGTAACAACGGCAATATAGACGAAAGATGCATTGTGCAAATGCATAATACTACTAGTTACGAAAGATGCATTGCGGGACACACAGAGGTTACAAGAAAGTCATTTGTTAAATGTCTGTTACTGGGGGAAGTGATAAGCATCGGTTGGTTTCTAAGGTGGTGGTGATGATGGGCAAGGAAGAATAGTTTATATGATGTACAAGTTGTGTCTGTTGGTTGAATAACAGGTTGTTTGAAGCAAGTGAAAAATGACCTCTAGCATCAACAGGGGCTCTTCGTGTAATCCTCAGTGCTTGCCTATACAGCTTCAACACTCGAGCACGGAGAAGGAAGTCCTGCAAATCAAGGGCAAGAGCCATGATACTACCAGACTCCTTCCCTCAAAAACCACATTACCATGTCATTGTCAGACAATAAACCCAAATTCCATATAAAACATTTCCTCATCTCCAAATTGTAAGACCTAAACCTAACCTAACACAGCTGTAAATGAAAACATTTCCTCATCTACATGAAAGAAGTGAACTAACAAAACCACCGGCTGTTGTTGAGCTATTATCATCTTTATTATCTTTAATTACATTTTTGGAAATGAAATTTAGATCAGACATCGGAGCCTCATTTCTGGAATTTCCAACCAATCGTACAACTCGATTTGACCCAATTACGCCTACACCTAGGATTTCACAAATGGAGAAAAAGGAACATAAATTACTTGAATTTAAATGAAACATAAATAGGCAATATCTGCATACCTTGAGCTTGAGGCAAAGAAAATGAAGCAGTAGCGGGAGCTGGATGGTCAGAGGAGTTCACCTTCACAGACAGTTGGGTGCTGTGCTAGTGCTACTAACGACGCCGTCCGATATGGGCTCATATTATATGAAATGAAACCTCTGTAATAGGTTTATGGGCTTGCTTGGGCCTACTGTAGCCCAAAAAGGCTGGGTTACGTGACGTAGCATCTCCTTATCCAACTTCATTTATATACAAAGCTTGTTATTTATGTGTGCTCTCGTATTGGCTTTGCATTGCATCATTGCATGTCGGTGTCTTAGTCTTAGCTACTACAATTATTAGAGATGTTGATGCTTAAGCCTTACCTAATGGTGGGCATCTGGGTTGGGTTGGGTTGTTCATGACATCAATGAACCTGGTCCACAACACATGGAAATAATAATACTTGTTTGTCCTAAATCCTAACACAATTACGGCTTTGGCTCTTTTGCTGGCTGTGCCCAATTCCCATCCATTCTAACCTCTATAATCCCACCTATTTAACTCTAATAAGTTAAACTTTTACTTACTGTTGGACAAATTAGGGGTGTATATCAGTCCGAAACTAATACAATTTCCTCAATTCACATATGATTCAATAACTATATTGGATTATGATTTTTCCAATTCAATCCGATCACATAAGAGATATAAATTCAGTCCAATCCAATCGACATTAGAGATTCAATTCAATCAGTCAAAATCATCAAAATCAATTAAAATTAAATTGAATCAGTCGGTTTGAGTGAATTAAATTGAATCTTTTACAACCCTAGGACAAATGCATTTTGTTGTATTATACATATATTATATATAGATAAATGGGCACATTGTTGTGAATCGTGATTTAGATGCAGTGTACATGTTTGACCACATTAATGGAAAGTCAAACTAGTGCAAACACGCAACAAACTAGTAAGCTATGTGAATTAAGACGAAGTACGAATACATCCGTATCTGATCATATCATTTAATCTGATATACTAATCAAGTTTCAACAAGGTGGACCACTTGAATGTTTCAAACGCTAGTGACCAATTCCATACTAGTCTTTCCAAATTTACCAATACAAAGCGCATAGACATCATATTTTCCACCAAACCACCATGGTTTGGTAATGGTAATTAATTATCACCGTGCAGGAAAATAATCAATTATTTTTGTTCACACTATCAGTCAAATGGAGCACACTACAATAGTCATCTCTCAAACAAAAAATCTGAATATATTAATAGCGCCTGTCTGTCTGTGTACATCTACAATACAAATAACAATTGCTGCAAGTAGACGATGTCGTGTACGGCCTTTGCTTTCAAAATTGATACATCCATCAACCATTCAAACTTCAAACAACCTACATTTTCATTAGAGGAGTTCTCAACTTTTCTTGCATTTGGTGGACTCCACCTTTTTCATAGAGGTGGAGTCTACTAATACAACGAGGAACATTTTTATTGGAGAGATAATACACAAAATGATTAGCATTTTTGTTATATTATATTGTGTTGTGCACGAGCTAAACTAATATTGGATGGTATTTGACCATTTGTATGTTTTATATTACTATATCTCACGTTCCAAAATGAACTTATTTAACCATTAGACTTCGTAAATAAACTATAATCGGTTAAATTAACATAGCTATTCTACCCCTACCTACCTATACCTTTCCTCCCCCCCCCCTTAAATTTGATTCCAAATTTATTTCCACCTTTATCCATCTCTAACAAGAAAAAGAAATACTACATAGAGAAATATTTTTAAAAGAAGCCAAAATGAATATAAATGCCCTTATTTATTTTTGGATTTTCTAAGGAATCATTTATATTTGCATGTATTTGATTTGAAAGTTGATGAGTTTTTCTTTTTTTTTAATAAAAGTTTTGACTTTTTCTAAAAGTGAAATTTTTTTTTGTAGTTAAAACCTAAATTTACTTTTCTATATCAGTTAATGAAAGAGTCGGAGTAGACATTTGAATTTTGTATTTAGTCAACCATATCTTGTTGTCCTCCTTATTTTGTCAATTTGTCACCATTATCTTTTCAAAGCCACGTATAAGGTTTAATGATTGGATCAAATTTTAACAGCTCCGAAAAAGGGTAAGCAAGTAAATTCCTGTAATCCTTTGCTTATTAGTTTAATTCCAAATTAGGCCGTGGATTAAAACATTGAATCTAAATTAAATCGCGTGCAGAAATATCCGGAAACCTGCAGCAAACGCAAGCTGTATTATTAAATACAGTGGAGCAAAATGGTTTGCTAGGTCACAAAAACACACCACCTAGTTTGACCAAACCTCCTTTTTTCCTTGACATTGTCAGATAAGATCGTCACACCCTTTTCAAACACCCTTGCATTGTTTTATTCTCATTAAATCCTCATCCTTTTAATTGCCCTATATATATGCACTGCTTCCTTCCTGGATAAAGCGATTCAGTAATTTTATCTTCCTCCTCATACAATATGGATCAGAAACAAGGTAAACCGAAAAACAAGATCCTGAAATTTCTGCCCAAAGCCGCTTCCGGGGTTTATTTTCACAACCCTCCTTACAGCCCTTCGAGAGACAGGAGATTAGAAAATGCCGCCAAGCTCAAAGCTCACGGCCGACGAGGATTCTCCGGCCCTTTAATGATCTCGGACGACGCCCGGAGAAAACCCAGGACTGGAAGCTTTGACTACCACACGCAAGAAGACGAACCCACCTCGCCAAAAGTGTCGTGCATGGGCCAGATCAAGCACAAGAAGCAGATTAAGAAAATAAAGCGTGCTAATATTCACAATTTGATCCCTAAAGATGCATCAAAGCCTCCGGCTCCGTGGTCTCCTCGCGAGATAAAGAAGCACGGCTTTGCGTTCCGGAGGATGTTTAGCAGCGTAAACCCTGCAAGGAAATCCGATTCTAGTAACGTTAATCATGATCATGATCGTACGGCACCGAGGCTTCCAGATAGAGCGCCTTCTTTGAGTCAGATGAAGAGGTTTGCAAGTGGGCGGGGTAATGCTTTTGCAAACTTTGATATCAATCATCACGACTGTTCAGATGAAGACAGAGGAGACAGCGATGGAGAAGAAGATGTGAGAATTGCCTTCTCAGCACCTCTAGTGGCTGGTGGAGATCAATTTCATCAAGTACCATTGCAGCCGAGGAAAGAAATCAACATATGGAAGAGAAGAACCATGGCTGCACCTAGTCCGCTAGAATTGAAGCCCATGGTCAGGGCTAATTAAATTGTTCATAATTTCAATTGCTTTAATTCTTATTCAGATCAGGCTTCTTCTTAGAAATGTTTTCAGTCGAATCAGAGTCCGGAGTGCAAATTTGAGATGATGGGTTATGTTAATAGATACATGCAAAGATATATATAAAACGAAAGTTAGGATCCGTGAGGACTGTTTGTTTACATGTCTTGGCTTTCTTCGATCTGGTTCTTCTTCTTTCTGATGATGAGGTTTAAGGCATAATAATTTGCTTTGGAAGTGAGTGAATGCAGCATCCAAAAACTAGAATACTGTTTCAGCCTTTTCAGCTAGCCGACAACCAAGCAAATAGTAGTTATGATTAAGGGTGAGCCGTGTGCGTATATATGTTTTGGTCAGCCAGCTGTCAGAATCGAAAATGTTTAGTTGCAAGGTTAAAGCCTTAATTAATTGGAGGTGGTTTGCCCGTCAATTCTGAATTGTTAGTAAGGTTAATTAGGATAGGATCCTAGGAACAGTCTGTCTTGCACAGGACAGAGGACGCGTATTAGCCGCCTAAATTTGATTCATTAGCGTTACTGCATGCCAATGGCCTAATTACCACTTGTAATTTTTAAAACCGAAGCCTAAATTCGACTACAAAGCAGTAATGCTAGCTAATTAGCCTAATTGTCCGATACATGATTTTTCCATCACATACTAGTTCTTAGTTGCAGCATTTCGATCAGTGCCGAAAAAACGCTTTGAGACGGCCGTTGCCAGCCACTACATAAACTAGGAGTGGGCATCTCAACCCGAAAATCCGTATACTGACTGTATAGTACTGAAAGTTTGGGTTGGCTTGTTATTGATCCGATCCGAAAAGTGTAGTTTGGTTAATAGGCAATGATATCTCATACCGCAAAAATCCATATAGAACCAAACGATAGAAATAAATTATTATTTAAATATAAATACACCCAACATGACACCATAAAACATCTACAACTAATTATAAAAATGGAGTACCACACCGAAAAATAGAAAATAGCAATGTAGGATACTAGAAACACAAACAGACCCTACTTGTTTACGCAGGCTAGACAAAACATGGTCTAGTTGAATTTTACTACCATATTGTACTTCTGTTGTACAAGCTTGAATGAATATTGTTTTACCATATTGTTCTATTGAATGAAATTTTTTTTCTTGGGCTTGAGTTGGTTTTTTTCAATTAGCATTAGTAATAAATATTTTTATTCTTTTTTTTTGTGGTTAAATGGTACTATCGGCCTATCGAACTAATCTGATTCGAAATTATGGTTAACCAATTGAATGGTTAAAGGATTTAATGGTTGGTTAACAGAAGAAAAATTGGTCTACCAAAAGATTTGATACAATTAACAAAAAAGCTCTCTACAGTTCTATATCCATCCGCGCCCACACCTACATTAAACATCTATTTTGTTTTACTTTTTAATTTTTAATTTTCAAATAATTTTATACCCGACATGTTTGAAAACTATGATCAATAGTAACACTAACCGGATGATGCATTATTTTTGTCAACAAGAAAGAACAATAATCTACAGCTGACAAACTTTGACTGCACCCAATTTTGTAAAAGACTTGGGCAACATGTGACGCCCACTGACACAATCGGGTGGATCTTGGGAAGGGGCCTTTGGGCCCTCTGATGGCCTAAATTAAGTTCAGTTTGTCTGTCTTGCGCAATACTACCACTACTACTAACACAACTATGCTATTGGCACTCAAGCAAAGCAGCGAATGTTGGACGACTTTTGCTTTCACAGAGAGGGCCAATAACAGCAGCTTCTTATCTAAAAACCCAAACCATTCAAAAATTTCCACACAAAAGAAAAACAAAACCCGAAAAAAGAAACAGAGAAAACAGAGTAACAGGGGACACATTAATTCTAAGTAAATTTTTTATTCAACTTATGTATAATTAAGGTGACTCTTTCTCATAGTCACAGAAACAAGTAGTAGAAATTTTTGTAAAAATAATTTTGATTTTGTTGAGAAGGGAAGGGAACTAATAAGTCACACGGACTCCTTGGTATCTCAGAATCTCACCAATAAGCTCCCCTTTACCAGAGCCCACATACCTCCCGCAAATCTCACCATCTCTAATGAACAAGAAAGTAGGCACCTCCACCACCTCCATGTCCTTGAGGAACTGCAGGCAGCTATCATTCTCATCACCGTTCATTCTCGCGAACACCACCGTGTCTGACATCTTCCTCGACAGCTTCACCACCGTCGGATACACCTTCACACAGGGCCCACAGTGCTTGAGCCCCACATCAAGCACAATCAGCTTGTGGTCCACCTTATGCTCTGCAATCAACTTCTCCAAGTCCTCCCTCTGATGCAGTTGAACCACAGCAGAGTGGTTGTCCCCGTAATACAGCACATCTCCCCTAAGCCGATCTCCGTCTATTCCTTCCTCTTCGTGGATTTTCTCCATGCTTTTGTAGAAGCTGAAATGTGGGACTTTTTCAATTTTCTCTCTTCTGAAGAGCTCTCTGGTCTTTTCTGATTCGTCCCCCATTACCAGCAGGAACGCCACGTCATTGCACGTACGGCTGAGGTCCACCATAAAAGGGTACATTTTTCTGCTCTGGGCGCTGTCGCTGGCGGCAAATTCGACGACCACGAGCTTGTTTTTGGCTGTTTCAAGGGCTTCGTCGAATTCCTGTATGCTGTGCACTTTCTGCACTCTTTCATCGCTTTCCACTTTCTTAGTGCCAGGGGCGGCTGTAGCCTTGGTAATAAAGCTATTGAAGTGGCTTTGGTTGGCTTCTAGGTTTGTCGACAGAAGTTTTTGTTTGTTGACCAAGCTTAAAAAGGAACAGTGCCGGTACAGACCACTGTTTTTTGGGATTGAAGATAGAGATGAAGGGGGTTTTGCTAAGAAACTTGCGAGTGTCGCCATTGAAACTTAACTGTCTAAGAGGGAAACGGGAGATTTGCTTATTCTAAGCTAGCTATGAATGAATCTACAGAAACTTACGGGGAGAGAGTGCCCTGAAATTATCTTCAAATCTCTAAGTGCCAAAACTTCCTTCACATCCACTCGTTTGCTTGTGGTTCATATTATCCACTGACCCCACCATACATATATATCTAAATCTAAGGGGCTGGGTGTGGAGAGCATATTCATCTTTATTCCCTTCTAATCATACAGTACGGTAAAGCCCAAAATATTTTCTGTTGTTTTCAAATTAACAAGTACGCATGCATGCCTAAAAATGCAAAGTTGATCCACAAAGTTTGGGCTTCCACTTTTATACTTGATATGGGTTTTGGTGCTACTAAAAAGTTGTTGACCCAAATTTGAAAATTAAACACTGCGACTAATTTAGTGGGAAAAAACTCGCATAGCAGTTATGATGCCTCGTTTAAGAATGGATCGAGATCCTCTGTTATGATTTTCTCTATCATAGACTGCTTGAATCCCTGAATAGTCAACGATAGATAGGCCTGCCATAAGTTTTGAGCCATTTGGATAGAATGACCTGATATTTTGTACCTCGAACAAAGTAGCTACACACACGCAACTAGCACGAGAAGTTTGACAAGTCAAGAAACAAGAAAATAAATCTTCATGTCCACACAAAATATCTTCTAATCAATATGATTTGGGAGAATGACGAACACGAAAAAACTCTGAAATGCGGAGGCATGGTGAAAATATATCTCAGCTTGTATATTTCTGGCCACAGGCTTAGTGATAACACGGAGACATACTATTTTTTTCTCCGTGTCCATAAAGGCCAATCGCCTTCAGCAATGTCTATTCCAGATTCAGAATGGAATTGGGCCCTGGAAAAATATCAAGTACATATATTCGGTGACATTTCTTAAATAGGTTCATTAGGGCAATAGTCTATTAACTTGCAGTTGAGTTTCGTGCTTTTCACTTTAATCATTTTTGTAAATTTCATGTCAATTCTAGAACAACCAGTAATTTCATATTTACACCATTGACATAATTAACTCTATTGGGGATCAAATTCCCTCCCCGCCCCGCCGGATTACAAAAATACCCATAAAAAATTAATTTATGAATGAAAAAATAAAAGTTAGAAACTAAACATATAATACAAAAGTTTTATATTAGACACAGTTTTTTATGTATTATTTAATTCAGTATACAATATGATATGAGGAATATTATAAAATTTGGTAAGAGTTGTGAGGACGGACTTAACAATATATTGATATGAAAAATAAATAATATATATTCTAAATGAGACAAGTTCAGGTCATGAGGAGGAACTTTAGCAATATATTCATATGAAAAATAATTAATATATATTCTAAATAGGGCAGATTCGGGTTGGGGATTAGAATACCATCCCCCCATATCAAACACCATAAACGAAAATTTCCCCAAACTCATCCTCATACCCAATTTCTATTCCTCATACTTGACCCATTGGTGGGGGAAATTGTCATCCTTATTGGTAACCCTTAGTGTTCATAAGTTTTCAAGTTTCATGACACTCATGAATCTCGACAATTAAAAAAGTCATGAAATACACATAAAGGCAATAGCGCATAGCAATACAAGTGCCAATTTAATAAATGAGCATACGTGTAGGCATTAATATGTATAATTTAGTTCATATTAATAATATTTATGAGATGAAGCCAAGAAGGAAGAACCATTCCGTTCACAGTCGTTTCATTAATTTATATAGAACTTACAAAAAGAATAAGTCATTCATAAGTGCAAATAAATACAGGGTGGCGGAAATTATAAAGAGAATTTACAAATAAAAAAAGAGTGGGTTGGTGGTGGATGGATCTGGCAAATCATCGACTGAAAGCAGTGGGTGAGAGATCCAAACCCGGATGTGGACCCGTATGTCGCCATGTTTGTAGGCTAGGCGTAGTAAAATACCAAACATCGCGCATAAGATGACACACAAACAAACAAAAAGCCAACACAGATTTGGCGGGATTCTGACTCTCTTACCAACTCTCTCTCTCTCTACTCTCACTGCTCAGCTCAGTCTCCAGACTTTCCTCCAGTGCTTGCCACCTAACCTAACACAAGTCACCCAGCTTAGCTTAGCTTAGCATCCTCCGCCTCATGCTTTTATTTATGTTATGTTTTCTCTCCACACTGGCCCATGTGCTCCATCGTGTAACCCCGCACTGGGTCCCACAATACACCTTGACAATGGATCCTTTCCTTGGTTTCCCCTGTTGTCACTTCCACCCTTTCCTCCCTGCACAGCAGTGGACCCTAATTCTGTTTTTAACTCACTTCCCCTTCATTCACGGTGGACCTCTTCTCCTCAAATTTATTTTATTACAAATTTTGCGAAATTCCTGATATTCTAATAAAATGTGGGCGAATTTAGAAAATGCACATGTGGTGTGGTGCTGCCGATAATGCACATAATTCAAATTACCAAAATTAAAAAATCAAGACAGAAACCAAACCCTACCAAGATGCAAATTTAAGATGCCAATCCAACCACGAAACTCAAATAATTCCAAATTAAAATACAAGAGAATAATAAATTAGCAGGTTAAGTAAACAAAAGAAAATAAAAATAAAAGGAAAACAAAACCTAGATTAGAAGGATAATTAAAACAAAGTAACAAGAAAAAAAAATACAACAAAAAGGGGCTAAGGTAAAATGGGAAGGGGAGTGGACCAGCGATACCGTCACAGGGTACAAGGAAACTAAGAAGATTTTGCTGTTTCCGGCTTCCGGCAGAGGATCATGTGCATCGGAGTGAAGATTCCGGACTCGCCGCCCCGGGTCAAATAGTCAGCGGTTTTGAACAGCATCTCGTGCACATCCACCGTGCCCTTGGGTGCAACTCCGATGGCCGCCAGCACAGTCACCAGAATGTGGTTGCGCCAGTAGGCGATCCTGCCCATCTTCAACCGGGTCCACCACGGCTCCGCCGGCGGATTAGCCAGATCTCGCTCCTTCACCACTTCAAAGCCGACCTTCCTCGCCGTCTCCGCAATGTCCACGTAGCTCCTTAGGCCAGGCAAGGCGTCTCCTCTCTCAATCCCCTGAATGACCTCCACGTGTTCCGCGTCGTCCCCCTTGTACTTGTCTGTCGTCACCCACTCGTACGACACGTACAGAGATCCCGGCTTCAAAACCCTAAAGATCTCGGCGTACACCTCCTCCAGCTTCGGCGCGTGGCACGTCGCCTCGATCGAGTACGCGCCGTCAAAGCTGTTATCGGGGAACGGCATCTCCAGGAAATTCCCACACACCACCTCGCACAGAGAGTCGAGGCCTGCCTTCTTGTTGTGCAGACGCGCGCGTTTCACCTGGTACTCGTTGATCGTGATCCCGACCACATTGGCACGAGAGTGAGCTGCGATGGCTCGCATGGGACCACCAACACCGCATCCGACGTCCAGAATTCGATCTCCGGGTTTGACGTCGATGAGATCGACGGCCATCTCCTCGTGGAGGCGCGTGGCGTCACGGTGGGACTTTCCGGGGAGGGAAGGGGAGAAGTGGAAGGACTGGCCCCATCCCCACTCGTAGATGTCGGTGACTAAATTGTAGAAGGTGTCCACAAAGTCGGGAACCTTCTCGGCGGTTTCGATCTCTTTGGGGCGGCGGAAGAAAGACCAGTACTTGTCGTAGTTGTCTTGGACTTTCTCTGCGGAGATGGAGCCGCCGGAGAGATCTACAGCGCGCTTGCCCTTTTGCTCGGCTGGGCCGAGAATGCAAACGAACCAGTAGAGCCCACCGGCTAGGAGGGCCCCAGTACAGAAGAGAGTGAGAGAGTCCATTGGAGTTTGGAAGAGAAACACAGAGAGAAAGAGAAGAGTGAAGGAAGGGAGAGAGGGAGAGACTAGTGGAAGAAAGGGAGAAGTCTTTGGTCTCCCCTACTAAATTCCTGTTTGGCAAAGCCACTAATTGGGTATTTAAGTTTCTTTATTAGATCCAATATAATCTAATTGCACGCGCGTAGCTTCTGCGTGGATCCAGCTATCCGTATTTTAACACGTGGATTCGGAAGAGGACAAAAGGCGTGCGCTCCAGATACACTTCAACTTTGTGTTTATTACGGCTCTACCCAGGTATTTCCCGCTGTAAATAGAACGAATATCTAGGGGTTGATATACGAGAGAAAATGGTTGTATTTTTGTTGACAACTGTGTTTTTTTAATTTTATATTTAAGATTATATGGGTAATTACTAATTAGGGTAATTTTTATTGAGGTTTTTCGAGGGCGGGGGGGGATTTATTTTATTTTTTAAACATTTAACTTGATTTGTTTCAGTTATTTCTTAGTATTATAAATAACGTTGATGTAAGTGAAGTTAGTGGAGGAATAACGTTATCAAATGCTAACAATAACATCAACAATGAACGTCTTTTATTGGTAACTAATACGTAATAGAGTCATCAACATCACTCAAAAAGAAGAAAAAACCTAGTCCTCATTATAAACAAGATGGATTTAAGGAAATTATTAGTGAGAAATAAAAAGGAATCCGCAAGTAAGAAGAGTCTCCTCATAAGTCATAAATCATAATGAATTTCCTAAACAAGAAGAGACCCTGAGCTTTGCTTACTGACAATAACAAATGCTCACATTTATGAATTGGTGAGCATTAGTGATCATGTTGTAAACCTGAACACATTAGTTATCAAATGCTATTTCTTTTAAAAATATTTATCTCTCTTTTGGCCTTTTCTAAAATGTCCCTACAGGGAGTTTCGGTTGATTAATTTTTCAAATAAGCTTATTTGAGAGACGTTTTTTCAGGGTCCAATTCGTATTGTATTTTATTAAACCATCTATTTTGTAGATACTCATTCAAATATTATATATACAAAAAATTACTTGAATATGATATTATTTTACCACTTAATTGAATTATTGAAATTTTAGTACTTTCTCGAAACACTGTGTTTATTGATTTTGTATGACACAATTGAATATCGAAATGATTTTCGATTTGCCTAATTTTTTGCAAGGACGATTTATGAATGAATACTTAAAAAATAGATGATTTGAAATGTTTAAAAAAATTTCTTAAAGTACCCTAAAAGATATCCTTTAAATAAAATTATTTAAAAAATATCTCAATAGAAATGGACTATATATATACATAAACTATCTGTCTCATAATTATTTAAGCACTATTGTATGGCTCATGCTCGGATATATTTCATTCATTGCATCCAAGAATATAATGCTTTGTGTATATTTTATTTTCTCTTGTGTTGTGCAGCTGCAGCATGACATGTTTATATTTTATATACTTTTATAATATTTATGTATTTATTTATATGAAAAGCATGATAGCGTAATAAGTATCCGAGATTCTTGTATGCTGATGTAGTGGAGAGCTGGAAAAGCCAAAACGGAAATGGGATGGCTGCTCCTAGATCCAATCCTGACTTGAAGATCAGAGAGCTTAGAGCATGTTTTCCCATTCTTTTTTCTTTTTCTTTGAAAAATAATAATTTCTAATTGGTTTGATGCCTTAATGCGTTGGCCTAAAATTTATAATTGAGTTATTGACCAGGATAATAAAATTTCTAATTGCGTTATATACTATTCCCATTGCATGAGAGTTTCTTTTTCACCTCTTAACAAAACTATCCTTTATTTAGACGAAATCAAAATAATCCCTCTGTTATTTATTTATTTTGGGTACTCAATCTAATTTCTTCAGAAAACAAATCTCATATAAATAGAAGAAAACGAATGACTAAATGGCAAACACTAGCATATCTAGGTAGAGGGCTACCATGGACTCTAGCCCAAGTAGCCTTTTTTATTAAATTGAAATATATTACATGTATTTTAATGTTATTCATTCCATAAAAATTTAGTAGCTCACTCAAATGTAGCCTTGTAGTCATTGTACACTTAATTTTGTAGGCCTATAATCATGTTATATTTAATTTGTTTGTTCAATTAAGAAACATAATCTCTTAATAAACACATGATTTTAACTCTCAACCTTTTACTATTTTTATTCTAATGTATACTTTTATTTATAAAAAAAAACTATAGAAACAGTAAGTACCCAAACAAAATTTAATCCTTAAATTTTAAGCTAATAGTTTTAGCTAGTTCACCCGTTAAAAAATTCATAATTCCGTCCTTGATGGCAAAGAGGATCTCTTTGTAAACACCAGCAGCAGAAACAAAGAAACCCTTATTCTTTTATTTATTATTTATATATTTGTTCTGGGATGAATGTGCCTTGTTCACATTGTTCGTATAAAGAGAATGAATCAACAATAAAAATCTAAAATGAAAATATTGAAAATACAATATGACACGACCAGATCGCAACTCCACGTGATGACTTGTAAACTTTAGGGCAATGAGTGACTCAGTGATGATATTAAATCTTGCAAGTTGCACGTCTCTTGCGATACTTTCTTTCTAAAAAATAAAAATAAAAATAAAAATACAGAAGGCGCGCCATAGCGAATAGAGATAGGTCCCGAATCGCCAGATGGAGGATGGTCTATAATCTTTAATCTTGAATTTTGTGTGTTGTTTGTTATACAAGTACATGGATGGTGGACCAGATGGTAGCGAGCCAATCACGTGGAAGCTTCTTTATCAACAGTCACACCACGGACTTTGCAGATTTTTTTTCTTATAATATTTTCTGATTCCGGAAAAACAAGTCCAAAAGTTGCTTTTGGATCTGTAAATATCTATCTGTGTTTTATTTTTCTTTACAGAATATTCCCTTTTGGTGTTGCTCTGCTCTCTTTCCAATTTCCCTTCATTTTGTTTAACTTTAAGTTTAACCACGGTTGCATTGCATTATTCTTTTTCATTATTTAATCATAATTGCGGCATTGATTTGCGAAAATTACACAAGCTATCAAGCCTAAATGGTGAATAATAATCATCTTTTCTTATTTCCAGTGGCACAACACAACCTTTCTTTCCATGATTAAAGAAAAGCAAATTATATTTTTTTTATTTAAAACAAGTCTTAAAAATGATCTTGGATCACAGGCTTTGGATTCGATCCCAACCCGAAGCTTCGTAGAAGGGCCATCCCATAAAATCAAGCCCGTGAAGGTTAAGAATAGCTCAAGTGAACGCCCAACAAGAGATATGACACAGCCCAAAAAAGATCCTGGAGGTGTCAAATTGACCTTGCCACCTTGTCATCTTTGATTTGATACAACGTATTGCCGTTCATTGGGCCCCTCACCCTCATCCTCAGTGGGCTGCACACTCCAGTTCCAGTACAGTACAGTACAACAGGGAGGGAGGGAGGGAAAGCGCTGGAGGGAGGGAGGGAGGGAGTGGATGAGACTTGCACGCGTCAAAGCGTAACAGCATTCTACACGCTTGGAAATGGGACCTATACGTAATATTAGTACATAGTTAAGTTTAGCATCAAGGAAGGAGGAGGAGTAAGTGTAGCAGTTTAAACCTTGTCCTTCCTTTGCATCAACTTAGAAGCTACGCATCCTTTTGCTTCACCTTCGCACTTTGTTGCTTTTTGGCAATTAACTTTTGGCACGACATTTTGAACATAAAGGTATGACTCAAATTGTGACCGCCACCCGCTATATAGCAAAAATTTGAGGACAAGGTGTACGACAGACAGTGCACGTATTTCTTTTAAATCAAGGTCCTTTGCTGTCCAACTAGTCTTTTTTCTCCTACACCCAGTTTCAGTTAAGTTGGGATAGTGGCGTTTCCTTGAGCCACTCTTCTACTTCTTTTCTTATAGTCATATGTGGGTTTAGCTTTTAGCTATAGCAGTTCAACACTCAACTAGAAAATACACAAATTTGGTAAGAGTGAAGTGATCATCTTCATCTTCATCTTCACACATACATTGGATTGGAGGAAATGGAAAATCTTTCAGGTGGAGGGTTAGGCCACCTCTTCATGGCAATCTTTCTGCACAACTTCGCCACGTTTATGGTGATCCCGGCCATTACCGACGTTACTATGTCTGCACTTTGTCCTGGAAGAGATGAGTGCTCCATCGCTATCTACCTCACTGGATTTCAACAAGCGGTACGTATGTACGCATTTCCAATTTGTTCATAACCCAACTTGTTTATTTTCTCAGCAACCAAATTCATATCCGCTAGCTAGCTAGGTTTTCAGGTCCAAGATGTTCTCTTTTGATTTCTTTGCGCAGTAAACATGTTATGATCGAACACATGCGCATATTATATAGAGTACGTGTTCGAGGATTTTATTTAAAACTTTTTTTCGGAGGTGAATTAATTATAAATGGTTTTCCGTACGTATTAGAGGATTTCATTTAATCAATGAATCATAGATGACGACGTCCGCATGTAGACCGTTAAAACTTAAAAGGCTGCACCTGCCCCTGCAATGCTGCAATGCAATGCAGTCTGCAGAGCAGGATTTTCTTCATGCTCTGTTGTCTGTTAAGCCGGCGTCCCTCCCTCTCCCTCCCTCCCTGTGTATGTATAAGTTTTAAACCACAAATTCAAATAGAAATGAAGTTACAGACCAAATGTTCAATCACGTAGAGAGTAAACCAAACTTTGTCTTTCTTCAAAGGAAACTTCCCTTCGGTTGTGGTCTCGTTCATCTTTCAGCTTCAGTATTGGTCGTTTAATTTAAAGAATATATGGACAAATTTTCAAAAGTGAGGGCCCACAGTTACACGCTTTACTTTTCTGAAAACTTGAATTAGGTTATTTGGTCATCTCACTAAGATGCAGAGCAGACTGTCGTTTATTCTCTCTTCCCAGACAGAGTTTGAGAGTCCAGTCCCCTGTGAAATACATTTATGCAATTACTATGTATGTCCTTCAGCCTGGCAGTGGGTAGCAATTCCTAGTAATCTACAGGTCGGCAAGCAAAGCATCTAAAGATTTCAAAAACAGGGCCCCACTAAGTAGTAACTCAATCTCATGTATGAGCTGAGCTTGATTTGGTTACGTAGAGGTAGACAGAATCAACTTTTAAGCAACACAAGGCTGAGCAGAGATTAGTCTAAATCTGATTGTGATTACACCTGTATTTCTACTTTCACTGTCAATCCAAAGGATGCTCATGCTGTCACACACACTAATATTTCTGCAATTCACATATTCCAAGCAGCTGGGTCCTGACCCACCTTAATTTTCATCATCCTAAATCCAAATAATTGATTCATTGCTTGGGAAGTTTCCCTTGGGTTCACGGCAAGTGCATTTTGGCACTTTCACAGTTCAAGGACAAACTTGCAAGCAAGGGACCTTGACTACTACTAACAATCACATTTGATCGCCTTGCTCATGCCATCAAATCTTTCCATTCCAACAAATCCTCTGATTGTCAGTTCCTTCTAATGAATTGATTTCTATATAAGCGCACTGTTTTTCATGTGATACAAATACGATCTCATCCCCACCTCCCCTGTTTTTGGGTCCATTAGAATTCACGAGCATGCAAACTAACTTGGAAAAATGTCATCTTCATGACCACATGCATGCCTGCATACTCCACCTAATTCCTGACTCTCTGAGCTACATAATTGGACTGTGGACACCCAATATATCGTTAATTAGGTGCCTAATAGCAATAATTAACCCCTGGTTTATTTATTTTGGTTGAAATTGAAAACAATTAATGTGTGAATATTTATTTATGCAGATTGTAGGGCTGGGAACACTCGTGATGATGCCTTTGGTAGGGAATCTCTCAGACAAGTGTGGGAGAAAGGCTTTGCTTACAGTGCCAATGATCCTAACAATTATCCCCTTAGGTACTCATATCGTATAATTCTTTAATCTAAAATGAACATGGATGATTGAACTTAAAGATAGCTGAAGGGTTTACTTGCAGCAAAGATATATACAGGTCAAACCAATTAGTACAAAGATAAAGTCATGATAGAGGATTTAGTGATATTATTTTGATTATCTTGTTCACCTGTCACTTTTATTAATAGATTTTTTCAACTGGGCCCTTGGAAGAAAAACAGGCACCTTAATTTAATTTAATGTAACTTTCCCCCACCAACATTAACTAAAAAAACTTTTCCAACGAAGGGTTTTGATTGAATGTATTCAACCACAACAAACTCTTCTTTGAATTATTATTTTTATTAAAAGCTAGATTATATATTTTGTTTCCGCAGCGAATAATGTAATTATGTATATTAAAATTGAATTAAGAGGATAATTGAGAAGAGCGTTACAGGGATATTGGGTTACAGCCGGAACAGGACTTTTTTCTACGTCTACTTCGTGGCCAAGACCCTCACTGCCATGATTTGTGAAGGCAGCGTTCCTTGTCTCGCCCTTGCCTATGTGGTAAAACTCTTTTATCTCTATTCTCTCAACTCTCTCATCATTTGGTTCAATTCCATGAACATCCTCCACTTCATTCTCTATTCTTATGTGGGGGCTGACCTATAAGTCAGGTGCTTAAAACAATTAAGCCCATTACTTTAAGATTAGTTGGGCCTAACGAAGTAATTAGGCCCAGTCTGTTTTAATTGGTAGTGAATTTGATATAATAACGGCCCTCTCCATTTCCCTCTTTCGTTCGTTCCTCATCAGTTAAGTGTTCATTAGCTCTCCTTCTCGTTTCTAAAAGAAAAACGTACACAAAATATGTTTGATTCGAATTTGGTGGATGGATGTGTGAAATGTATGAATTGAAATGATGATCAGGCAGATAATGTGGCAGAAGAGCGACGAGCCTCCGCGTTCGGAGTGCTCTCAGGGATTGGTTCCTCTGCATTCGTCTGCGGAACCCTCTTTACTCGTTTCCTCTCCACTTCCTCCACTTTTCAGGTCAACTGAAGCTCCTCTCTCTCTCTCTCTCTCCTCTACTCTATCATGTCTGGATGTCTGGAAACTAATTATGGTTTGATTGTGTTGTTATTAGGTTGCGACGTCGGTGGCGGTGGTAGCAGCTATGTACTTGAGGATTTTCCTGCCGGATTCCAACATAGACAAGAAACTTTCCGCTCCATTACTCTCAGATGAAAAACAAAAAATTGCAGACTCAGATGAAAGTTCAAGGGCTCAAATATTACAGCCAGCCAAAACATTGCCTTCATTACATGATTTAATCTCCTTGTTGAAAACTAGGTCAGTTCATTTCCTGCTAAGGGCTGCCCTCCGCAGTATCATCAAATATTCCCTTGCCTGCGAATTTTGCAATTCCAGTAATTGCATACTCTCAAATTAATTTTCAGCGCAACATTTTCGCAAGCTGCAATTGTTGCGTTTTTCAGCAACCTAGCGGATGTTGGTCTTCACGCTTCAATGATGGTACGTCTCTCTAGGAAGCTCCCGGCAATAAAATTAGATTATGGTGTTTAAAATTTGAACATAAACTCTGATTAATTTTACAGATAAAGATTAAGAAACAGGTTAACTTATATTATTTTCTCTCATGTTTTTGGATGGTTAGAATAGAATCATATAGTGATGAACTCTGTTGCACATAAGAAGATGCAGTGATTGAAATTCATTGCTTGTTGTGCAGTACTACTTAAAGGCTCGGTTTCACTTCAACAAGGATCAGTTTGCTGACCTGATGGTCATTTCTGGGGTTGCAGGCACTATTTCTCAGGTACTCCGCTGGTTTGGCCGCCTTTATGATTTCCTTTGCATACTACCTTCTTTCATAGTTTCGGTTTCATTTTCCATAGTACTGAAAACAGAACTTCATGCAGCTGCTTCTCATGCCCTTGCTGGCTCCTGCTTTAGGAGAGGAGAAGCTACTTTCGATAGGACTCTTTTTTAGCTGTGCACATGTAAGCAACCTAGCTGTCTTTTTTTCTTTTTTTTTATAGCTCCCAACATGTTACAATAATATGATCTTCCTTGTCAGACAACTGTAGATTTGTCAATACTTGCATTGCACTCACCAAAAGTAAAACTAAGAATATAGCATTTATATTAAGGTTGTATCTAATAATTTGCATATTATTGAGTGCAGATGTTTCTTTATGGCGTTGCGTGGTCCTTCTGGGTACTTCTTTACAACTTTAATGGCAATCACAAGTGTCTCTTTATTTTAGACAAATTACATTCATATGCAGTATATAGCTAGTAGGACTTTATCAATTTCTCAGATAATTTCTGGTATTTGTTTGAGCTAACTGACATTGTGTCTCAGTATGGCTAACACTTTGAAAGGTTATAGGTCCCATATGCTGCTGCCATGTTCTCCATCTTTTATGTGTTCGCAACACCATGTGTAAGTTTCATCATTTCTGCTTTGAAAGTTAAACGATCTCAAATTTTGTCTTTAAAGTAATTCAGTTCAAACTTTACAGATGCGAAGCATTGTGTCTAAACAAGTTGGTCCGTCTGAGCAGGTAGTTTTCTTGAGAGCGACACCTATTTAATTGATAGGCTTCATATTGATAGTTTGTTTGTTTGTATAATAAAGTCTATCTTTACACGCCCAAGTATACATTATGTTTTCACATATGTACGCCCCAATCAGGGAAGTTAAGAACTGCTCAAGTTCCCTTACCCTGCCTTTTGGCTCCAATTCTTTTGAGGTATGCCTGACCCTTTTATACATTATTTTCAGGGGAAGGCTCAAGGGTGCATTTCAGGCATATGTTCTTTTGCAAATGTTATATCTCCCATTGCTTTCTCTCCTCTAACAGGTGATTTGAAACGCCACTTAAAGTTTTGCTGGGCTAAAAAGTTAATTCAAACTGATAAAGTCAAGTTGTGCTTCCAGCTTTGTTCCTGTCCGAAAAGGCGCCAATTAATTTCCCAGGTTTCAGTCTCATTTGCGTAGGATTTGCTGCGGTAAGAACTTATACAGTGATATAATAGATGCTTATTTTAGTCTAGAACCAGTTGTTATAACTGTTGTTCACTTTTATGAGGGTGCTCGCTTGCAAGCTGTCTGCTGGTCCTGTCCTCATAACATAGAAGTGATTTTGCATATTAGAGTAGGTAAAAAATGAAATTTCTGGCCTAGATTAATTCTTTGAGATTACTGAAATTCGGGCGTCTTTTATTTCAGCTTTGTAGTTTTTTCTCTTCTTGTTGACTTGATTTAAAAGGGTCTTGTATGTGTGTAGATGATAGCCTTTATTCAAAGCGTGATGATAAGGGCTGTTCCTCCCATCTCAAGTCAACGGGTCAGCAGCCATTGCACTCACATGGAACCCTGAATTCCACAATGTGAAAGCTCGAAGAAAAATTGTCCCTTGCGTGGCCCCAGGCTGACCCTGGCACACCAAGAACTGCTGTAAAGTTCAACGGTCATCTTTTGGTTCATGTTTTGGAAGGTGACATTGTTGAGGTTGGTTTTGTTTCAATCAAAGTCACCTTTCATCGCTAAACAAAACATGATACTAAAAGCCCAATCATGAAACTTTTTGTCATTTGTAGTAGAATGCTAGAGCAAAGTGAACCAAGTCAGTATATTTTTGCTCTTCTTTTTGGTCTGTATTTAATTGAATTGAATCGATGGAAAAAAGCTTGATCAAGTGAAGCTTCTTTGCCACATATTTGGAAGTTTCAGGCCTTTTTTTTTTAGTATATCGTCTCAAATATATGCCATGGAATTAGAGGTTCCAACACCCATTTTTATTTTTATGGGTTTGTTGGGCTTTAAAATTGGGAGCCACAAACAAAACAAAAAATCGGTAAGAGGTCAAAAGCGAGTGTGGACGAGAGTTGCGGGAGGGAATTAGGCAACCAGGATGGGCTTGTCACTTGAGGAGAACATGATGAGAAGGTAAGGGCCCACACGTATGTTTTTTCTTTTCTTTTCCTTTTTATTAATTGGGTGGGAGCTCAAATCTAATCATGTCGGTTTTCTTTTTCTCGTCTTCAAGCAACTGGAGAATTCTGGTACCTTGAAATATCAAATGTGGTCCTGTTTGATTTTAGTTCCAGCCAAGTGAATGGAAATTCACGGTGAGTCTGACCTGAAGGATTTGAGCGTAAGAATGACTGGACTTAAGCCAAACACAAAGCAAAGACTGGGCTGATGATGCGCAAACTCGTTTTCCTCCTCGTTCATAGACATTATGAGGTACAAAAATTGACCTTTTCTGTTTGGTTGGATACCTCTTTTGGCTGACGGGAGACTTTGTGGGAAACATGTAGTTTGTGGGACCAAGTTACTCCAATAACATCTCTCCTCTCAAAACTCGAACAATATTTTTGGGCGTATCAACAGACAAGTCAAACAAACCTCATAAAGCAAGCAGCATATTAAATTTGGGTTAGACAACTCATCTACCATGTTCCGAGTGACAGCAAACCATACCCAATATTGTATCCTCCGTCACATCGTTGCCAACACCACCACGCGGCGGACAATTGTTTGAGCATGGTCCTAAGAAGAAATTACAAATACAAAATATGGAAGTAGAATTGAAGCCCTTTGCCAAACAGAATTTTCTCTAGATCATGGAGCTAAATTAATTCACAAAAAGGACAAGAGTGAGATCCCTTTATTCTAAATCAAAAGGGAAAGTAATATTGCTCTTTGTTGTTCATTAAAATTGCCCCAAAAGGGAAAGGGCTAAAATACGACGAGTCTTAAATTGAAGGTGCTATGATGTCCAACTCTAATCACTCATCTTTCTCTTCTTAAAAGCCACTTTGATCTAAAAAAGGATTGATTGCAAATTTGGAGGTTGACGAAGACCCACCAACCTACAACCATGACGAGAATTTTATTTTTTATTTTTAAAATATCCCAGCAAGGCGCCAACCCACAAAATCCCACCAATGGTTAAATTTGAAGCTGCACTTGGTGGCAATCCTCGCCTATGTCGGCCTCCACGTGTCCCACACACAATTTACTTATACGGCCCGACAAACCACAACTAACGTTTTTCCCCGCACAAAGGTCGTAACCTCTTCCCCCCATTTTTGCTGCTCTTTCTTTACCGCCTCCGGTTTTAGCCGTTGGCTTCGTCGGAGGACCTCGAGAGCCAAGCTAAGGAGATACATTCTATACGCTCTGAAGCAACGTCAGTCGCCCTGGTTCCTCCGCGACAGCCAACGCCCACTCTCGCATTGCTCACTCCTCCCTCACCCTCCATTCATCGGATTTAATTTTTTAATTAATCAATGGCGGAAGAAGATCAATCACAGCCCTTGGTGGTCTACCTTCACGGTGACCTCGATTTGAAAATTCTAGAAGCGCGGTGTTTGCCCAACATGGATATGGTCTCCGAGCGTCTCCGCCGCTTCTTCTCGGCGTGCCGAAAGCCTTTTTCGAGTGGCACGCCGCACCACTCTCACCACAATATCATCACCAGCGACCCTTACGTCACCGTCTGCCTCGCCGGAGCCACCGTCGCTCGCACGCGGGTCATTTCCAACTCCCAGAACCCCGTCTGGAAAGAGCACTTCACGATCCCCCTCGCCCATCCGGTCTCCCAAGTCGACTTCTACGTCAAGGACAACGACATGTTCGGCGCTGATTTAATCGGCATCGCAAAGGTTTCGGCGCAGCGAATCCTCTCCGGCGAAACCATCAGCGATTGGTTCCCGATCATTGGGCCATTGGGCAAGCCGCCGAAACCAGACGCCGCCGTTAAGCTGGAGATGAGGTTCACGAAATGCGAGGACAATCCGATGTATCAGCAAGGCATTTCAAACGACCCCGATCGTATCGGGATCAGAAATTGTTATTTTCCGGTGAGGCAAGGAGGGCATGTGACGCTGTATCAGGACGCACACGTGCCGGATTCAATGCTAGGGGAGATAGAATTGGACGACGGGGTTGTGTTTGAGCACGGCAAGTGTTGGGAGGATATATGCCATGCGATATTGGAGGCACATCACTTGGTGTATATCGTGGGTTGGTCCATTTTTCATAAGGTGAAGCTGGTGAGAGAGCCCACGAAGCCTTTGCCGAGCGGTGGGAATTTGAATTTGGGGGAGCTGCTCAAGTACAAGTCCGAAGAAGGCCTGCGAGTTTTGTTGCTGGTTTGGGATGATAAAACTTCTCACAGCAAATTCTTCATCAACACGGTACCACCACTGTTTCATTGTTTTTAATTTTCTTGACCAATCCATGATAGGAGCATTTTAATTCAAGTTACTAGAAATGATCGAGATTGATTTTGATTAATGGGATGCAGAATGGAGTGATGCAAACTCATGACGAAGAAACACGCAAGTTTTTTAAGCACTCTTCGGTTTCATGCGTGCTGTCACCTCGATATGCCAGCAGTAAGCTTAGCATTTTCAAGCAACAGGCATGCTTTATTAACTCACTTTTTTTGCTATTTCTTTATTTGACCTGCTGAATTAAGTTAGGTGGTTTCAGCCAAACGTCTTTAGCTGCATTTGCTGATTAAATTTGGTCAAACACGTTCTCTGTAGGTTGTTGGAACTCTGTTTACCCATCACCAGAAATGTGTGATTGTGGATACACAAGCATCTGGAAATAATCGAAAGATTACTGCATTCATAGGAGGTCTAGACCTTTGTGATGGCCGCTATGATACTCCCGAGCATCGACTTTTTCGCGACCTTGACACTGTTTTCCAGGATGATTTTCATAATCCTACATTTTCTGTGAGCAGTACATTTACTCGTACTTGTTGTATTGTGTTTATTTTTCATTTCTTTCTGCTCAAGTGCCCCCTAACTGTTTGTGGAAATGCCACCATCATGATATGTGTAGGGAGGAACAAGGGGTCCAAGACAACCGTGGCATGACTTACATTGCAAGATTGAAGGTCCAGCTGCGTACGATGTGCTTACTAATTTTGAGCAGCGTTGGAGAAGAGCCACAAAGTGGTCGGAGTTGGGCCAACGCTTTAAGAAAGTATCTCGTTGGCACGACGACGCTTTGATAAAGTTGGAGCGGATCTCATGGATACTTAGTCCCTCCTCCTCAACTTCCAACGATGATCCCGCCTTACGGGTTTCGCATGAAGATGACCCTCAAAACTGGCATGTTCAGGTATTACTATCTTGCATTTCCTGCGCGCACATGCTTTGGTCTTCAATTTTCTATTATTGCCAATTGGTCCTCATTAGCAGCTGTTTAATTATTTTATATGTATGGAATTGACAGGTCTTTCGATCCATAGATTCTGGATCTCTGAAAGGATTTCCTAAGGATGTTTATGAAGCAGAGGCTCAGGTTGACTATTCTTTCCAACAAATCAACACACACAGAGTGCTTTTAATTAATTATAAACTGACTTCATACTGTCTACTGGCTTGTGTTTACTTCAGAACATATTCTTTTGTTTATTTTTTAAATAATTTTAAACAGAAAATTTGGTAATGTAATCAGTCGATTGTTTGGCATTCTGTTCTACTGCAGAATCTTGTTTGTGCCAAAAATTTGGTAATAGACAAGAGCATCCAAACAGCATACATCGAGGCAATCAGATCTGCCCAACACTTCATATATATTGAGAATCAGTATTTCCTCGGATCATCATATGGATGGCCTACTTACAAAGAAGCAGGTTGTTATATATGATTTTCCAGTACTGAAAACATATATATGGACTTCCTCCAGCACTATGTCATTAACATATATAAGTTTTCGATGATCAGGTGCTGACAATTTAATTCCAATGGAGTTGGCACTAAAGATTGCAAGTAAGATAAAAGCCAATGAGAGATTTGCAGTGTATATCGTCATACCCATGTGGCCAGAGGGTGTGCCCTCTTCTGCTTCTGTGCAAGAAATTCTCTTTTGGCAGGTAATTAAATCGCAAGAAAAGCCTTTGTCATTTATATACTGGATCATCTTATCACTTATCATTGCCTTGTTTGATTTTTTTCAGGGACAAACAATGCAAATGATGTATGAAATCATAGCAAAAGAGCTGAAATCCATGAACCTTGAGAATGTTCATCCACACGACTATTTAAATTTCTACTGTCTTGGTAACCGGGAGAAGATACCGGACACAGTGTCCTGTGCAGTTAACAAAACTTCTGGAAATGGAGAATATCACACGGTAATTATACAGAGCTACATATTAAACTTTTATTTTCTGTCACTCAAGCCATGAATATATGCATATGATAGCATACAAACCTGTGGAATGCGTTTTCAGGTTTCGGCCTCCCAAAAGTTTCAACGGTTTATGATTTATGTGCATGCCAAGGGAATGGTTGTAGATGATGAGTACGTGATCATAGGGTCTGCAAATATAAACCAACGATCCATGGCTGGTTCTAGGGACACCGAGATAGCCATGGGTGCATATCAACCGCATCACACGTGGGGCAAGAAGAAGCGGCATCCTCGTGGCCAGGTATTGCATTCTTAATTTATTGTAGTACATTGCACAATGTAATGTACATTGTGGGCAGAACACTTTTGGGAGTTAATGGAGGGTGTTAATTTGTTGTTGATATGTTTTGATGATCAGGTATATGGGTATAGAATGTCACTGTGGGCAGAACACTTGGGGATGGTGGATAGTTGCTTCAAGGAGGCTGGAAGTTTGGAGTGTGTGAAGCGAGTGAACTCGATTGCGGAAGAGAATTGGACGAAGTTTGTGGGAGATGAGTTTGCAGCATTACAAGGGCATCTCATTAAATACCCAGTTGAGGTAGATGTCAATGGGAAGGTAGGTGCTTTGCCTGGACGAGAGAGTTTCCCTGATGTTGGCGGTAAGATCCTTGGAACCCGTACCACTCTTCCTGATGCACTCACTACTTAATAACCTTACCAATTAGGCAGGCTGGCTGGCCGGGTCCTCCAATTTTCTCACTCGTTTATAATTTCCACATGACAATTCTCTCACTTGTTTATAAAACACAAGGAGGTTCTGCTTGTAATTTAACAACAGGGGTGGGGGGGAGTACAAGGCAGCAGGCAGGCACCCCCTTCTTTCAATCAATTTAGGATTAGCTTGTAATTTATTACATGGAATAGTATATAGTCTCTTACTTTTTTACTTTTTTTTGGGTTTACACGCCTAATCGTATTCGTATGTTAGCTACATCAGAATGCGGAAACAGAGGTTTTAGCTAATCATCTGTATTTTTAACGTGCTTCAAATGACAAAATACTCAAATCTACAACTTCAAACACAGAAAGGCGCGCAATATATAATATTACATGGTCATCACACCTCAAACATTCTCTCATCTCATGTGAATGAATACACTGATTGTGAAAGCTCGATCTACTAATACCTCCCAAAAAAGGAAGTTTTAGAAGCGGGGAAGAAATGAACAAGTTGAATTAATAATTAGTTAACGGTGACTTTGCCGACCATGCCGGCTCCCTGGTGAGGAGCACAGTAGAAAGCATAGTCACCTTTCTCAGTCAAGGTGATGGCGTATGTCTCCCCTGGGGCATTGAGGAGGTCCTCCTCGCTCATGGAGATCTTTCCAGCATCCACACCGCTGGGAATCCCGTCCTCGTCGAACACAATGTTGTGTGGGAATCCAGCATTGTTCTTGAACACAATCTTCTCTCCTGGGCTGACTGAGAAACTGTTGGGGACGAAAGCCAAGGAACCGTCATCGCCGCCGAGCAACACCTCAACGGCCAAGGCATTGCTTGCCAAGATTGCACTTGCTGCAGTGGCTGCTACGGCCACGCCCACATCCTTAAGTGAGGACTTGATGGCACACATCCTCGGGGAGGTTGCAACCTTAACGGCGGCGCTGCTCACCTTGGATGCACCGGTGGACTTGAGGCCGGTGAATGATGGGATTGCAACGGCGGCGGGGGTGACAGTGGCCATTGTAATTGGGATTGTTGAAATGGAAATAATGTGTTCTAGCAAGCAGGTCGCCTTGAGTGTTGAAACTTGAAGGGGATGATCAAAAGGAGAAGATAGGAAGGGTGTGTTTTAATAGAGGGGGTGCGAGGGTTGGGTTGCTTTGCTCATCTTATGTGTGGTTTGTGTTGGTTCGTTCGTGGATGGACAATAGGGGTCGGTGATTGGATAATAAGCTCTGAATGAGTGGCAGTGGGGATGAGGTAGAGACAAGGGTTTATCTCTTATGCTGGTGAGCATGGGTCTTATTGGCTGGCTGAGATGCTATCCTCTGACGTGGCTTTGGATTTAGTGGTGTGAGGTGGAGAGTGCGATCCAGAGCTACAGGTTACATAGCATGTCAAAATAGTGGGGGAAAAAAAGGGATAAGTTTTGCAGTAGTAAGAGGAGGAGGACAAACTATCATCTTTCTACGGTGAGGGCTTATTATATCTTAATTATTTAATCAAATTAATTAGCCTAATACAATGATTAAGAACAAGTATATAATGCGCTCACTATAGAATGACTTGATCTGATTATGAACGAGTGGACTATTTCGCAGGTGGGTTAATTTGTTCGATTTATTTATGGGTTTCGGGCTTTGGGCTTTGGGCTTTGGGATGAGGAGCATAAGTCTGTTGGCGAAATACGGACAACAAATTTAAAGCCTGCGCTTAAACTCGACACACAGATGGGGGGTGTATGTATTCAAAGTTCAAACAAAATTATAACTTATGAATGGTGAATGGTGAATGGTGAATGGCGTGAAGGAAGCTGAACTTGGTAGCTAGAGAATAGAGATGAATTGGTTGCGAGACAGAAATTAAAATCAGCCGACAGTATTATGTAGCAATAAATAAGTGCTATAGGAAAGGAGGAGGAGGGAGACCCACTTGTTTTAATTAAAGATTGACCAACGCTCCCTACTCCCACATTTACTCTTCTAACTAATTTTTCTTTTTTTCTTAGAGCATCTGCAACGACAGAGATCAATACAATTTTAATACAACAATTAATGCCTTATGTTGTTGTTAATACGACAATTAATGCATTATGTTGTTGTTAAGAACATATGCAATGGTTATTTAATAAAAAAACATCAATTAAATTCTTTTTCTTCAACTATATTCAAAATTGGTCTATTTTTAAAGATCTCTTTGAGAATAATACAATTCTACAATTTTTAGTCTTATTATATTGATCTCTTTTATTTTATTTAAGTATGTAAAAAAACGTGTAAGTAGATATAACTATCGATTTGAAGCTATTAAATTGTACAATTGTAAGTAAAACTACTGTTCAATTCAATATAGATACCAAAAAAGATCAATTTATTGAACTATTGTATTGAATTATTAAATAACAACCATTGCAGATGCTCTTATCTGGTCACGGGAAAGCATATTCCATTCACTATTCCTTCCCTATCCGATTGAGAGGAGAGAATCCTAACCTAATTTTTTATGCAGAATAAATACTCTCATTATTTACGTTAATGGGTGGGACGTTATACAGTGAACGTATTTAATAAGTCACTTCTGCCAAGACGATAGTATCCAGTTGTAGTTAATACTCCAATTAAGGACACAACTCAGACTTTTTCATTTTTTTGGTCGGATTGAAACTTTAGTTAAACCCACAAAACAAACACACTGAATCTTCATGCAAAACATAGGAAGAATGATACATAGAAATCCTTCTTAACTAATAATTTCGCACCCAAGTGTGAAGTACTGTCACACACATGATCGGCTCTGTGCAAAGTAATATTAATGTGGTAGGTCGGTCGTAGAATCAACATCAAATGAATGAACTGTGCACATTCTGAGTTGTGTACAGTTACACGGATAATGGCCCAAACTTCATTATTCAAAAGTCTTTTTTAGACAACCTCGACGGAACGAGGAAATCAAATAAAATTCCATTTTAATTATTTAGAAAAAGAAATATATTAAAACAAAAATCTGTAAAAAAACAGAAGGAAAAAAAAAAGGCAAAAGGAAAAATTAAAAGCAGAAACGGAAAGATATATAGGAGATGATGAGAAGAAAATCTTACCACAGCGGGGGGAGGGTAGCTTGGTTGTAAAAAGCGTAGAGGAAGACGGACGTAGGCGTGAGAGAAAGAAATGAAAGAGCACTGAGATATTGGCACGGCTCAATCAAATTCAGAAGGGAATTCATCTTCTCTGAGTGAACCGGGCCAACATCGCAGTAACTATTTCAATCAACTGGAGCCAACATTACACTCTTATATATACGATATATGCATGCAGCCTGTGTTTTTCGTTCTTGTACGTACGTTGTATATATAAATATATATGTATGTGCCTAGAAAATTAGCAATTAGCTAAACAAGAAAGAAAGACGAAGGAGAGTATGATTAAAAAGAGTGAGAAAAAGAGGGGAAGAAAGCTATAGCAGTGAGAAAAAATGGGAATGTCATGGATCAATATTTAAGGAAGGAGTGAGTAAAAGAGGGGCATTGCAGGGTGCTGGTGGTGCATTAAAAACACGTAGCTACCACCAAAACCCTTGGGCCAAGGACCATAGCATTGAATACATACCAGCCAACGCCCCAACCCCATAATATTCTCCGCTATCTCTCTCTCTCTCTCTCTCTCTCTCTCTCTCTCTCTAGCTAATATCGATCGGCAGAACTACAGGCAGGCCCTCTACCATTAATAAGGGAATCTCGCGTTGGGGTGCATGATTCCTCTCATTAACAAAGCAAAGGCAGAGGCAGAGGCAGAGGCACAGTCTTGGTCTGCAGAGGAAGCATTAATAAAAGGGGATCAAATTTATAATATGAATATAACGCCTTCCCCCCCCTCCCCCACACAAGTCACAAGTTCACAACTCACAAGGAGAGCCATGCATGTAGTAAATATATAACGCTTGCTCTCTGCATTTTAGTTACTACTCGTGGAAGGAATCTCATCTGTCATCACATTGACAACGACGATGACGATGTATATGCCATTTTTTGTCTGTTAATTGGTTTCTTTATTATACTAGTTGATGAAATTCAGTTGAGTTGACTGGGTCAACATAGATGAGATGATGAATCACCGTTGACTGAGTCATCCAAAGTTTTTTTTTTCCCTTAATGAACGGTACGGCCCAACTTGAAAGAAGAAACTAGCCCAACATTTTGTTTAAGGTAAGGTAGGCCCAATGTATGTTTCCTTTGTTTTGTTTTAAACATTGGGTGCAGTACTGTATATATATTAGCCCACTTTATATATAATAAAATGTGCCATTTGATAAATACAGAAAATTAGATTATAATATTAATATTAATGAATGGGTCTTATAGTTATCCAAAATTCAATCCAATATGCAATTGTTCGGAGTCTGGAGACATATAATATACATTTGAAGCACAAAAGCGTGGGTGTTGCCTCAGTTTCAGTGGCAGTGGCAGTGGCAGTGGGAGTGGTCATCATTTATCACCACAGCACATCACATGCATACATATATTCTCTCTCCCTCTCTCCCTCTCTCCCATTAATCCATTCATTCCTATAATATTTTATAGTCATTAACAAACAGGATAGGATAAAATCATACATGCACACGCGGGGGACGAGACAACATGCTGCATGTATATGTATGTCTTCCATTATTATTATTTAATCGGGAAAACATGTCTTTTTTTCGTTTTTCCTCCCAAACTTGCCTACACACATGAATATTCACAAGTCAACAATGCATCATACATATATAATACAAAAATGAACAGGGCAACTGCATTCAGTTCAAAGAAGATTCGAACCATGGGCATTTTTGGCATCCAAATAGGCGATTGGGTCAGATTCCACAAACATATATTATATATAATATAGGTGATGGATCAAAAACAAATGAGATAATCCAGCACACAGCTGATTGGGTAGGAGGGGAGAGGCGGGTCCCCGTGGTGATGCGATCAACGAATTAATAAGTTGGAGGATGAATATTTAATTTATATACAACACATAATTTAGTTGTTAATGGATTATCGTTAAATTTGTTTAATGGACGAATCCAATCAGGATAATAGCAGCAGGCAGTGATTCAGTGAGTGGTGATATAAGCAAAGCAAAGCAGGGAAAAGCCAGAAGAATGCACGTCAACATCAACGCAAACTTGTGGGGGTGCGCATTACGCCTCTCTCTCTCTCTCTCTCTCTCTCTTAATCTCTATTAAGAGAAGAGAATCACATAGACGGACAAACAGACGGTGAAGTGAAGAGGAGAAATGGGCTAAATCTCAAAATCGGTAGCCATTTCTATTTCTTTTCGTACACGCAAGGACGCTCAATAATCCACTGTCGTTTCGTTCCTCTAGTGTACAAGTATTAACCAGGTCCAGGGACCAACAAGGTTTGCTTGCTTAATCGGATTCGGAACCGCACCGTTTGGACTTTGATCATACTCTTTATGTGCGTGCTAGCTCTGGATGGTCGGTGAATCATGGAAGACACCGAGAGTTGCTGTAGCAGGCCCGTCGATTTCTCCCCCACTCTCACCCGAAAGCAGAAGCTCAAAGTCAATATCTACAATGAAGTTCTCCGTCGACTTATGAGCTCAGATGTCGCAGACGCCAAAGTTGCTGGTTTCGAAGATGAACTCTGGGCTCATTTTAATCGCCTCCCCACTAGGTACGTACCTCCGAACCCTAGCCTGCTCTCTCTCTCTGTCTCTCTCTGTATTTATGTATGTATGTAATCGGTGGATGGAATTTCAAGTGCCTACTTACTATCGCGTTTATTATTTATTCTCTCTCTCTCTCTCTCTCTCTCTCTCTCTCTCTCTCTCTCTCTCTGTATTTATGTATGTATGTAATCGGTGGATGGAATTTCAAGTGCCTACTTACTCTCGCGTTTATTATTTACTTTCAATTTGTTTCTTGGTAACGGGTCATGCCTCCTTTTTAATTCCCGTGTTTGTTTTTGTTGCATATTCCTTGTTGCCTCTGCTTCATCAGAATCTTTGATTCTCTTTTTATTCTCTGTAAAAATAGATAGATAAAATAAAATATGTCACCGTCGTCACACGACTTTAGTAAAATTAAAAGTCTTTTGAATTGTGCAACCGGAATCTTTGAATTTATATTACACTCCCTATAAATAAATTCGTCTTTCTCTGAGAATGTGTTCTTCTTCATGCTCCATGGGGATGGATGGATTTAAGTTGGCCACAGATTGATTGCTGAGAAAGAGAAAGCCAAAGGTTAAAGGGCAGTGAAAGATACGTTTATTATTATTATTTTGCTCTGTATGTGGACTGCACCGACCCACCTATCCACCCATGACCCACCCACCCACTCAAATACATTATATAGGATAGGTGTCCAAAATTGGTATAATTCGATAATATGTATATATTTTGCTCATGACTCAAAATGGGAAAGTTGTTTCCCTTTCACAATCTTTCTTGTCTTGATCGAAACCAGACTAGTATTACAGAATGGCTTCTTTTGGACTGAAACTCTCTGTCTTTTTTTCCTTTTTGGGTTCTATATGACTTAATGTTGTCTCCGATTTGATGAAATGAGTGCTAGTACATTTACATTAATATGCATTATAAGCTCCGATTTGAACGGTTGCTTGCACTGCGTAATTACATTTGTTGACCTGATTATCTCTTTGAATTGAAGGTATGCGTTGGATGTGAATGTGGAGAGGGCACAAGATGTTCTCATGCATAAAAGGTTACTCCTTATGGCACATGACCCTGCCACTAGACCTGCAGTTGAAGTCCGTCTTGTGCAGGTAATTTATACACGAACATACAAATGTATGGAAACAGTTGAATTTTTTTATTTATACTCAAATTCAGTTATTTTCCTACAATGGTCTGGGGATTTCTCTTTTTGTATCGATACAACTCTGTTCTGTGTTGTTTGATTCGTCTTAATTAGTTGTTCGGTCATCTGTCCTGTCCACTTATTGCTTTCTTAATGCATCTGTGCAATTTATCTCTTATGCAGGTTCATTCTGCTTCTGGTTCAAACTTATTGAGGAAAGCGGATGCTCAATGTTCTGCTTATGCTAGCAAACAGAGGCATGGTTAAATGATTATCTATCTGGATTTCTTTTCTTTATTGAAAACATTTGCTCTTTATATCTCTCATATGCTACCCTCTTTGCATTTCTTATATATCCAGCCATCCACCACCAGCTTTTGGTTTGTCACCAGACCTTGAACTTGCTCTTGAAGCCGAGCAGTTACACGTTCACCATGGGAATAACACTGTGAGCACCAGTCAACTTTATACACGGTAAGTAGGTTTGAAATACATCTTTTATGATTTTGATCTTTTGTCTCTAGTTCTGTATTTATTTTCATTTTAACGCTTAATCAACTGTTCATGTTAGTAGGTTAGATTTCATGGTTTCATATCTAATTAACTTTGCTATAATTTTCCATTGTTCTTATCTAATTAACTTTGCATATACTTCAAAATTTGTAGGCCAATGCATGAAATTACTATTTCAACTAATGACAAGCCCAAACTCCTCAGTGAGGTATTCTTTTTTCCATTTTTTTTAAAACTGCTGTCTAAAATAGCTATTTTGCCATGTCAATCAATATAATGTGGTTTTTAATTGACATCATCTTTCTTGATAACTCTTAATGACGTACTGTTGTTAATATTTTAAGCTTAGGGGGATCTGGATTTATTTTTTTATAATTTAATTTTTTTTTTTTTTTTTTTTTTTTTTTTTTTTTTTGGGGGTGTGTTGCATATGTCTGCTTAGAAAAGAGATACGTTTTGCATAGTACACGATTCACTTGTAGTTTTGACATAAGAAAGGCATCTAACTTCATATTTGAAATTCCGACAAATGGTGAGGTTGAAATGCACGTGTTTTACGATGCTTATGATATAATGTTATGGAGCTAGAAAATAGTCAGGGGAGGCCATATATTCTATACAGGAAATTTGAGGGGGCCTGGTTCGCCCTCCCTCTACCCAGTATTGTTATGCTTAAAGACTTCCTCAAAGTGTATGGTCACCCTGATTCTTGACCTTTTCAGTGGGTCTGGGAGGCTTGTGACTGTCTTGAATGCTTTGACCCTGCATATTAAACCCACTCTGGCTATCAATGGGACGAAACCTGTTTGGTCAGTTTTGGTGGGTGATTTGTTGAGATTGAAGTGAATGGTGGACGAACACTACTTGATAAAGAAAAACGAAAAGAAAAGAACTGGCTGTATCACTAGAGGTTGATCTATTCTCTATTTTATTTGGCACTCCTCCCCCATCCTCTTCTAAATCTTGTGTCATACCATACATTAGCTTCAAGGGGGTCTCATCTTTATATTTTTCGTAAGACTTGGTTGTTGCAGAATTACAAGTTCAGATACATACTATGTCGTCTCTTGTATCGCTACTTGACTCAGACTTTCATATGTAGCATATCAGTTTAATCAGCAGTAGATAAATTTGATATTTGTCTGCAGATTGTTTAAATTTTGGAGATGTTATCTGTAATAGTATTATACGTATTTCTTTTAGAACAAGGATATTTTGTGTATTTAATCATTGTTTCTCATTACTGTTACAATCGTATGTTTTGCATCAGTTGACATCCTTATTATCTGATATTGGACTGAACATTCGAGAAGCACATGCTTTTTCCACAACAGATGGCTACTCTTTGGATGTCTTTGTTGTTGATGGTTGGGCATGTGAGGTATTTGCCTTGTTCGTATTCTGGTACAAAACCGTAATGGGTCACTTTGCTTAAGGGGAAATATCTAATTGTAGTATGAGATGGGTTATTTTTATTTCAATGTTGCAGAAAACTGAGCGGCTTAGACATGCACTGGCCAAAGAAATACCATGGAGTGAGGTAGGTCCCTTTTAATGCTTACTTTTTATTATTTATTTTTAAATTTCTCTCACTGATACAATTTTCAAACATATGTTTACTTTTACAAGGGAGAGAATTTTTCTTTCCTCATTTTTATTTATTGGCTTCTTGTTGTGCTCATCCTTCAGGAAGTTCATATAAAACCTAGAAACAATTTTTATTTTATTTTGGGGTTTTCTTTTCTGGCTTTTAACTGAGGTTCCATCGTCGAATGTTCACTTCCATTAACTTAATTGTAGTTTAATTTAAAACTATGTACTTTATAGCTCTGCCATCTAGTCCAATGCAGCATCAGTAACTATTTCCATATTGTCATGAAAGGTTAATGAAACTATTGTGTTCTGATAAGTTTAAGCATTATGCTTTAGCTAACAATTTGGTTATGGAGACAAGTTTCATGACTGCCATCTTAAGGGGCCAGAAAAGCAAAAGCAAAAAGTTATCTTTCCATCTTGCCTTTCAAGAATTTGGCTCACGAGATATGGTCCTAAGATTTGTGATTTAGCTGTGGAAAATGCTCATTTATGTTCCTATGGTAGCACTCACCAGTCTATAAGGACTTATTTTTGTTTTTGTCTCAAGGTGAGAAATGTATTCTAGTAAGTTTAATGCCTTCAGTTTTGCTTAGTATATTTTGATGTTTCTGTCTATGCCTTGGCTGGTTCTTGTTTTCATGTTCAGCATTTTCCCTGGTGATTATGTATTTCCAAGATCTAGGTAGTTATTGCGTGTCTTCTTTTATTGTTTTTATTTTCTATATACCAAATACCAATGCATATGAAATGATTGTTGCTAATACTTGTAAACATGCACAATATCTGCAGTCTCTCATTATTTTGTCTGTGTTGCAGAAGAATCCTTGCTCGGATTATAATGTTATTTCCCCTATTCCAGAGCAAGAGACTGGAATGATGTTTACTAATGGTCATGTAAGCTCACTCAATAAGGAAAAAGATATATGGGAAATTGATGCAACCCTGTTGAGATATGAAAAGAAAATTGCATCTGGATTGTATGGTGATCTGTAAGTCCTGTCATAATTTTAGGGCATGTTTACTTGGTATATGAGTACTTGTTAATAGCTAAGTTGATTGACCCAGGTTTCAAGGTAGTTTCTGTGGTCAAGCTGTGGCTATTAAAGTTCTTAGTATGGAGCACCTGAATGAAACTATGAGGGAGTTTACTCAAGAAGTCTATATCATGAGGTCGGTAATACATTTACCCTTTATACACTGAGCAAATATGCATCCTTTGTGATCTTTATGGCAGAAAGGCCGCTCTCAGCAGCCTGTTTCATCCATTTGATCTTGCAGTTCTCAAACTTGTATCATCCTTGCAGAAAAGTTCGGCACAAAAATGTTGTTCAATTAATTGGAGCATGCACTAAACCTCCTATGCTTTGCATCGTTACTGGTAATTTCAAATGACTTCTGTGCACATTCTGTGCCATGCTTTGTATTTGATGTATTTGTATTTGTTTATTACCAACACACGGTTTTCGGTTCAATCCAAGTTCTGCTCTTTTATATTTCTTTTCCCTTCTCAGAGTTTCTGTCTGGTGGAAGTATGTACGACTTTGTGCATAAGCAAACGGGTGCTTTATCACTTCAGTCCTTGCTCAGAGTCGCAATTGATGTTTCCAGGGGAATGAACTACTTGCACCAAAATAATATAATCCATAGGGACTTGAAAGCTGCTAATCTTTTGATGGATGACAATGGGGTAAGATCCTTTGTATCTCTTAATTATGTAATGTAATCAGGTTTTCTTGTTACACCCCAAAGAAAAAGGAGAGAAGGTTAAATCTAATCACCTCTGACCAAATTGGATGAGGCAAGCAATCTCATTATGTCAGGGCATTGCATCATTAAACTTTCATAACCTTGCATAAGCAAAGGGGTGCTTTATTATTGCAATTGTATTAGTTGTCCCTTCTTTTTGAATAGCTCGCCTTTATCCTTTAAATTTATATACTTTTATTTATTATACTTTTCTCAAAATTAAAGGGAGGCATGGGCAGGCGTGTGCATTCTTGTCCTTGTTTCATATTGCTCCTTCTTGATAGGAGGTTATCAGGTTCTTCCAAGGCTGTACATAGTTTTAACATGGCAATCTGAATTTCATCATTTTTTTATAAAAAGAAGTTCAAAATACTTGTTTGACAGGTTGTGAAGGTTGCTGATTTCGGCATCGCTAGAGTACAGGCACAATCTGGCGTTATGACTGCAGAAACTGGCACTTATCGTTGGATGGCTCCAGAGGTCTGTGTTTTGTAGTTATTTATTCACGGGTATTAAGTATTAACCATTTCATTTGCTTATTGGAATTAAGCAAATGGACAACAAATTCCCGGCCAGATAACGTTTAGTTCTTTAAATCTTGCATATGTTAGTCATTAAGGAAATTATTGTACCTGAATATTACCCGTGAAGATGTTTTACAAGGAAGGAACTACAACAAATTATCATATTGTGTATTTGTTATGGTTATGGAAGATTTTATTGATCACACTAGTAGCTTGATGAATTTCTTGGCTTTTGATGATGGTTATTATGTCTATGCTTATTCCTTTCTAGTGTCTAACACATGATTGCTTGGTGTTGATGAAGGTTATAGAGCATAAACCGTATGATCACAAAGCTGATGTGTTTAGCTTTGGGGTTGTTCTCTGGGAACTGCTTACAGGAAAGGTAATCTCTTTTATACTAGAAAATAGATGGGTGGATTTTTCTTCTCCTGAAGAAAAATGCTACGTTCAAATCAATGCTTTTGTTTATCTTTAAAACTAGTTCATGGTTGCACAGACTTCACACCATCATCTGTCTATGTTTTGTGACTGAAATGTCAGCTTCCCTATGAGAACTTAACTCCGTTACAAGCAGCAGTTGGCGTAGTCCAGAAGGTATTTCTTTTACTTTCCCAGCAATATAAGCCTGCCTCAATATTTTTCTATCTTATTTATTCCTGATGGGAGTTCATATCCAGGATCCCTGAGTTGTTTGAAAATGGCTTCAGGTAGGTGATCCCAATTAGTGGAGTTGACTTTCCTTTTCCTGATGAGAAGTTGTCCTACCTATTAAGTAGCTGGTAGCCTGGTAAAAGTTGTTTGCCATGAAAGATAAGCTAGCTATGTGTAAAATAGGGGGTATTATCTGAAGATCCGAATGATTTATTAATGCCCAACCATGCGAGCGAGCTGGGCATGCATGCCTTGATAACTTTTAATGAATAAGGTCACAAAACTAGAAGTGAAGTCTATTAATTGAGTGCTGTTGGGGCATGAATTTCAGGGTCTGAGGCCTACAATTCCAAGGCACACTAATCCAATGTTGATGGAATTGATGGAGAGATGCTGGCAGCAAGAGCCATCATTGAGACCTGAATTCTCAGAAATTGTGAAGATGCTGCGGCACATAGCCAGGAGGGTACGAGAAAAGATCCAACACTAACACTAGCTAGTCTTTATTTATTGCTTGGTTCCAGTATGCAATTTTGAAAAGTTTGAACCGAAGTTTTGATACAGGTTGCAAATGGAAGCGAGGATAGACGAAAGGGAAAATCGGCTAAAGTAGTTCCCACGTTCAAGCAAGACAGCGAATGAGGTTTCTGTTTATAAATTAATACGTGTGTAATACAGTGTCTAATGATCATTGATCAATCAAACTCTTCACAAGTCATTTCTTTCCCTCGCTCAACATTATATGCTCCGATGGGTTAATCTAAGTAATGATTGAGACTCTTGTGCTGATTCATTGCATTTTGTTTATCATCATCATACATTAAATATTCATTTAACTTCAACCCGGACTTATAAAGGGGATGACGTGTTACTGTTATATTATAGATTAACAAATAATGAAAATTGGGCAAAATCGGATTCAAGTGACGGTGGGGTTAAGATGTTTTCTTCTTTTAGTCCTTCCTCATAGAAAAAAACAAACGAAAAATGGATTCAACTTCAACCGATGGACAAAGATTATTCCCCGTCATAGATAATAGCACGCAAAAATATATTATTCCCAAATGATTTTTACGCTAAAACCGGGTGCCGGGAATCCGATGCATTGCTCCTCCTTTTCATCTCGTGTCTTTATTTTATTTTTTTGTTTGTATAAAAATAATCTTCGATAAAAAAAAACTAAGACATGGACAACCAAACAATATTTCACAATTTTATTTCTTCGTTGGCCGATTATTTTGAACTTGGGAATGTTTTAGTAAGTAATTAAATATGCTGTTCCGATGAGTCATGCCTCCATTTCAAAATTGATGACAGAGATGTAACCAACCAGATGAGGACTTTTCATCCCCAAAAAGAAAAAGTGCACCCACCCTTTTGGCTTTGGGCATAATTTACATTCCTGAAAACCACCGCGCATTCGCGAATGGTGGTGATAACACTGTAGTTTCGGTGCTTTTTTTTCCTTTTTTTCTTTTTATGAGGCAAGCATTCCCCACTTGTTCTTGCACTGCAGTTCCTTAGTTGGAATTTTTCAGAAGGTCCTTTGTTTTCAACTACACTATAAGTTGCTGGCGGAACCTCAAGCATCAACAAGAAAGAAGAAGAGGACTGTCAAATGGCCCAGAGGGAAGGACAAGTAGTAGTGAAGATCGACAATTGCGGTGCTTCTTGTAGCAAAGAAACAACAAAGATCAACGGAGAAGCAAGTCCAACGACAACAACAGTTGGTGGCTCACCAGAAAAGCCCACTGAATCTTTTCGACGAAGAAGCAAAGAGTTGCCACTGACAGACGCTCCCTCCAACTCGGGCGGAGCTGAGGTTCTGAGATGCAGTTCCAACGCTTCCTTTTCTCGGAACTCGTGGAAGCCACCAATGAGCAAGACCAAGTCCAGGCTTCTTGACCCACCTGAGGAATCCTGCCTAAAATCAGACAGAGTGGCGGGTTCTGGACGAGCGCTTGGAAAAAATGACGATAATGCTTTGGATGACGCCGACATTGAAGACATTCCAGAAGAGTATAAGAGGATCAAGTTCAGCGCACTCACATTGCTTCAGTGGGTGAGTCTTGTTTTTGTTATAGCAGCCTTAGTTTGTAACCTTTGGATTCCAATTATAAAGAGACAAACACTGTGGGATCTTCCACTGTGGAAATGGGAATTATTGGTTTTGGCCTTAATTTGTGGACGTTTGGTTTCGGGTTGGGGAATTCGGGTGGTTGTGTTCTTTGTAGAGCGCAATTTTCTCTTGCGAAAACGGGTTCTGTATTTTGTTTATGGCTTAAGAAAGTCTGTCCAGAATTGTCTCTGGTTGGGTTTGGTTTTGGTTGTGTGGCACTTCATTTTTGATAAGAAGGTTGAGGAGAAGACCCAGAGTAGGATCTTACCTTATGTAACCAAGGTTTTGATTTGTTTTCTGGTTGGTACCTTGATATGGCTTCTGAAAACAATACTTGTTAAGGTCCTTGCCTTGTCTTTCCATGTCAATGCCTTTTTCGAACGAATTCAGGAGGCCTTATTCAATCAGTATGTCATTGAGACGCTTTCTGGTCCCCCTCTGTTTGAAAGGAAACATACAGAAGAAGAGGAAAAGGTTGCCGCTGAGATTCGGGAATTTCAGAATGCTGGGGCTACTATGCCTCGTGAGCTCAGGGCAAGTCTTCTTCAAAGGGCAAGGAGTGGGAGAGTTATAGGGAGTGGACGCCAAAATAGCCCCAGAGTAGGGAAGAGTCCTAGGGTTTCTAGGCCAACGTCTGGGAGCCAAGATGAGGAGATCCCGGTTGACCACTTACAGAAGCTAAATCAGAAGAATGTATCAGCTTGGAATATGAGGAGAATGGTGAATATCATCCGGCATGGGTCCTTAACCACTCTAGATGAACAGATACTTAACTCTGATATTGAGGACGACTCTTCTTTGGAGATTAAAACTGAATGCCAAGCAAAAGAGGCAGCCAAGAAAATATTCCTCAAAGTAGCCAAGCCAGGGTCCTCGTAAGTTTGCATGATTTCTTTTTCCATTTGATATTGATTTGATTTGATTTGATCCTCATCTGTACGTAAGCTATGTTTAATTACACACTTAATGGTTTGATTATACAGTACTTTATTCTGTATTTTAGTGTTATTTCTGTGCAGCAACTTGATTACCTGCTCAGACTGAAAACTCAATGCCTTCTTTATAAACAACACAGGCATATAGGGAAGTAGTCTATGAGACTTACCGTCAACATGTTGTGATAATGCATTTTGTTGTAACAGATACATTTACCTTGAGGATTTGATGCCATTTATGCATAAGGATGAAGCTTTGAAGACAATTCATCTCTTTGGTGCAGCAAATGAAAGTGATAGAATCAGCAAGTCCGCTCTTAGAGATTGGGTGGTAATAATGCATTTCAACACTTTTACCTTTGTTCTTGTTTGTTCTTGCTATTAATCAGCAATTAAAATCTATGCCTGTCCAAATCTTGGAGAAGCAAAAGAGGTAATCTCTGCTTTCTGTCATCGATGAACCATAAATTGAACAAAGGATGTGTTTTTCTCTTTTCGTTTAGGTCAGTGCATTTAGAGAAAGAAGAGCACTAGCATTGTCTCTGAACGATACAAAAACAGCTGTGGACGAACTCCACAACATTTTAAACATCATTGTAGCTGTCATCATTGTGATAATCTGGCTTATTATACTTGGGATTCCAGTCACCCACTTCCTTCTCCTCATAAGCTCCCAGCTTCTTCTGGTTGTATTTATATTTGGGAACACGTGCAAGACAGTATTCGAAGCAATCATATTTCTATTTGTAATGCACCCATTTGATGTGGGGGATCGTTGTGAAGTGGAAGGGGTCCAGGTGAAAATTTGAATCTGAAGTTATGTTTAATGCGTATTATCTTATTGTTTATAATTACTTGATGTTCTTTACGTTCTCAGATGGTAGTTGAAGAGATGAATATATTAACTACAGTCTTTCTGAAGTTTGATCACCAGAAGATCATATACCCCAACAGTATTCTTGCTACCAAGCCAATTGCTAATTATCATCGTAGTCCTGACATGGGAGATGCTGTTGATTTCTGCGTTCATATCTCAACTCCTTTGGAGAAGCTGGCCATTATGAAAGAAAGAATACAGGGGTATGAATTGGAATGGACCCATCTTTTTTAATTTACAATTCCTTCTAATGATAGTTTTACATTTGGAAACAACACATCCATTTAGAAAACATTTGGTGCATAAATTATTTTCCATTAGAGAAAGGCATGTGACTTGCTGTCGGGTTATGTTTTGAAATGATATCTTCACTGTCTTGATTTGGGCTGTGGCTGCTTAAAATGCTATGCAGGTATATTGAAAGCAGGAGCGACCACTGGTACACGGCTCCCATGTTGATCATGAGGGATGTGGAGGATTTGAACAAACTGAAGATATCAGTATGGCCTACACACAAGATGAACCATCAGGACATGCTGGGGAGATGGACTAGGAGAAGTCTTTTGATTGAGGCGATGATCCAAGTGTTCAGAGAGCTCGATATTGAGTATCGCTTACTGCCTCTCGATGTCAATGTCCGAAACATGCCGAGTTTAACCTCCAACAAGCTTCCTTCAAATTGGACAACTTGTGTCCCTCCAGTGCTACCAGCAAATTAATTAATAGTCTTCAAGTACGCTATTTTTTGCCACTAAGATACCTGCAGCACTGGAAAGCTTGTAGTTTCAGCCTAACTTCTAGATTATAGATTATGGATAAAGTTCCATTATGTATGTATGTATGCACCAAACTACAAATCCATCGCCGACGGTATTGAGCATATAATATTGAGACAAGCTTAGCCTTAAACACACAAATCTACTGTTGAATATTGTTGACAACACACATGGATGGATGTCGTATAATTTACGCAAACAAACAGTTGGCCAAGAAACAGGAAGGAAAATTCATACTAGATTGAATAAATAAATAAAAACAGCACAAAGGCCCAACAAGAAGAACAAAACCCAAAATCCAGAAACCACACTTACTGGGCCAACAGTCAACAAAAACAGCACAAGAAAAAGCCCCCTCTTTTCTTTTTGGGTTGGCCTTTATATTGGGCTCCTTAGCCAATGCTGCCAAAACATTTTCTCCGCCGCGATCTCTCTCTCTCTCTCTCACTCCCAGCCGGCCCCTCTCTCGTCTCACAGAACAGAAGCAACTTGCCACCGCCGCTTCAAATCTCACCATTTCTACTCTCTGTTGGTCATCAGTTAGGTGATTAGAATACTCTCTCTTTCTCTTTCATCTGGCTGTTAGTTATTGCTTGTTAGGGTTTGGAAGTTTATCTAATGGGACCCTGCTTGTGTTCTGATCTTCACTGATTCGAAGCTGTCGATTGTTTGTAAATTTTGACCCTCTTTTTCCTTTATAATAAACTAAACTCCTCTGAAAACCTCTCTCCAATGTCAGAGTCCAAAAGAATGGAAGAGAAGGATACAACAAGCCCTAAGACAACGCAAGAGCTAGCAATGGAAGGCCAGAAGCATCTAGAAGAAACCATAGAGGCAGCTTTCCAGATCCTCTCCTCCATGAACGACGAGCTCTGCAACCCCACATTGTGGTCCACCACTTCCTCTTTTTCAGCTGCTACGAACATTGCAAATGGTCCTGCTCCCCACTCAAATGGTGTCAATAATGGCGATTCATCTTCTTCTGAGAACACGTCTACCCATCACGGCGACTTAATTGGTGCTGGTGGTTCTGGCACCGGAGGAGCTCTTGAAGAGGCTCGGCTTCGGTATACGAACTCTGTGCGCTTACTCCGTGCTGTTCTCACTGCGATTCCCAACTCTCAGAAGGTTAATTCAGAAACCCTTTCCTTTAATTTGGTGAATTTACCATAATTCTTGTCTATTAAATAGTCAAATTAGGCACTACCATGATATACACAATGCACAGAGTTTGCAATTTGGGGTACAAATTGTCATTCCTGCTCTAGTTTTGTTTCTTGGTCACCCAATCAATGACATATATCGTGAGAAGATTACACAGCAGTGCAATTGACTTTCCAAAACTTTTTTTTTATGTATTTTTATTTAACCGATGCCAATGATCCAGTACAGCGTGATTTCTTCAACTTCAAGTTCTTATTTATGTGATGGAGGGTTCAGTACAATGTTTATTTTATAAAATAAATAAATAAACGAAACCCTTGATTGATTTACTCGCACTATTGAACTCGAAGAGTAAGGAATTGTATTAACTTTGTGTATGAAACAGATTGAAATAGAGTAAGGGAGAGGCTTTTTAACCCACTGACTTGAATGAAATGTTTGCTCCATTTTCTAGGAATCTCAAGGTCAGTGAAATGCAGCAAATGCTTCATTACAAAATTTAGAATTATGTGCGTGTATATATGAACATCTATTTGCAGCGATTGTATTTCTGGACCTTATCTCAGATCAACATGTTTGTGAATCTTATTAGCTAACATGCAGTTGTTTTCTTTTTAATAGGCACCATCTGAAACTAGTTCAACTGTAGTCAGTTCAGAATCACCAGCAGGTGAAGCTGAAATTGAGAAGTTAGATGAGCGAGCCTCCAATTTGAGAAAGGTAATGTTGATGATTTTACATATGTAAAGGAGTTGGATTTGTTTGGAGTGTGCGTGTGAATTTGCTTCTAAAGGGGTTGAATATTGAATTTTCTTTGGAGGTGCATGTAAATTGAAACACAATGATAGTACTACCAGATGGATCACCAAAAAGAACAAGTTAAACAATCTTCGTGACAGCTTTTGCTGAAATTATTCGCCTTCCTAGAGGCTCATGTTTTTAATGATACTGAAGTTAAATTTGAGACCTTAATCTTTGAAGAGCTCTATTTGTGTTGTTAGAATATTTCTGTTAAAATATTCTACTGACTGTGTTTTTATTTGTAGGAGCTTGCAAACAAGAATGTGTATATCAAGTTTCTTATAGATCAACTACGAGATCTTATTACTGACATATCAACATGGCAAAGTCCTTGTTCCATCTGATTTCGGAATGGATCTAAAAAATATAGTGCCCTTGCACACTGAAGAACTCTGAAGGTGATTTTGCTTTAGTATTAAGTTTGCACAATCTGTGATATTTATAATTGTTTACCTTTTCCAATCAGTTTGGCGAGGGTTTGGTTATGATTTTCACGGGGGAAAATTTAACGTGGAGAATATTAGATTAGAGATACAGTGGCGAAATTTTGTAAATCTTGAGACATCTGAGGTTAAAGATCAAGTTGTGGAATCAAATTTCCGATATGATTAGTGCCTTCTTTGAATTCTTCTTCCATTGTCATACATTTATTAAAAGTTTGATTTGAATTAAGTATTAAAACTTCCATTGTCATGCTGCATGTATTGTTGTGGAAGCCTGTTACTGGGTACATCAACCCAATTCATCTCATTCACTTCCTCGGAAATAAAAGTAAATGTGACAGGCCTGGCATGGCTCGTGTCTTGTTCCATTAGTCTGTACCTTATTTGGACCTCAGGAGATGTAGAGAACCCAAAATTATGTTTTTAAAGCCCAAACCGAAGTTGGCCCCATGAAATTATGTTTTTTATTAAATTCACGTGTAGTTGGTGGTGGTGGGCGCCCATCAAACCAACTATTTTTAAGCAAGGGATAAAGTGGCAGAGCAGCTCCTCGTGCTTTTGTATGGAGTAAAACCATACAGGAAGGCACTAATTAAAAGCTCCAGAATAGTTCTACTCTATAGAAAGAAAGAATCAAATTCAATCCAATCCAATCCATAGAAAGTGTCATGGCGACTACTCCGGTGAAGGTGTACGGACCACCCATATCAACAGCCGTGTCAAGAGTGTTGGCCTGTCTCCTGGAGAAAGGCGTTGATTATCAGCTCATTTCTGTCAACATGTCCAAAGGCGAGCACAAGAAGCCTGACTATCTCAAGATCCAGGTAGCTATCATTTCCCGCATATCATTGTATTCATTCTCACTTAATATCTACAGAGTCTCGTTTTCATTTTCATTTTCGTGACATGGTTGTAACAGCCGTTTGGACAAGTGCCGGCTTTTCAAGACGAGGACATCTCCCTCTTTGGTATGATTCACCTAACAGTAATACAGTTTGGCAAATCAATTTCCTTTTAATTGTTCAAATAATAATTATGGGTAATTGGATTGTTGTATGCATTTTAATTGTATTATTACTAGTGTAATTTTCAGAATCCAGAGCCATATGCCGGTACATATGTGACAAGTACGCGGATCAGGGAAACAAGGGGTTGTACGGAACGAATCCATTGGCAAAAGCCTCCATAGATCAGTGGCTGGAAGCAGAAGGGCAAAGCTTCAGCCCTCCAAGCTCAATTCTGGTGTTTCAGCTGGCATTCGCACCAAGAATGAAGCTGAAGCAAGACCAGGGAGTGATAAGGCAGAATGAAGAAAAACTGAAGAAGGTGCTTGACGTGTACGAAAATAGGCTCGGGGAGAGCCGGTTCTTGGCCGGAGATGAATTCTCACTGGCCGATCTGTCCCACTTGCCCAACGGCCACTACTTGGTGAATGCCACAGACAGGGGAGAGCTGTTTACTTCTAGAAACAATGTGGGGAGGTGGTGGACTGAGATTTCGACACGAGACTCGTGGGAGAAGGTGGTCGAGATGCAGAAGCCTACTGCAAATTAGATTTTCAGCCTTGCACTTGCTTGCTGCTTCACTTTTGCTATGGCATCGGCTTAACTTAATTCAAGGCTTGAATAAATTATTTATGATGTTTGGAGACTATTTTGGTGTGGTTTCTTTCTGGTGTTTTGTTTTGTTTTTTTTATTTCCCCGTCTTTAACCATTGTTGTCTGGTTTATAAAATAATGTAGTACCATGAGATTCCCCTTCATTTTCACTGGATTCCTTTACTAGTGAGAATTACACACTCAAAAGAAAAAGGGATGCAGTGCAAGTGTGAATTAGAAACTCAAATTCATTATCTTTGATTCCTCCTCAGATCAAATACAAATAGGCGCCTATCCACTTTCCGTGTGTGTGGTGGGAACATGGTCTGCTGCGTGCCCTGTGGTTTCCGCTCGTGATTGTTCTTATTTCTTCATAAAAAATACAAATAGGCAGAAAAATAAAATAATTAATTAGAAACTAGCCTTCTTGCACGCGCTTGAAAGAGGCTTTTTAAAAAAAATTTAAATTTATTTTAGAATTAAAAAAATAATGGTAGTTGTGTTTCATAAAAATAGGATCCATTATCTTATTTTTATTTTATTTTTAATTTTTTTAATATGAAAAATGTGAATTACTATATTATCCTCATTTAATTAATAATTTCAATTATTAACGTTTGCATTAACCAATGACATTTTATGGTATTTTGAATGTTTCACTATTATCTGCTTTATGCTTTATATATAGATAAATACATTGGGCCCAATAAGACACGTGAAATTGGTTGGGTCGCTGATTTAATAGCATCTTTGGGCAAATGAAACCAAAACAAGCCTACCACTTGGAATGGAAGTGGAAGCTAAAATCCATTCGCAGTCCAAGTCCAAGAAAATGGAAATCCAGGTTGGCAGCGAGAGCGCGAGAGACCTAAAAAAACAGATGCAGAGAATGGAGATGATGGAGGAGGAGGAGGGTAATAGGAATAGGAAGGGGGAGGTTAGCGTGGAAGAAGGATATAGAGAAAACAAGATAAAGAAAGCAAGGCTGCAGTCGACGCTGGTTGCCCTTGTGGATGATCCTATACTCTCCGATGTTCCCAAAAACCCAACCTTATCCGATGTCGACACCCTCATCTGCCTCGAATTGGGCAGCGCCATGCGCATCTCTGTCCTCAAGCTGGACGCCACCGCTTTCGGTACTCTTCGAACAATTTCTCAATTCCAATTTTTGTTTCTTTTTATTTGTACATCATAAAATTCCAGAATTCGAAGCTGATTTTGGTTTGATTTCATATGCTGACTGAAGATGTGGCGCTCATGAATTCTGCTACCGTCAAGGACCTTAAAGTTGCAATAAAAAAGAAAATCAACGACATGGAGCAATCCAAGATGGGTCACCGCCACATTTCATGGTACTAGTATGTTTGATCTCAATACTTTCCAAAACACTTGATACACTTGATCTTGTGCTGCTACTTAATAATACTTGTACTTTGTGTCTTCGCAGGAAGCACGTGTGGGGGAATTTTTGCCTCTCATACCATAATGACAAGCTACTTGATGACAATGCTGCACTTCAGGATTATGGCATACGCAACAATTCTCAGGTGTTTTATTTATTTATTTATTATTATAACTGAAACAAGCCGTAGGAAATTTATGTCTCTCATGGTATTATTAGTATCTGATATCAACTACTTACTTGGGGCGTTGTTCATTCGCAATTTCATTCATGTATATATGTCCATGTCCAGGTGCATTTTGTTCCTTATGTTGCGCTCAAGGATTCGCATAGGCATTCAAAGAGGAGGAGACACCGCTTCTTTCATGGCCTTAGCAAGCTTTCTTGATGCTTAATGCATAGTTTTGGTATATCTCTCTCTCTTTCCTTCGCTCATAGGCAATAGAAGTAGAGTAGGCTGCCATTAGAACAAGTCTGCTGATGAATCTTTGATGTCCAATCATCATCATCAAGGATGGAATTTATATATGTTTTTTGTAGACTATGTAAAGAAAAGATTGCAGACCTGCACTGCACTGCACGACCACACCTTCATTTTATTATGTTTCCCTGCTGCATGCAGCTGAGCCGGATCTACAAACTGTTTTTTTCCCCTTGTTTCTAATGAATTACCAAATACCATTTTATATATTAGAAACTAACTAAAACCAATGAAACAGACGCATTCTTCACAGAAACGATAGAAACAACCAGGAAGGAGTTGTTAAGTGCCCCTCGCATATTAAAGCTAAAGTTTAGGAATTTGATCATCTTGCACCGTAAAATGGTTGCATAAACTTTCTTTTTGACAACCAGAGACTACTTTCTCTCTCATATACACACACACACCCCAAAGCTGATTCAATCTCTCGACTCTCTTCTTAAGCTCTAGTGATCAACTTTTGTTCATTTCCATGGTCTGCCTGACTCCCGAGCTTCATACTCTCCTTGTACTCTTTCAACTCTTTCTTGTATCTTTCTTTGTCTTGCAACCCAATATTCTGGTAAACCTATAAACAAAGATGACAAAGAATGTGACAAATCTGCCGCAAAAACAAGAACAAAAACAAAAACGGAACGGATATGGTGTGAACACAAACCACCAAACCAAATATGGATAATGAAGTTGCAAATCTAATAACACAAGGTAATTTAGTTACCAGCCTCTCTTCTGCAGTGAGATTGCTCCAAGACTCGCCTATCATCTTGGTAAACTCCCTTTCTCTGTTTGGGTAGAGGGACTTGAGCTTGTAATGCTTTTCAGCAAAATAGAAATTATAGCCACTCCTGTTGGGTTTTGGATAGTTGGGATCTCCCCTTTTTCTCCTCCTCCTCCTCTTCGAACCCAAAAGACGACAAGATCTTTTGGTGTATGGTACAATGGCATTAACAGGTTGGGGAGCTGGACTAATTGGATTAGAAGAAGGACCAGGTAGAGGCTGCTGATTAGGATGGTAGAGAACTCCGCTGAGAACTTCCGAACCCAATTTCACAGTTATGAAATAGCCACAGTCAAATTTCCCATCAATGGTTCCCGTACCTGGAATAATAATACAAAGCAGCTAATTACATTAGGCATATGAATGCTATGATAGGCAAGCCACTCCAATCAAATCTAAAATGTGCACGTTTTTATGACAAGTATCAAATTAAGTTCCAGCTGATGGATCAATGATCAACATCTCTACATGCTCCGAAACCAAAAGCTCGTATTTTAGACAAGGAGCTTTTTGGCAAATGACACAAAAGACTCATTCATGATCCGAGGTATTGGAATCACTCGTTGAAATCCTGATATTGGTCTGGTCCCGTATGTCATATGTGGGGTGATCATCACTGACCTCGACCCGTCGATGAATATTGTATTGTGATACAACTATCTATGCAGTTACAAAAATACAAGAAAACCCAAACCTAGTTGAAGGAAGTTGAGGTTTCACTCCAAAACCAATTGGCAATGGGGGGAGTAGCCCAACTCCTTATAAACCCAGGCTTGGTCCCTTAACTTTTCATCGTGAGACAAACACTCTCAACACTAGTACATGGATAGCAGCCACATATGCTGAAGATAGGAGTGGGGCCCTGAGAAGGTGAAATTGAAAATACACTCAACTTTCCCCATATGCACGTTGGTTTTTCTTGTTCCTTCTTGACAAAAGAAAAATTAGATAGGAAAATTGCAAAGTTTTCGTAATTCATAATTCAGTTAAATGATAAAGGTCACGAAATATTCCTTATCAAAAGCAAGCCAGACGTACTGATAAATATAAAATTTTGAGGCCGAGAAAGCACATAAAAAATTTGTGGTTGTGTGATTGAAACTACTCTTATCCAGTAGGATTTTTGTGTATCAATCAAGAGTGATGGAGAGGTAGGGTCGAGAAAAATGAACCTACCTTCAATGACATGCGGACAATCTTTTATGTGTTTGGGGGAATATTCCACCAGAGCAAGCTCAGGTTTGTCTGCAGACTCAGAACGGTTACTAATGGAAAATGCAGTAGCTGCAGAGAGAGAGAGAGAGAGAATATTAAGTTAGACCTCCAGAAATCTAAAAATAAAAGCCGGGTGGAGCAACAAGAGAAAGACTTTTTTTAAAAAAATTAAGAAAATGAAAGCGAGGCAAGAAATAGAAATACCTGTAGGGGTACATAAAGGACCCTGTGTCTTAAAGAAGTAAACCTGTTCATAATGGTAGAGAAGAGTTGAGTAGTGTTTCCTCAACACAAAAGAAGCGCTTGTTGTTGTTGGGGAGAACATGAAAATGGCACCCACTTCCCTCCATTTCTTCTCTGCAACAACCTATATATAAACCATCATCTTTTTTCTTTAAAGCAAAAGTAAAATAGTATAATAAATGTACCTGAAAAAATACTTGTACTTTGGAAATGAGGGGATAGATAGCCGAACCTTCTCAAAGCCACCCCTCCGTGTTACCTCTACATATAATATGTGCAAATCTAGCTCCTTTCCTCCAATCACAGGGATCCTTAGGAGGAACAAAAAAAAAGGAGGAGGTGAAATAATACAGTATATATTAGAAAGAGGGGGAGTGGGGGAACAAAAAACTGCTCAACTTTAAAATTCCCATGAAGACTACATTAATTCTAAGGTATATGTGTATCTAAATTTCTGATCATGCGCAAATCCCCAAGAATAAATTTTGCGGTAAAACCAAGGAAAGAAAGAAGAAAAAAAATTGCAAGGAGACGATGAAGGCAGGCTTACATAAACTTGGTATTCATCTTCAAGTGGAAGCGCCTGAGAGTGTCCCAGAAAACAACAGGGTCTTTGACAACTTCCTCATGGGTAGCATGGGGTGCAGGATAATGCCTACCCTGCAACCCATTGGAGCCCTTGTTTCCTGCCACCGGCGACATCTCTTCTCGGCGGCGACTTCTTCTTTACAGGCTCGCCGGAAAACCAAGAAAGGCAAAGGGTGTGATGGGTAAGTGAGTGAGAGATAACAGTAATGATGATAAGTAAAGAAAGGTTTGATTTCCGAGATAAAGTTTGCAATTAAGCTACAGTAAATAGTCTGACCAAAGTTGAGTTGTTAATAAAGAAGAGAACAGTGTAGTTTGGACGCGTGGGATGTAACGGTTGTGCAAAATTGGCATTTTCTGTGCATTTTGAAACCAAAGTCTCCTAAATTAAATAGTGCTTTGCTTGCTTATTAATTTATGAGTATTTATTTTTCATTCAGAGCAGAGCGCACACAGAGAGGTTATATATTCATAATCAATTAACTATTAACTACACACTTCCCTTCCCTTCCCTCCTCCTATTGAATTGAAGCTGTGTCTCTCTTTTATTTAGTCGATCGAAGTCTGACATCTCTGCTGCATGCAGCTGAGCTGTAGCTGTAGCTTTAGCTGTGTCTGCTGTCTCTGTGTGTAATCCCTCCGAGTCTGAGGAAGGGAGAAGTGAGGAGTGAGAGCTGAGAAAGGAGAAAAGGCACTTCTCTCTCTTGTCTTGTGCAAAGACCAAGAGGTTGACATGCACTTGAAGAGAAAGGTTTCTGCTTCTGAAACAAATCTTTGGGTACATCTGCTGCTAGATATCTGACTACCCTTTCTCTGACTGATTGTTTCCAGTGCACTTAACCCCCATCGACCTAATCCAGGACACGCTAATATTTGAACCCTTGATCGATATATACACAAAAGGCTTGGATTTGTTTATTTGACTCCGGTTATTGGGCTTATGTGGGCCCTCATGTTTATTATCCATTGAAAATAAATACTAAACAGTTATCTGGTGACTTGACTTTGGTTTGGTCCTTCACCACCAGCAGGACTGACCGGGAGCAGAAAAATTTATTGAAAATGTTAGTAATATTCTCTTTAACTTTCTCATTTGGACTTTCTTCTTATTTTGTTTGATATATGTTATTCTTTTTACACGTAAAACAATGTCATTAATATATTATACAAGTTAACTTTTGTTTTTCAAGTTTATCCTTATTAAATGTATTCAATTTATCCAAAAAAATTTCACAACTTTCTTACCATCTTATTAATTTTTTTTAAACGTCAATTTTTTTATAAAGAAAATGTTTGCTTTTTTTTCAGAAAAGAGGAAATGTCCATTTTTTTAAAAACACAAAGGACTTTTTTTTCCTATCTAAACTCTTCGTGTTTAAAAATAATAATAATAATTAACGTTAAAAAAAAATTCAATAAGATGGTAAGAAATTTGTGAATTTTTGTGTGGATAAATTGAATACATTTAATAAGGGTAAACTTGGAAAGCAAAAGTTAGCTTGTATAATATATTAATGACATTATTTTAAGTGTAAGGAGAATGACACATGCCAAGTAAAAAAGGGAGAATGTCCAAAAGAAAAGGTTAAAGAGAAGGTTGCTAGTATTCCTCAAAATTTATATGAAACAGGGATAGTAGTATTTTGTTATCACGTAAATGTTTCTCGACTGGGAGGGCGAGGGTGGTTTAAGATTGCTGACTAGGAAAATCTATTTTGTCATTGATTTTGAGTTTCTTATCTCTCGAGTATTTTATCAGCAAGCTTTGCTTTGCATTGCATTAAATAACTTGTTGTTGGGTTCCAAGGCCCAGATAGAAAGAAAGAAATACACTCGTTGGGTTTGCGGCTTGTAAGTAGTAGCGGGATTAAATTCTCTATTATGGGCTTAAAAGCTGTGCAAGTAGGACGGCCCAGAAAGTAGAATTGGGCCAGCAGCAGCAGGCTGTTTAGGACTCGTTTTCTTTATAATTCGGTTTAACCATGTTAAGCAGAATTGACAATGTCACGAAGATAAATATGTTTTATTCATTGTCGTATGTCACAGAGGGCATTTGGTCTAGTGGTATGATTCTCGCTTTGGGTGCGAGAGGTCCCGAGTTCGATTCTCGGAATGCCCCTGTGAACCTTTTGGTTTTTTTGTCTTGTGACCTGAAGAGAGGTCCATAAGATAAAACCAACATTAATATTAGAAATTTGCAGGCAAGCAATCATCAATTCTTCTTCATCTTAATTAGTTAATTACATCACATTCACGTATGTCTCTGTCTGCCTACATCAAGTTCAGACCCATACAGAATGCATTAATATAATAATGAACTTGACAGAGACCAGACCACCTATATTATCGTTTAGCCTACATATAACTTCTAGCAGCATAGCATTTATTAAACACAGTGGCATGGCCGTGGGGCAGATCAATTCCATTCCTCATTCGCTCATTCCTGATAAAAAAATTGGATGATTGATTTGATGATGACGATACATTATCCATTCATTTATTTGCCTCCTCCAAGTTCCAAGTTCCAAGTTCCAACACCAACAGCAACCATACGTTCCTCTTTTGTTTTGCTATATCATCAAATCAACAGGGTTCAAGCAGAGCCTATAATAATAAATTTGGGTCAACGCGTAAGGGTGGGTGCGATTTTTTCCGTTTTGATTTCTACCTCATGCTAGAATTGAAATCGGTATTTTCAACCGGTATGGTTTAAATTCGATTTTAGTGAAAAAAATTTATGAAACCAATCAGTCTTGTTTAAATTAGCTTCCGTATAACAAGAGATGATTGGGTTTAAAAATAAAAGTGCTTTGAAGTTATGCTTGAGGAATTAGTAATTATGAGATTAGAAATTTAGCATTAGACTTAAAATAATTTCTTATTAAAAAAATACACAGTCGTTCTAGTACGATTTTGTAAGGTGTGAAACGGCACTAAAACTGGTTTGAACCGATAATTGGGTTTGGTGCCGGTTTGTTGAATTTTTAGTCAACAAGATTTTTTTCCAGTTTTTTTTCGTCCAGTGCGACTAAGTGTTCCAATTTTCCGATCTCGATGCCCATGCGCCTCAACTCAATAAAAAACAATTGGATAATAAAAACTACTCCTCCACGTTATTAATATTATTTCTTGGTTTTTTTTTGGTGAAGACAAAGGTTTGCAAAGTCTCCATCGAGATTTGAAGGGTTGTGAGTCTCCTTCAATTGAAGGAGAAAACGATGTGCCTTATCTGTTTCATGTCATTATAAAATTTCAATGTAAACAAATATCCATGCTAACCTAATCGTATCAGTTTACAACCCTTATTAGGGATTTTTTTTTCCTTAATTTTATTGTAAGAGTCAATGTAATTTTAGGTAACACGCATAACATTTGAATATTGATGCATGAAAGCAGCGTATCAGTTTACAACCCTTATTAGGGATTTTTTTTTCCTTAATTTTATTGTAAGAGTCAATGTAATTTTAGGTAACACGCATAACATTTGAATATTGATGCATGAAAGCAGCGTATCAGTTTACAACCCTTATTAGGGATTTTTTTTTCCTTAATTTTATTGTAAGAGTCAATGTAATTTTAGGTAACACGCATAACATTTGAATATTGATGCATGAAAGCAGCGTTTCATGTAAATAGAAGGTCCATTTGTATATAAGGTAAATAGTTTTGATTCCTCTTGTATTATCAGCAGCAGCAGCTGTAACATTATGGGCGTACCAATTTTTGGTCAGGAACAGATATGGCATGTCGCAGTCCCAACCACACAATTCCTTCCTCCTAAGATGAATATGAAGATGCTGATACTTGCTACTCATTCAAATATCATCAATTCAATCCAATCCAATCCAATCCATACACGACCAACATATATACGGAGAGCCAGGCCAGGCCAGGCCAACTTGGCAAAGTGCAGAGGCTTCGTGATATAGCTAGCTAGCAGTGCACCGAGTTAGATTTTGCAGTGCTTCATCAGACTCGGTTCATTCATCCATCCATTTGGAAGATTCTTAAGAATATACTCCTCGTCAACACAATCCAATCCAATCCATCACGCTCTTTAATGAGGGCCCTACCGCTGGGGCCCATACCCTATCCGCAGCGGTCGCCCCACTATATAAACAAAGAGAAGGTCCACATTCACTCAACCCTCCCTGCACTTTAAAAGCACTTCATCATCTGATTTTTGGTGTCTTTTTTTTCCCTCTAAAAACTCGAAAGCCCAAAACAAGACTACCCCACCACCCACCGCTTTCCGTTTTAAGAGAACTCTGCTTCATTTCAGCAAAGATGAATATTTCTTCTCCTCCTCCTGCTACTGCCACACCTAGACTGTCTCTAACAGATCAGCAACATCTCGTAGACAAACTTGAAGTTTTTAAGATTCAAGGTCGAGACAAACATGGTCGAAAGGTTCTCCGCATCGTCGGAAAGTTTTTTCCAGGTAATTATAATTAATTACTCGATTAAAATTGTACGTGTTATTAATTTGTTGGTTAATTTCGGGGTACCTTTCTAATGTAATTTTAATTTGGTTATGTACTAAAATGTTCAGCTCGAAGCGTGAGCAACGAGGCTGTGAACAACTACTTGGAGGAGAAAATATTCCCAAGTTTAGGGGAAAGGCCCTTCTCAGTGGTGTATTTGCACACGGATGCGAATCGCAGCGGCAACTTCCCTGGAATTTCGACCCTACGATCAATCTACGACGCTATTCCGATCACCCTCAAGGACCGTCTCCAAGCTGTTTACTTTGTCCACCCGGGTTTGCAGGCCAGACTCTTCCTTGCCACCTTTGGTCGTCTCCTCTTCAAGTCAGGGTAATAAAATCATTTCCATGTATTTTGTTTTGGAACTAGCCAATGAAAGGAACGTTGACCAAAGTTAAGTGAAAAACCGGGGGCTAACGTAACGTAACGTAACGTAACGGTGATTGTGGTTTTTGGAACAGGTTGTACAAGAAGCTAAAGTATGTGAAGAGGCTGGAATTTTTGTGGGACCAGGTGCGGAGGAATGAGGTGGAGATTCCAGAGTTTGTGTACGATCACGATGCGGAGCTGGAGTACCGTCCGATGATGGACTATGGGTTAGAGAGTGATCATCCGAGATCGAGGGTCTACGTTGCACCTTGTACGTCTTCTACGTCCATGATGGACTCTCCTTTTGTGTACTCCATGCGTTGTATCGCATAGCACTTATTTGAGATGGTTCATCATACAAGAAAACAAACCCTTTTAGTTTGTTTTCCTTTAGTTGAGATGGTTAATATCAAATTGTACAAAGACTAGTTAGTTAGTCCCGATTAGCTGCCTGGGTTCAGGTCAAACCATTTGCTCTTCAACTCAACCCACCATTAACCATACAAAATTACAAGGGTCGTTTAGTACAGCAGATTGTTATGAACTGGACTAAATCCTGACACTAGCTTGGATTAATTCAGATTGACTTAATCTAGATTAAATACTGACCTACGTTTAGTACTGCATCGGACTAAAAGCTGAATTGTAAAAATAGTGAAGATCTATGTTTGGTGCTAAGTCGAACTATAAAAAAATTAAAAATTAAAAATAATAATTTTTAGCTAATTAAATGTAATTTAAGATCTTAAAACTATGAACATACTTTATAGTTATCAAATTGACATGTACATTTCTTTTCCCCGAATCCTTTGGTTCGATTAATGCATCAATAACAAAGAATTCTTCATTTCTTTTCCCCAAGAACAGCCAATCAGAAACAATATTACAGACCAAAAGCAAACAAGGCAAAGTTAAACCACCCTTCTTAAGACAAAAAAACACCATACAATTTCTCTTTATCGAATCAGCTCACAGAAAATGGTCGATGTGTATCACCTGAGGTCTCTGTTCTCTGCATTTGATGACACCACATCTTGCAACTTAACCAATAATTATATGAGGCATTTCCAGCATCCAACAGAAAAAATGTTTGACTCTTTGTCTAGATCAATTCGTTAGTTTTCCATTGCACTTATGATATCTAGAAATATCCATTGGCTCAAAAGACACCATCAGCTTCAACTCTGTAATTATGCATGGTTGCCTACACAAGTTGTTTTGACCTCCAAATTTGGGACAATTTCTCAAGCCTCCAGTACACATATAGCATCTCAAGAATGGAATGATAAACAAAATCTGCAAAAAAATAAAATACATGTAAAACAAACAAAAAAAATGATAATTAAACTGACCACAATAACTTATAGTAACATTTAGTAAACTAATTAATGGATACAAAGAAAACATTGACTTGATTTTTTTTCTCTTATGAGCTTCAGTATTATTAAACTGCAGCATCCTATCAAGTACCTACAAGAATCAGAAGATATTTTCTGAAACCCAATATTTTTAGAATAAATTAAGAGAAAACAACATTAGCAAAATTGTTAAAACATTAGTCAAATTGTTGAGAATATAAAATCTAACATCGACTATTCTAAGTCTTGCATTTCAATATATAAAATTATGAACCTCTTCAGCCATTATCACCATAGTACCAGAACGACATCATGTCAGTCCCATCTTGGCTACAACTTCATATCATACTGAATAATTTATAGCACTCATACTAAGGCTTAGTTAAAACCACAAAGGAATAAATAATGAAATAACATGGTGCAACTATACAAGAAAATTTAGCAACTACTCACTCGGTCAGAACTTTTAACAGACTCTAATGAGAAGTTAACCTGACTGCCTGTTACATGGTCATTATTTTCATCATTCTCTTCAGATAAGTAATCATCCCTACCTTCATCCTCTGAGCTTGAAGGATCAAATCTAATGTGCTTGCCACAAAAATCCTTATGTACCGGGGGAAAACGATTCAACGCGCTGAGAAATAGTGCTGAAACGTTTGTCTAGCTCCTTTTTCTCTGCAGATAAAAGTGGAAACTTCCTATCCTTTTTATCTGGATTTGGCTGAAATGCCTTCTCTGATTTCTTTAGAGTGGAAATTTCTAGATTCCTGGCTTCCCGGATGGCAGAAATATGCATCCTGTTATCATAAAGTTTACTCCAATCAATGTCATTAAAATATACATTATATAACTGAAAAAGGACAAATGAGATGACTTCAACACATGATATGCCATTCCAAACCTTTATGAACCAGGTGGTATGGTGTGGCTTGATTTCACCTCTGTGTGTGCAGGTGTATCAATGTTAATTTATCATCAAGTAAATTTTTCATGTTGGACTGAGCTTAATTGAAAACTTAAAGAGGCGGGGCCTGGGGGCATTCAACAAGAACGATGTGAACATGGAGCACTTAAAATTAGGACCGAGAAATAATCAAGAAGACCCAAAACTGTGCATGTAATAGCTTCTGCATCATCAAATATTTTTCAAAGAAGTAAGTACATCAGCAAAAGCATGCATTAAAGATCCCTGTAACTCAACATGAGCAAAGGCATGATCCTTGTAACTCAACATCCAGAATAGATGAAATTTTGACTTCCACATGCTCTTTGTGGACATTAGAACGACTTTGACTGCATGAAAAACTTTGTAAATAAGTAAATATGACATCAAATTTATGCACACCAAGTACTATAAAAAGAGGTCTCCTTTGCCAATATAGTTCTAAGTTCAGTATTGAGCTATCTACAAAATAGATTTTTTTTTATACCAAAAAGTAGAAGCAAAAATGTGACATACCCCAGGCTGTGAATTCATATTCCATGTGCTTCCTTGCTTGCAACTGATCGCTTCTTAACAATGAAATCTAAATATTCTTCAACCCTAATATCTTTATTTTCACAAGTATCCATGAACTCAGAAAGTAGAGATATCATCTTCCCACTAGTTATCTTAAATACTTCAATTGTATCGTATCAGACCTCACTGAGAAATAATGCATAACAAGTAGATGTCGCAACAAGTGGATGTCTCATCAAATTGAACTTTGCCGCTAAAAGAATAATTAATTACATGATACATATGCAATAAACAAAGGAGTTGGAAATGAAATGAAACCAGGATAGGCAAATATATTTCTTCAATCACAGAAGCATTTAATGGGTAAATTTAACAAACAACATATAGGTTAATGGGCTGAAGTAGAATTTCTTCATTCATTGTTAGCCACCTTAGTCCTTAAGAAAAAGAAATACATTAATCCTTAACCCTCCCCTTCCTCAAATTTCTTCCCTTCCATGCCTTGAATTCTATCCCTATTCATGCACCCATGACATGATGTGTCACAGAGCATTATCAACAAGCTACAAAAACAAGTCTCCTCATTATCCATTCGAACCATGCTCGAATGACACCAAAAAACAGAGGGATGTTAAAACAATTCCTTCTTAGACACAAAACATGACGAAGAAGAACCAGGCTAGATCACAGGCAAAAACTACTTCATAGTGAGAGTAGCAGAGTCATTGCTCTGTCGAAGAACTCTGTACTAGAAAACCATCATATGATGACAGTCAAAGTGAGGATTTGCATGGTTTGTCATGTCATGCAGTAATACCAATCCATCTAACACATCTACCCAGTGAATAAAAAAATATGCATTCCAAGCTTAATTATGAATGGAATTGATTTCAGTTAGATTTGAAACTCCACACCATCTTATAAAGTAAACAACCCATATTTTCACATAAGAGGACTAGTAAACATCCACAAAAATTAAAGACCCTATTGCACCACATATGCACTTGTTTATTTGAATTGAACCCAGAATGAAACCTCACCCATAATCTTTTAGCAATAGTTATAATACCCAATTAACACACAAATCAAGACCACAAATCAATCTGTCGAAAAAAATCATGTAGAAATGTGTCTTTAAGGTTTAAGATTTTAAATTTGTGGTCTTGATAATCACTCCACTAATAGAAAAACCTAATAATCTTATATAAAAAATGACTGCTTGGTAATACTTGATGATACTTACAAACTGGAAGCACCACCACTTGGGCTGTGAGCCCCCGACTCTGAGGTGTCCATTGCTGCACAACCAACGTAAAAAAAAGAAAAATCAAAATCAAAATCAAAATTCTCCAAAAAGCAAAGGTAAGAGAGAGAGAGAGAGAGGGATTCGAAGAAAGCTATAATCATAGAATTTGACGAAATTAGAATAACATGACTTGATACCTTGAGGCAAATCTGAAACGGGCTCTTCAATGATGTCCATTAAAGCAGAATTGTTTATCTTTCTTCTTGTTCATGTTCTTCACCATTGCTTTGGAGATGGAACTGAAAAAACATATAAAAAACCATACAAATTAACAATACCCATGAAGAAATAAGAGAGGTTTGTAAAGGGAGAGAGAAAAAACTTGCCTGAGTACAACTTTGAAGAGGAGCAGAGTCGATGTTGAAGGAAACGAGAGAGAGAGAAAGAGAGGCGTTCTAGGGCTTGGACTTGCGTGTTCTATTTAGCGAGCTCACTATTTTGCGAACCAAGTTTCAGGCTTGCTAGATTGGACGAGTGAGTGAGGCATTTTTTGTACTGTTGGACTATATAATCTCATCTAAGTTAGTCCCTCCTTTCACCAAACGTGGGTTTTAAGTGCTAATTAACCCAGTCCAGTCAAGTGAGGCCTACCAAACATGCCCACAAAGTCTTGTTGTGGGAACAAATATTTTATTTCTAGTGCAATAAGTTACACAATCGAACAAGTCACTCTACACATAACATAATGGCTAACTAGATAGAGACAATCACTTCCTCCACAGAAACAGAATGAATTTATAGACAACAGCGTATGCTTATTGCTTGCTTACATTACATGCATCAACAATATAAAGTATATACGCATGATAATAACACAAACCATTGATTAACATTAACATTACCATACCAGAATCATTGAATTGAAGCTCCTGCTTTGCTTCATTTAATTTGCTGTTGCTGCCTTGCAACTTGCATCAGCATGGATTAGGAATAACCCAGAGCGGTAGAGAGCCAGGAGGCCAATGCACCTCATAATTCGAATTCCTGGGATACGGAGGCAATTCTTGAATTGTTCCATCCCATATTCTGAAAATCCCCGAATCGTATCCCCCAAGTCCGCTCTCATAGTTGGATTCCGAGTAATCGTCTGTGAAATAAATGCAATTTCCCACACTTCCCGGAAAATCTGACGCAGACAATGAAAACGACGAGTTTTCACCGATAAACACCATCCTCTCGCCCAAGTTCTCAACCTTCTCCCACCTCGCCCCTACCCAATTCATCCTGAAAACGTCAAATCCCGTGGTTCTGTAATTCACATTTGTATTATCCCACCGTTCAATCTCCAAATACCGACTCACCAGCAGCAGATCGGCCCTCAAATTCACCAAATATCGCATATCAGCGGCATCATCTAGCCTCGGCGTTGGGATAATCGCAACCCTTGGGGCTGACGGACCCTCAACGTCACACACCGCGACCACACCCTTACTGTCCACGGCGTAAAACAAGCCGTTCACGGATATGACGTCCTCGGAAAAAGATCGGGCGCCGTCGATGAAAGTCCAAGACTGGTCTCCGTCTCTGCAATATGCCAAGTCACCGGTTTGACTGAGAATCGCTAGGGCAGTAAAACCGCTAGCTTCCAGAGGACTCGAAGAGAGGACGACCTTTTTCAGAAATGAATCGCGCATTTGGGCCAAGCTGCGCGTGTAGACATCTCCGGACGAGGATTGGAGCGCGTACTCGCGGCCGACTTCGGAATAGTCGAAGCGAACAACGTTGGGGAAGGCGGAGAGTGGAGGGAGGTGGCGCTTGGCACGTGTGAGAGGGTTAATGAGAAGGACGGTGGGGGTTTCGTCGAGGATGACGAGCCAGCCGTGAGAGGAGCCGCAACGGCGCTTGCGATGAGAAGCTTCTGGAAGGTGGAGGAAGTGGACTCTGCTGTTGGAGAGGTTGAAGAAGGCGCGGTGTGTTTGGTTGGGCTGGGATTGGGGGAGCATCAGCCAGGGGAGCTGAGGAGGGAGGTGCTGCGGAGTTTTGGGGACACAGGCTAGCCAGCTGTGGCACACCACTCGGAATCGGAGATAGTCCGCGTAAATTGTGAGCTTTTTCGCGATTGATTCTACCAGTTCTGGTGGGAGTTGGGTCCAATCCACCCCCATTTTCGCGGGTCGACTCCAACCCCGCCCCCAAAAAGTTGTGCTTTGGATGGATGCCTTTCCTTTCAACTTTACCAATTTTGTTGTCACTTTATTTATTTCCAACTCCCTAAAAATAATTTTTCACGACCCAGAAAGTTGACCATTGGGCAAGTCGCCGCTAGGATCATTGGGCCTCATAGTTTTGGGCCATTTATGCACTGCTGATCCATCAGCTCTGTCAATTAGGGTGGATATTTAACGATTAAATTGAGAAATATGTGCTAAAATTCACGGAAGCAAAGCTCCTTCACTTCACTTCACTTGTCCCTCAATGCAAAGATTGATTGAACTGATTAGGACAGGATTCAAGGAGATAAAAGTCATTTTCAGTAAAATCCTTCTGTAATCATAAAAGTTTGTCTGCAAAGAAAAAATTACGCAGCAACTAACGTAATTGTAAAATTCTTCATACCATGTAAGTCGCATTGTCAACAGAGTTATAAGCATCAACTCATATGATGAATGAAACTGGACTACAACTTTTTTCCCCGAACAACATAAGACCGTATAATCAGTTGTGTAAAGATTGGCAACACTGAAGAAAGAACAAGGCATACGTAGAAGATTGATTTGATTGTCTGTGAAACAACTTACTCTTCGACATTCCCCACATCAACACTCTCTTCATTGCTGGTGTTTCCATCGTTGTCAGCAGCAGTAGTACATAAATCGGGGTAATTACGGTGGTTGAGAGAGTGCAACCAGAGACCCACGACACCTTCTTTTTGCTCTGTGGATGCAATATGAGGGTATATATGCTTCATCTTGAAATCTTCTGCCTCTTGTTCATAGTCTTTCATTGACAGCTCTTCATGACTGTCTCCCCATTTCTGGTTATACGACGCAAAGAAGCACTCGTCCAAGTACAAACCAACCTCAGGAGCCGTAGGCACATTGACGTTAACATCCCTGAATTTTGCATAAAACTGGGTTAATACATTGCATATTCTCTCAAATCTCAAACAAATATCACATAGAAACAACACAATAATAATAAAAATAACAACGGCCATCCAACCACTTACTTTTGCAAAGCTATTTCTAACAATGACTCCGGAGCACAGTTCCTGAAGATTGCCACCGCAAGCCCAATCATCTTCCTAATTTGATGAAGCATGAAGCTCTGCCCTACAACTTCACACTTAACAAAGTCCATACCCCCAACTGTAACTGTGGTGTTTGCATTGAACGAAATGATGTATCGCCGAGCAGCGGGGTCTGCAGCTTTAGTTCTGGTGGTGAAGTTGTGGAAGTTATGAGTCCCCTCATAACAATTCAAGATTCTGTTGAACCGATCCTTCTCCTTCTCACCATAACAAAACTCACTTCCACTTCCCTTCTCTGGCTTTTCTTCTCCATTAGCGTTCTCTTCACCAACACTAACTTTTGTTGTATCATTCAGTGGCTCCGAATTCAAATCAGTATCCTCGGAATTCTCAACCTCAACTCCAGAAACCCCATTGTCATTACTACTAGTGCTACTTTCATTTTTGGGTTCAGATTTGGAATCATCACCACCAGCATTGTCCGGAGAAACCTTCGTTTCTTCATTAAACTCAGACTCAACCATAGACTCATTGGTGTTCGACGAAATGTCTAGCCCAAAACTCGTCCCCCTCAATTCATAATTGCGCTTACCCATCAATCCCCCAACTTTACGCCCTCTCTCGGAGCACTCCAAGCACTTAACAAACTCCTTATCAGACCCAAGACTAGCCAAAACGCTCTCCCTATCGCGATGAGCACTGGGATCAAGAGCAAACACGGGAATGAGATACACATACCTTCTCCGATCACAGAACTTCTTGGCGTTAAACGATGCCGTCACGCGCTTGTAGCCGAAAATCCGAATCTGTGGAGAAAGGTTGGAATTGAGGCGGTCGACGAAGCCCGGTGGGTCGACATAGAAGCGGCCGGATACAACCTGACCGACGGCGCTTACGCCCTTATCGGTGCGGGCGGATCGGGCCCAATCATAGCGTTTAGGGTTGTTGCGGTCCTGCTCGGGAACCGCGTTGGAGAGGTAAAGGGCTTCTTCGAGGTCGCCCTCGATAGTTTTGGCGCCTGGATTCTTTTGCATGCCTTGGTATCCCACACCGCAATAAGCGAAGAAAATTGCAACCTTTCGACGCTTGTATCTTTGCTTTTTGGTGGTGTCCATGGTGGTGGTTTCATCGTCATCGCTGGTGGTGGTGGTGGTCGACATTTTGAGCTTCTTGGGGTCTGGTTCTTGTGGCGGCGGTGATATAGTGGTTTTTGTATCTGGGTTCTCCATTTTTCAGTGATCTGAGTGGGGCTTGTAGATGTTGGTTGAGGACTCCATTGCACTTAAACAGGCTCTCTAGGCTACTTCAGATTTGCAGTTGGCTATGTACCCTGATAAAACCCTAGAACGAGACCAGTTATACTTTTCCATTTTTTTGAAGAGCTCAGATCCCCTGCTATATGCGTAACTGAGGCAGCGTTCTACCTTGTTGTAGCTCTTTAAGAGCGCTTCCACCGCTGCAGTTTGGCCCAGGCAAGAGGGGGCCCAAGCCCGCATCCAGCAGGCTTTAGCAGTCTGGGAAAAATGTGGGTCCCAACAAATTGGGCAAATCTAAAGGCAAAACGAGCCCGAACTCTTGCTTGGGGGCAATTGACGTCAACGCATAGACACCTGGATTTTAAGTTTTTTTACCGTTACACGCCAACGGTAAAAAAATTTGAAACTTTCGTTCGCCAACGGACGTGGCTTGTCTGATCGTTATTTGTCCTTCAATCCAACAGCCGCCTTTTTTTTTGTTAAAAAAATTATAAATAAATTGTAAATAAATACCTACCAATATTTTTCATTTTCCACACCAAATCTTCATACATTTTCCTCTCCTTCCAATATTTTTCACTTTTCACACCATTAATACTAAGAATGGATATATATAACTAAATATCTCTTTTTTCTGCTTCTTTATATATCAATATATTAGAAAGAAAGAAAAAGTTTTACTTTTTTCAATTGGAGGGACGGTTATTCTCACCGTCCAAACCTCCAACACATCATTTTCGGACCCGCGCAATTGCAAAACAGCACACGCATTTTTGGAGACACCGTTGAATATGAACATTCCCTCCCTCCATCTCTGCACCAATTGTAAACCTCAACAATTCAGATCCGATCCCCATTCACCAAGCACATTTCCTCTTCTTTTTTCTTCGATATTCGAAGTTCCTCGCGTCCTCTGGTTTCCCAATTGAATCGTTTTTCTTTCTGTATACCACAAATTCAATATTCCCTGATCACCTTTTCAACTTATCGTTGAGCTGTTTGATTCTAATTCAGTGGTCTCCCTCGAATTTTCAACTTTTACTTTGTGCTATATTTATGGGCTAAGGGGCGCAACCACAAACTCAGACCGCGATCGGAAAGCTCTGGTACGTCTCTATTTTCTCCCGTGTCAAATTTTGCTGGCTTTTCGTTCCGTTCTGCGTTCTATTTTCAATGTCACCTAGATTGATTAAGGTCTGTATGAGTAGCTGACGTAACACTTTATATGAAATCTTTTTTACATTTTTTATTTCCAAAACTGATGTATAGGCAGGACAAATGGAATTTTCAAACCTAATTTAGATGTACGTATGCTTAATTAATAGGCAGGCATTCTTTCTGAATGACTTTGCTCTTGGAAATTATGGGGAGAAATTAAGGAATCATTTATGGAGCCCATTATCAGCAAGACTTTAATGTTTATGTCCTGTTGTCAAGGTTTTGATGCACTCATGTTGCTCATCCATGTAGGACAAGTGTTGGTGCGTTATCTTCTGCAATCCTGTGACAAGTTGGGAAACTACATCAAATGAGTTACCGAGGCAATGTATGCATGTCTTCTCAAACTCTCTCCCGCTCTCTCTCAGACATACACACTCATAAGATTGGGAGACTCGAACAGTTTGTTTCTTCATATTTGAAGATTTGAGCCCACTATGTTCTATATGAATTATGGTGGGCCAATTTCCATGTGGCGCCTTTCTTTTATTTAATCTCTCATTTTGTTGAAATGCAGGATTCAAATGAAAATAGTCAGCAGACTGATATTGGTATGCGTTTTCTTTCACCTGGTGATGCATTCCTTTAATTTTCTCTGACACATTAAGGCAGATCTTACCACGTCAATTGAATTTATAAATTTTTATTATGAACGTTAAGAATTAAACTCTACCTGTTGAGTAGGTATAGCTTAGGCTCTATAGTTGTGTATCTTTTGTTCATATAACTTAGACACTTTCCTGACCTACAGAGTACATAATGATTTGAGGGTATATAGTTTTGTAAAAATTCGATGATAATCAAGACACATGCAATGAAAGCCATCTTGTTATTGATGTTAAAAAATTGAGATTCAATGTTCAGTTCATAAATAAGGGACTAGAGGTAATGGAATAAGGAGGCCTTATGATTCACATTTCCCAGTTACAACTGTACTGGCCGCAGGGTGAAACATAATTCAAGAATCAAGGGCTCTCTTCTATGACTGTTACACTTGGTAGTTTGGTTCATGAAGGATATTTATATTTTCTTCCCTTTCATGACACTAAAAGTATGCTTTCGGATTCATATGCAGGTGCAGCACTACGCAATGGAAGAGAAATCCTTTTTCAGGTAAGTTTGACAGTTTCCATAATAATTAAGATATGTTCAACACCTCATTGTAACTTATTCAATTGTAAAGATGGTAGGATGGTTTATTTGCATAATGCTATCATAGATCTCAGCTTTGTCAAGCGTATGGTTTGACAGAACTATGTCTACAGGCCTTTAATTGGGAGTCTCATAAACATGATTGGTGGAGAAATTTAGAAAGGAAAGTTCCAGATATAGGAAGATCTGGTTTTACGTCAGCATGGTTGCCACCAGCAACCCATTCCTTCGCACCTGAAGGTTGGATGCAAAATTTGTTAGGCTGGTTTCTAATTCTTTCTGCATATAGAATATAGATGTCTGGATCACCATGTTCGTTGTCTTCTTCTCATATTGTAGGTTACCTTCCGCAGAACCTATATTCCCTCAATTCTAAGTATGGATCTGAGCACCTATTAAAAGGTTTACTTCAGAAAATGAAGCAACATAAAGTTAGACCAATGGCTGATGTAGTCATCAATCATCGTGTTGGAACTACCAAAGGGCATGGTGGAATGTACAACCGCTACGATGGAATTTCATTGTCATGGGATGAACATGCTGTCACATCTTGTACCGGTGGATTGGTAATGAAATTAATCACTCCTTGACCAACTCTGGATGATCCAAGATGCAATCTCTAGTACTAACCTCATTGAATTTCTCTGTATTTTATATATCAGGGTAACCGAAGCACTGGGGACAATTTCCATGGAGTTCCAAATATTGATCACACCCAACTTTTTGTTCGAAAAGATATTACAGCATGGCTACAGTGGCTACGTAATAATGTTGGTTTTCAGGATTTTCGATTTGATTTTGCAAGGGGGTAAAAGTTATTCCAACTTGAATTAAGTTTTGTTTTTAATTAAGGTTATTCACTGCTTAGTTTTTTCCATATCTTTTGGGTTTATACATTTTTTACACTTCTTCTTTTTTCCTTGTGTTCTCAATGTTACAACAGTTATTCAGCAAAATATGTGAAAGAATATATTGAAGGAGCAAAACCAATTTTTTCTGTTGGGGAGTATTGGGATTCTTGTAACTACAATGGTCATGGCTTGGATTACAACCAAGGTATTGGATTATATGCTGTAAGAACTTAATACATTTGCACTGCTTGCTTACTAATGTACAAAAGGTAGCTTAGCCCTGTTAATAGCATTCCTTTGGCTTGCTTTTCTCCCCGCTACTTGACTTGTATTGTAACTTAATGGGCATTATATGCTGTCTTAAATGGGTTCAGTGGTCAAATTTCTTTCTCCTTGAGGTTTAGCACTGAGCTTACTGTTTGATCTTTATTGTGATTGATATTGTTATGCAGATAGCCACAGACAGCGGATAATAAATTGGATTGATGGAGCAGGACAGCTATCAACTGCATTTGATTTCACAACCAAGGGAATTCTTCAGGTACCCATCCCTTTATACACACATACCCAATCATTCTCTAGAGTGGGATATGAGTCCCAGCCGACGGTTTAGTGCTCAGTAATTTATACAAACGTTTCAGAAACATTACTGGTGAACCTTTTCTTTTTATAGAAATAGCAATCTTCATCTTTGACCCAAAAAAAATAGCAATCCATCAAAACCCGTTTCAAGTATGTTCAGTCTTCTATATCCATAGCAGTGGTTACCTTTTTCTAAATTTTAATAACGTTCATGCTCATCAAACATGTTATATTAGTTTGTTTTCTATAGTAAGGAAATCTCTCCTTCTTTTTTCTTATCTTGTCCCCCCTTTCTTAGTTTGGTGTTTGAAAATTTACACATGCATTCTATGTAGGAAGCTGTTAAGGGACAATTGTGGCGCCTACGTGACTCCCAAGGGAAGCCACCAGGTGTAATTGGATGGTGGCCTTCAAGAGCTGTCACATTCCTAGATAACCATGATACAGGCTCAACACAGGTATGATATACTTCTCTGTTCTGCAGAAGTCAACTGAAATGTTTTCTCCGGAACTGCTGAAGTACATATCTGCCAAGGTTGAATTCAGCCTACAATCGTTTGGTCTGAGCAAGTCAAGTTTGAGCTCAACTGTTTAAGCCTAACCGACACTGACCAATTATCCTACATAATATAACAACTACATTTTCTTTGCATAAAAAGTGTATCACGTTTATGTTACTGGGTACCTGTCTTTTCAGAAATTGAGCTTTTGGTCCCATAGTAAAAGTTAGAAATCCACTCACATGATAATCATTTTGTCTCGCAGGCTCATTGGCCCTTCCCTTCAAATCATATTATGGAGGTATGAAAATTTGTTTATTAAGTTGAAATGTTTTGCATTTAGATGGGAAATCCATATCAGAAAGTGTTGTTAAGTGCATGCTTTCTGCAGGGTTATGCATATATACTCACGCACCCAGGAATACCGTCAGTTTTCTACGATCATTTCTATGATTGGGGTGACTCCATTCATGATCAGATTGTGAAACTGGTATGCAGTAGATTGTTAGATGGTTCCTTTTTTGACTCGGCGTCTTTGAGCAAAAATTCCTCATGTGTTAGCATTTGAACTTGTGTGCAGATTGACATCAGGAAGCATCAAGACATTCATAGCCGCTCATCTATAAGGATCCTGGAGGCCCAGCCGAACCTCTACTCTGCTATAATAGGAGAGAAAGTGTGCATGAAAATTGGGGATAGTTCATGGTGCCCAACCGGTAGGGAGTGGACAATGGCAACCTGTGGCCACAGATATGCTATTTGGCACAAGTAAATTGGAGAGTTTCCATATATAGGCTATGCAATGCAACTAAATAAGATTTCTGCGTGTGGAATCGCACTTCATGCAACTTTGCATATCGGGAATCTGTTTTTTTTCTTCTTGCCTAGAAAATTAACTCACAAAATAGGTCAAATAACCCACGTCCTCACCCTCCACCACCCCATACATAAATAAATAAAATAAAGGGGTAGGAGAGGAGGTGCCATTTGGCTTGTAGGGTAGCTTTTTGTACTGGTAATCATTTTAGTAGCCTTTTTATGTCTGGAACTGATACTTCATTTTCTATCATTAGGCCATTGCTAGTGCCCTACAGCATTTGAACTTGTATTCTTCATTTTCGAGTGTCACTCATGTTGAGTGAAGTGATCCTTTATGCAAAGTCTGTGTCTGGATGAAAAAAATTTATTTCTTTTTTCTGTCATAAGTTAATAAAGCTCGCCCCCACATCGCACTAGTACTGACTGAGTCCAATTCATTGGGCCTTAATCTCATTATTTCAAGGGAAGGGGTACGGGGTGCCCTTGATGGTCCCTCGTAGGTTTTGGTTGCAACATTCTCCACTACCAACTGTAAATTTGTAAGCTTCTTCTATTCTATACTTGCGCATCAAACAACGCAAACGGTAGAAGAGTAGGAATATTGTAGAGATGGAGAAGGAGAAAGCTTGGGATGGTGAGGGGCCCCAAACCCAAAGAAAGAAACAGCAAGTTCATCTAACCAGTTGACTTGTACATCTGCCTTGTTACTTCTTGTTGGTAAAAGTCTTGACTTTCTTAAAGATAACAAAAGGCGTTTCCAGGCGACTGTATCACCTCAAACAAATGACTGGCTCAACAGCACGAGCAACAAAAGCAATCATAGAATTCTAGTAAAAAGAAGAGAAAGTTTTTCCCTCAAAAGAGAATAAAAAAGAAGAAGAGAATGTTTGGTCCCGTAGTAGAGTGAATTCTATGATGTCCGCCCATATGGACACATATATAATACAATCATACAATTATAGTCGAAAGGGCTAGCTCAAGCGATTTAAAACAATTATCTTTACATTCGAGCTTTTGTGTTCCAATTACCTCTCTATAATAGCATTTGCATTAAAAAATAATTATAATAATATACGGGAATATGTAAGACGACAATATGACATGATGGTGGGAGGGAGAGATCTATATATAATAGGAGAAAAATACTTGTATATCATGAGGATATCAGTGTTGTGCTATCTTCAATCAATCACGTTCCGCCACATGTGATAAAAATTTCACATAATTAAACATAATTGAATGAAGTATTATTCTCATAACATGCAAGTTCTTCTCGTATATTGGAGCCACGATGTACGTGTCCATTCCACAATTAAATTTCTCAAGGACGAAAATACCAAATGCAGATGCTATATATGAGAACTCCAAATTTTATGAACTCAGGATTTTGGTGAACGGGCCCCAAGCCCTGGTTGGTACTACTAATAATGGATATTACTTGTTTTTAATTGTAGGGTACATTTTTAAGTTTAAATTTTTAACAGAGATATTTGATCCATCATCCATCCATCCATATGTAGTTGGAGAGAGAGAGAGAGAGAGAGTTCACAATCACATGGCAGTAAAGCTGGAAAGAGACAACCCAACATCACCATCATAAACATCGTCATAGCCCTCATCATTCTCAGGTTGAAAACTCAAAACATAGAGACATCTCCACACCACATCTTCCCTAACCTACTAGTACTACAACTAAACAATAAGCCCCAACCCACAAGGCTCTCTCTTTCTTTTGTCCTTTTTTTTTAGGTCGAAAAGAAACTACAGCGGTGCTCTCTCTCTCTCTCTCTCTCTCTTTCCCTCACGTGACAAGACAACTACAGTGGGCGTCTATTATTGATCATTGATAAAAACGAACACCCCACACGTAAAGTCCAATAAGAATGGGACAGTCCTTTTTTCTCACAAAAAGGCAAAAATAAAATAAAAGAAAGGAATGGGCAATCCTTTCCTTTTAGCATGTATAAATAAAGTGGAAGATTCATATACAATATCCAACAATATTTAATAATAATAATAAAAAACTACGAAGCATTACAATTACATGAGGAGACGCTAACACAATTATATGTAAGAATAGAATAGAATAGAATAGAACCCCAATAGCTCACAATCATGAAAAAGGTTTGGATTCCATGCATCGAGCTCTGCAATCTTGTAGTAGGTCTCTTTTGGGCCTGCATGCCTGCCTCCTCCCTTACTTTTTAAACTCAACGACTAGTCAACCACATTTCAAATTCAAAGAAACAAGTGCTACGTACATCAATTGAATTCACCATTATTTGACCTTTGGTAAATGATTCTTAATTTACTGCCGCTGTAATTAATTACGAACACAATTATTAACATACTATTACATTTTTTTTTTACGTTAACGGTCAAAATATGTAATTAATTTTGAATTTAAATACTTATTAGAGAATCTCTTTGTTGTTAGACGTCTGCATACTAATACATACTAGGATGCAAATAGAAAAGATAATTTGTCCCCACCATCCTAAATACGCTTTTTCATAAAGGGAACAAAAGAAGAGAAGTGAACAAGTATGGACATAAAAGTTGAAACTTAAGTTGCGAAGAGTAGAGGGAACAAAGCGTATGAACTTTTTTCCAATGCTTGGATTCCTTTAGGCATTAAACTAGTTACTAATTAATTCCTTTATTTCTCACCTCCAACACTTTTAATTCACAGCCTAAGGCTAAGGTTGTTTGCTTGAAGCCATTATTAGTCATCCTAGTCGTGTAACATTGTATACGTGCATGCTGTAATCTTGTATGTAATTGAGCACTAGCAAGAAAAGAAGAACACTTTAGTTTGCTGCGTAGGATATGTCATATACTTAAAGATACTGCTGCGCCTTTCAATTAACCTGTTCTTGGTCCAGCTTCTACCAAAATTAAACTCAACCCTCAACCTTCAAATGTTATTGCTGCCGAGAATTAAGTCTGAATTGGACCTGACTGGATTGGACTATATATGAATACGTATAGCATATATAGCATTGGGGAAGGACTTTAATTTGCCACAACCATAATTAGTTAACCAGACCAATTATAAGGCCATCTCCTTTAATTCATGCACCCTCTACTGGTTCTGGTTGGTAGTTGATCTACAATATTAATTAATATTCCTAACTGCAGTTTTAACTTCAATTCAGTTCAATTATTTCGGGTTTTAACTTCTTCTTCTTCTTCTGTTATTATTATTATCTGTTCTGGTAATACTTTCTGTGTTAACGACCCTTCAGCCTTCAAACGCACACACGGGGAGATTAGATAGAGAGGAGAGAAAGAGGGTGAAGGTGCATTGAAACCCTAGCTAGGTAGGTTTCACTAAAGTAAAGCGGTTGGCGGGGGAAAATGAGTGACAGATAGTTTAGTCTTCTCCAGATGATCCAATAAATTAATTTTTTTTAAAGACAGTGGCTGGCAATTTGGAAAATTGGTGGAAAACCAAGTTTTCTTTGTCCCAATGATTCAATCATGGCGAGGTCTGACAGAAACTCAGCAAGACAACTGGTATGTAGGCAGAGACTAATGGGACGCAGACAGGTCAGATGGGAACAATGTCAATTTCAGTCCATAAACATAAATTCTAATTTCTCCTTTGTGTAGTTCCTGTGAGTGAGCTTTTCAAACTGTGACAAATTTATTGGGTATGGACCGTAAGGTTGGAGGGTAGATTTGAGTCAATAAATACAAGGGGTTGGGTAGGGTTGGATTGGGTTGAGTTGGTCTAATAAATCATAAATGCATGCACATTTCCTCTTCTTTTTTTATTATTATTATTTTTTACTCTAAAGGAAAGGAAGGAAGCTTTCTGGAAGTTTGATAACATAACATAAATATGGCTGGGAATTGAAGGAGATGATGGCCTGCCTGGCTGGGGAGAGGGGATAGGGGAGGGGAGTGATTCTGATGAGCATATGGGTTGTGGGAGTCATGAGTGCGACGTATCAATCGACAAAGAGGAGGATTTGTTGTCTGAGATCTCTCTCTCTCTTACTCTCAGACTCGATACTATACATTTTATGAATAAAATAAATAAATAAAAGAGAGAAAAAGGAAGAAGAAAGGGAAAAGCACATGACATGCATGATGATGCATACACAAACGTTACGGAATGGAAGTCATGGAAAGGGAAACTAAAGAAGCTGAGCTAGATAAATCAATAAAAAGTTTTCCGTGGTGTAATAATGGGAGAGGATTGACCTAAGTTTTACCTTTGTCTTAGTCTCGCCCTCGCGCGCATTGCTTGTTAATTATAAAGAAATGCTTGCTTGCTTCAAAGTTGTAATGTGTTATAGGCTTATAGCCTTATAGGTCAAAATCAATATTTTTGTAGAGGAACCAATTACCAAACCAACGGATATGGGGTACCTAGGATTCCACACTTAGTGCTTTAGTAGGACCCTCGCTTCTCCTTTAAGCTTTAGTTCAACTCAATACTTAATTAGAGCTCAATTAGTCATATATACTAATTAAACCAAATGATTTTTTATTTTTTATTTCCTTTTTTATACAAGTAATAGTCTAAATTAAAGGGAAGATGAATTTATCACACACACACATACAATTATGATGCTGTAGGGATTTGAACATGAGACTTTTAGGCTGTAAGTCAAGGTTCTTTTTCATTGAGCTAAATCTCATTGACAAGAGAAATTACTATTTTATAGGAGGATGAGGACAGCATGTCGAATTTGTCACTTCATCTTTCATTAACTCAGATAGCCATGCTGAGTAGAAGACTCATTACGTCATCCATGTATTTTTTTTCATGAGTTTTCATTTATATTGACCTAACCTAAAATATGACGTCACTTTATTTAATCTACTGTCAATATTTGCGTTTGATTTGACTGGCAACAACTGAAGGGTTTATTTTATAGCATCATTAATTCATTTAATGGGCAAATACAAAATAAAAATAATTTACGAAATGAAGTAACC